ATAAAAATGGTGATTTGGGAAGTGGTAAAAATGATTGTTTTACCCACATTACTAGTTATTGTGGGTTATATGACTACTGTTATTACTATATGGGACTATTGTGGGACTATTATTGTCATTGCTACATGACTATATGACTATATGGGACTAGTTTAATGCCTATTTAAATTGGAGGCATTTCCCAACCATGCAACTAACTAGTTCTCTGGGGATGATTACCCACAGTGAGGATGCCAAGGCTCAACTGGTGACCCACAACTGGAAAATCTTCCATTGACGGTTTTTTCATTGAAAATCCATTGCCATGCTTGATTGCTGAAGGGTATTGGCTTGGTGGGGGGAATGACAGGAAACCGTGTTCTTTCCAAAGTCAAAAGCAGGCTCGGGTGTCCTGGAAAACTTTTCTTATATCAAGTCCAGGGAATGATGACAGAGTTTGCTTTGGATGTTGGTGATCTTCAGGATATCAACTAAGAAAAGTGACAAGAAAGTGACAATCAAGAGAAAACTGGACAAATCATCTTGACCTGATGATGCTACTTTCTTTCATTTCCACTCTTGATGATGGGCCTTGATGGACTGAGGTTATTCTTGGGATAGGCCTCAAAACAAGCAGCCGATGGCGATGGCCTAACCTCAATGGGACCCCCACTCCCGTAGCGGCTTTCCATAGACTTACCACACTACTTCACACTACCAGAGTTTTTTGTGTGACTGGTTCGTGGGAAACTTGGGAATGATTGTCTCACAACTGCGGATCACTGAACATGCAAATGACAGTTGAATCCCAAGAAGATTTGGACATCTCCCATTTAGCAACACACTTGCATGATGATCCGACGTAGTAAGTCTTTCAGAACCTTGGTAAGAAGTTTGCCAGCTCAATTAGCCAAGCTGAAGGATGCCCATGAAGTTTTTAAGGATTCAAAAACCGCTCACAGATCTGATCGCCGCTGTCAATGAAATTCTGTATGTCAATGTGACGATGGCTGACATGTGCACCTTACTTCTTCATAAATGAGAAACATAATCATCAACCACCTACATCCATCTACTATCCCTAAGATTGTTAGGTTCTCTATGGTCATGGTTTTTGTGTCGACAGTTCCCCAATTTTGAGGTCTGCCACAGCCAAGGCACGGGCATTTTGGGTGGGCAATGACCTGGTTTCAAACGATTCAACCAGCAGATACGATGTCATCAGATGTCACCATCAGATACATGCAGTAACCATGGTAGTTTCAAACCTAAATCAACGAAACATGCGGGTTCATGAAATTGCAGTGAAAACCAGCATGGAAATGTTTGAGGGTTCCATTGCAGTTTTCCAGTATGCATCAATATGCATTATATATAATTATATATATACACACACGTCTCTCGCTCTCTCTCTCTCTATATATGTATATAATATATATATATATATATGTTCAGCCAGTTGGATGCGGATGAGCATCCCAGCCGACATGTGGTTACGTCAGGTTCCCCTCTTCTCATCCAAGTCTCATGAAGCCGTTTGAGCATCCACTACTTTGCTCAAACTCACTTTTTAGAAGCTTGCAATGGCCAACAATGGCAAGGAATGGATTGCCTAGTTCTCCCTTTGACATGTCCAAAGTGCAACCGACCACATGTTTTTTTGCGATTGTTTGGGCAAGTTATAGCCACCTAACAACAAACCTTACCGCCAAAAGAGGTTAGTAAGGGAAACCAGCCATTAGGTGATATATAACTACCCAAAATACACTAGGTTAATTCTTGGTGATATCCGATCTTTTAGTAACCTGCCCAGCTTGTGTCATCAGATGGTTCCTATAAGGGAAGTCTCCCAGGTGCTGGTGAACATCATATATATATATACATATGATTATATATGACATGTGATAACGAATTTCATGTATAATATTGTATTATATATATACATAGTACTACATAGTTATATAATATACCTCTGTACATTCCCTTTTGTTTCTGATCAATTTCTTCGGATCCCCATGGATCCCCCCACTGTTGGCAGCAGCAAGCGACAGCCATCAGCCTCGAGAGGTGAGTGCCCTGCGGGCCCGTTTGGAGTGCGGACACTCAGCGCTCTGGGAATGCGACTTGGGCGCCATACGAAAAAGCGATGGCCATATGATATCCATACGATTCAGTACGACAGCGGGATTCTGTTTCCATAGTCCTCATTTTCGTACTTTACAGTAACCTCCAAACGAACAAAGCCCTTAAATTGAGAAATTGACATGACCTGACATCTGATCAGCTCAAAGCCATGATGTTTTCTGCAGGGTATCTATTAGGTGGTGGGTCATTGTAAGGTCATTGTTTGTTTCAACGTGAAATCCATATAATTTGGGGGATTCTTGAGAAAATCCAAGCACCTTAGATTGTGATTTTTGCAGAAAACCAACACTTTGTTGTTGGCCCACCAACTTGGGGTTGGCAGGTGGGATCTGTGGGAAAGGTCTGTACAAATCATCCAATTCAAGTGTTTATTACACATCACACCAAAAAAGGGACCTCAAAGTGAGCGGATCCACCAAACCCAGATTTCTACAGGGGTGATTGTTCAAAGTGGAACGGGTTTCCTAAACCAACCAAACCAAAGCGTACCATTTTGGGAGGTTATCAACTTTAAGACTAATTGGGTACTGTATGGCGAGGTAACTATCATTTGGTTTAGCAAATCCATAATTCAGGGATTGTTGAACAGCCACAACCCCCGATTCAAAAAAAGAGTCCCCTGTATGCATCATTCATATTGATTAACCTAGCAAATACAATCGACTTGTGTGCTGATTACACCATTTCCCGGATTATGTACTGATTACAGGTCTATTACAACCCGAATCTTGGCATATCACGAGTACAATGCCATTGGATTTGATCATATGGGAGGTCAAAATTAGGCAGCCCAATCATTGGATGGATAAGAGTATAAACATAGACTCAAATCTGTGGTCCCCCAGGTCTTTCAAGTTTGCTGGATACCCATATCAAGTTAAATAGCTATATGTATATTATCATATCAGTTAAATTTCATTTATATTCCATTTCTCTTGGAAAGTCCACCATATTCCATTCGGTTCATATCAAGTTGGTTGATATCCCAGTTGAACCAGGCTGGTTCTGCTGGACGAGCTGCGCCTCGCCAAAGTTCGCGAGGAGGCGCTGCCCGTGGTGGAGACATGCGTTGACGGTTTGTTTGTTTTTTTTTTTTTAAGGCGTAAGGGGGTAGTACAAATAGAAGATGATGAATATGATGGCAAATAGGGCTGTCGAAAGCACTCAAGCCCAAGGGAGCGCAGATTCTGTTGGTTACTTTCATCAGCAATTCATCCCAGATTTGGGCACTCAATTTTGACCAATCCCCACATGTCACAGTCCTGCGACCCAGGTGACCCTCATTCTTGAGGGTTTGAATCATGAATGAAGCGGGACATGCATCCCTCACATGCGTTTGACCATGATAAGCCTTCTTTGACAAGAGTATGATTCTGCCAACAAATTCACAACTGACTGGCCATTATTGGATCTGGCAGCATATCATTCTGGAGCTCAACACTGTTCAGCAAATACTATGTAACTCAAATTCTGGACGCATAAACCATGTGCTTGATTGTGTTTCTATGGGGGTATGGGACAATGTATGTGACTCCGTTAAGAGGCCATGGTTGCTAAAAATGTGAAATCGTTGCAAGCATCCTTTCGATCTTTTCATAGCGGGCTACGTTGCTGGAGAATGTACGGGCCTGGTGACCAAGGAGCGATCGCCCCCCAATTTTGGACATCCACATTTCCAGTATTTGTTCAATGCCACTGACTATTTTGACAGTATTGTTTCGTTGTATCTTGTTATGCTGTATATGACCTGGTGATTTGGTTGACCGCCAACTAGATTTGAATCGAACATCAACCTCTAATTTGGACAGGTAGTGATATACGTCATGATACGTCCCTTGCACGCACTATCTCCCAATTTACACCTGACTCGATACTTTTTTTACACACTCCACCTTTTCACATTTTTCCACATTTTTCCACGCTTTCTGAAAGGCCAAGTTTGACGTGAATTCCTACTTGTCCGAGCAGCTGAGAAGTTCGAGCCATTGGCCTGAGGTTCGGTGTGTGAAAGGGCTGGTGGAAATGCTGAACATGTATTAAGGGTGATAGGGTCACATAGGTCTCTACAGTGAGTAATTGGTGGTAAATGATGCCTTAAAACTTAAAACGAGTCAACATGCTGGTTGTATGTTTTGGTATGCTGGTTGTATGTTTTGGTACGTGGCCAAATTAAAGAAAGTTCGTACCAACCCATGTTTTCTTGAAGGACCACCTGAATAGTGGATGGCTCCCCAGAGCATGGTTTTGTTGAGAACCTCGGATCCCAACATTTCGGGCAGGTGCCTACACAAATTGTTTAAATTTGCCACTAAAGATTGTTTGATGATTCACATACCACTGCTATCTTTGCAGTGGTCGGATCAGCAACCAGTGTTTGTGCTTGCTCCCTGGTTTTCTACTGTGCCTCCGGAAATATCCGGAAATAGGTATGTTTCACCCAGAACAGTGAGGGCCTTTTATTCGGTTGTTTTCTTCTTGTAGCTCGCTCCAAAACATAGGTTTGACACATCCCACGAAAGTTGCCCTCCTGAATCAACCGGTGCCAGGGCAGCGGTTCGGGGCTCCCAGCCATTGTGTACTGGTAGGGCTCTGGGACAAAACGCTGGGGGTGGATCAAGAAAAACCCAACAGTCTACATGATTATATAAAGTTATCTATAAAGTTATAATCCAATTATAACAATTATAATCCAATTATAAATAACAATTGATTTATAAGTCTATTATCAATTATAATTGACTTGTTTGCTAAAATATGACGAAGATGAGACTGATAGGACGCAACAAGATGAAGGGTTTGTTTTAGGTTACGGCTCTGAATGCGTTCCCAATTGGGGGATCACTCCTCGCCAAGGTCCCGCACAGTCGGATCCACCAATGGAAGGCGCAGACATGGGATGGGGAAGATCCGTATACTACGCTGCTTGAAAAGGACAATGGAGATGCACGGAACATGACCTGGAACCTTGAACATATGTGAAAAAATGTGGATATAAGTGATACATAGTGATACATAGCCCTGAAATCTAGGATATTAGTGGATTCCTGAACAACTCATAGCATGGTAAGGGATTTGAGAATGTCATTTTTCAATGATGAATCATGAACATTGCCATTTGCTGGGACTAGTATAAGAACCACCAGGTTTGGAACCATTGTTTCTCTTATCGAAGTGGGCTTGTTTTGGGAGACAGAATGGTAGAGGTGACGTATGCAAACAACCTAGCAGCCCTTTTCCCTGTCGAAGCAGCGAAACAGAATGTGTGTAAGGTCTATATAAGTATAGCGTATGTGTACTCACTATGCAAGGGAACATCCCTACAAAATCGGTGTCTTTTCTTTTGAGCCATGCCATGGTGGCCAATGCCAGGTTTCGAGAACAAGTTGGCATCGCTGAAGAGCAGCAGCCTTGGCCGCGTGGTGGTGCCATAATCATCAGGAACATGCAGTGTTGTTTTCAGCAAACATGAGAATTCAACCAGGGCAAGTTTGATTTTTTTAAATTTAAGCTAAGTGTTTTTTCGGCCAAAGGATTGAAGAAGGAATTGGCATTTAACCAAGAGTGGGTTTAAACCAGTCAGCAGTGGGGGTGAATAACCAGCCAAGATGGACGTGTCAGCAGCATCAGGAAGAATAGCCAAGGAGAAAGAGAATCAGCAAAACAAACCTAATAATTATGGCATAGAGGGTCTCCATGTTGTGCGCATGGCGCGAGGTTGTCATCTTTCAAACAGGTACTGTTTGTCCGTCCACCGCAACATGTTGAACTTGAAGGAATGCCAACAGGCTCCAAAACTGACAGTGGCTGTTTGGTCGGTGCCATGATTCTGCGAAGCTGTTGAAGGAGAGTCTCAACGGAGCGTTGCACCGCAATCATCGTTCAAATCCCAACCATTGCATTATAAATCATTATAAGCAATTTCTGAAGTTGTTGTTTTTTGAACTTTTCATCCCATAAGGATCCCAATCCATTGTAGTTTAATCCCATTGGGAGTTTAATCCCATTGGGATTGTAATCCCCATGGATTTCCCCAATGGTGGATGGTTTTTTTGGTCCTTTCCTGAGGTTTCATCTTTGAGTTCCGGCAGCGCGTGGCGGAATCCGTGTCCGAGGTGGGGCTGGAGTTCATGGATTTCATGGCCAGGTTTTCGGGTGGCTGGATGTCTTTTTGACATGTACCGCTGCATTTTTAATGGATGATGGATGATGTTCCCATCCATAATTGGATGATTAATGGGCATTTAATGATGTTCCCAATTAAACATATTTTAATGGGAACATCATCCATAAATTGGGGATGTTCCATTGACACGTTTGATATACGGTATAGATTACCAGAGAGATCCAGAGAGTATTATTTTGCGGTGAACTGACATAGATATGAAAAAGGCATGGTTTCCAAGGGTAATCATCTATAGATCAGTTGTTTTTGATGTTTTCTGTCTACCAGCAAGTAAATAAACAGATGGATTCGCGAACAAACACCAACCAACCACTAGGTTTCGGGCTGACTCCAGGAATTCGATGGAGGAGTTTCCCCAACTCATTGCACTCATGGTTTCCTAGTTTCCTTACGATACTCTCAGTTCATAATTGTGGTGTATAGCCTAGCACTGAGAGTATTGTAAGCATTTGTAAGCTATGAGCTGAAAGGTTGGGCATGAACCTGCTGGATGGTTCCTAGGATTTTTTTTCCCAAAAAATGGAGTGTGAGTGTTCAATGCTAAGGCTGCTAAGGTAAACCAAGGTCATGCCCTGTGAAGACGGGTTACCTCTGGTGTCACCCTTGGGCTTGGGTGTGGCGCTGCGCAGTTGCCCGGCGCTGCTCAAGCAGCCCACGGCTTGGAGGCGTGGACGCGGCGTGGCCGTGGAGCTTGGCTGACTTAGCCTTAGATGTTGTCATTTGGAAAAGGAACATACAATGATACAATATGATACAAAATGATACAATATATGATACAATATGATACAATGTTTGTATGAAGCATAAGCAACCATTCAGGATGGCACTTCTTAACAACTGTGAAGCGGGATTGAGTGGGATTGACTTGAAACTTCATGATTTGTTTGTATGCATCCAGACATAAACCAGACAAGTTTATGTTCAATACAGAGTTTGCAGCTGACAATACACTCGGTCCCTAGAATGCACGGAGATATTATGGAGATCACATGGAACTTCATGGAACGATGGTCTCTTGATTTGGCCAATTGGCCAAAGTTCACTGCTTGCTGTTTCTAGGCTCAACACCTTTATGACTATCATGACTGAGAAGATGATTCCAAGCGATAAACACTGAGAATTGATGGCTTGGAACGGCCTTGGCCCCTAGCCAAATTGTTTTAATGATTGCTTTGACACCAAGACATCCCAATCCCATTTGACTCTCCAACATCTGGCTGCCGCGATGTTTCTGGAGTTTAGGACATGTCTTCAAACAAACTGTGACACCAAGACATCCCAATCCCATTTGACTCTCCAACATCTGGCTGCCGCGATGTTTCTGGAGTTTAGGACATGTCTTCAAACAAACTGTGACACCAAGACATCCCAATCCCATTTGACTCTCCAACATCTGGCTGCCGCGATGTTTCTGGAGTTTAGGACATGTCTTCAAACAAACTGTGACACCAAGACATCCCAATCCCATTTGACTCTCCAACATCTGGCTGCCGCGATGTTTCTGGAGTTTAGGACATGTCTTCAAACAAACTGTGACACCAAGACATCCCAATCCCATTTGACTCTCCAACATCTGGCTGCCGCGATGTTTCTGGAGTTTAGGACATGTCTTCAAACAAACTGTGACACCAAGACATCCCAATCCCATTTGACTCTCCAACATCTGGCTGCCGCGATGTTTCTGGAGTTTAGGACGTGTCTTCAAACAAACTGAACGAACAAGGTTGGGGCCAGTGGAATATGATTCATTATTTTTACCGTGGTCGAGGACATATTGTGCTGGCATCATCAGCCAGAATTGCGGCCTATGATCATGAAGAACAATATCATGAGAAGCAGCAAGCACATCACTGGGATGTTTCTGGACTTGGACGGTCTTTGCCTGAAGTCATGGCACCTGGTTGAGAAATATGGAATGACACGCTGATTTCATGGTGGCTTCCACAATCCCACTGCTCACTCTTCCTGGACGCGATTTGCGAGAGAAAAATGACACACTCTTAGTGGACATGGTGGTTTGAATCCCTCTTGAAAGGAAGGAACTCATGGCTGATTCCTTTGTAGATCTCCATTTATCATTTAGGGATTAGGGCAAGTTACATTAGAGGCACTGTTGGTTACTCAAAATGCTGGTGATGTACCCATCACTGTTTGCCCCACCTGTGTTTCCTGTTGCTGCCAGGGTTCGCAAGCCTTGGTGAAAACTCTGGAGCTAGGCGATGACTGCCGTGGGAGAATGGATGTCTACTGACACCCAAATGTGTCTAGTACACTTGGGAATAGGATGATCCTGAGAATATCCTTGCCAAAAGCAGATGTAGTGGGTAAATACACATTTGATGGGATGCCTTCCGGTAATTTAATCTAACTAATTATCCGAAATTGCCAATGTAATAGGTATTTGCATGGATTTACCAATTTAAATGGATGATTTTGCATAGCTGTGTTAATTTACCAGCGAGTATACGTCAGCAAATGCGGCAGCATCCCCGGTCGCATGTACGGAGGCGGATAGTCCAATCAGCAAGGAAAAAACATATCAACAAGAGCGGGATAGAATCAGGTGGGAAACGGTAACCATAGTCTCAAGAAGAGAATCAGTTGGGCTGTACCCCCCAGGAACCCAATGGCTTTTCCACTTTGGTTTGGCCCATGCCATGATTCTTTGGGACAAGGTTGTAGTGGAGGCTGAAGGGTTTGTGAAGTGTCAGGTGCGATGGCATGACAAAGAGATTTGCAAGGCAAATCAAAGAGTGCCACATCGCCAAAGTAGTTTCAGTCAATTTGAAAGGTGTTAGAAACACATGTAAGGACTTGTGATCTGATAAACGTTGTGTTGTCTGCGATGTCAAGCACATTCTTTGAATTATCAATCCTTCCAGGTCTGCTTTTGTTCTTCGATCCTTTCGCTCTTACTTGGCCCTTCTTGACTGGGCTACGCATCAGAATCCGGGAAACCCAGTGAACATTGAACTACCTGTCATGTCAACCCAGGAATAATGAAAATGCACGGGTTCAATTTACTACCCCAGACTTTTGGGGCAACATGAAATGAATGAAATGAATGAACGGATATGAATGGATATGAATGTTTTGAGAGTTTTGACCCCCTCGTCTCCATAGGATCACCCCCTGAAATCGTCGAAAGGGCGTGGTGCATTCGGACGACTACTGTTCGGAAGCCGAGCCCTGCAGGGGGCATGAATTTCAGGGGAAAACTTCGCTGATGGAAGGCCTCTATCGAGTAAATCAAGTGGTGGTGAATGGTAGTTGATGGGTTCATTTTTGGTCACAGATAGGTGATGAATAGAAGGCATCTTGGTGAATAGCAGGTGAGAATGTGTCGACCTTCAGCCACAACAAATGGGAAAACAGAATGGAAAAAACGGAACAAACAAAATTCAGGAGTATGTAAGATCCTCTATGACAAGTTGGTGAGTTCCATTTGCTGGATGATTCTGTTTAAAAACCACCATGAGGAGCTGGGGAGGGATGATTCCCACGTGATACCCTCAGGGTTTGTCAGTCTTTTGAGATGTTGTTGCTTCTTTTCTGGGAGTTTTTTCCTATAACAGTTTGTTGCCTGATTATGCTCCGATTCCGTTCCCAGCATTTCCACAGCTCTTGATCAATCAGTACTCTCTTAAGGCTCTGTAATTGGGAGGTCTTAGACATCTTGATTATTCGCCTGGCGAGCGCAAGTTCTATTGCCATGGCGCTCTCCACTCAACAACCCGAAGAGCAAACACTCGCAGGTCAGGCACCTCTAGGAATTATAGCATTTGTAAGAGGGTGAGAGCCACGATGATCAGTTTCAACAACTTGTCAAATCTTAAAGCCCCATTTACTTTTCTTCTTTCTGGGCGATTTGAAGCTCAGCTGCTCGCCAACGTGACACTTGGAATTCCGATGCAATCTTACATGGGCCTTTGCATGTCTCTGAGGCACAGACCTTGCAATAAATAAAAATAAAAAGGAAAATAACACCAAATAAATAGATAAAAACATATAAAAAGAAAAACACAATACCTGCAAAGAACCATGCAAGTGTGAAACACTTGGCTATAGAAAAACAGTCTCTCTCACTGATCAAAGATGATCAAAGAAACGGTCATCCCCATTGACATGGTTGGTCACCAGATGTAACCGGTGTTTCCAGGCACGCTGCGCTCTTCTTGTACCAGAAGCTCAGGACACGGGGGTGGCGTGGTGCAAGGGGCGAGATTGGGGGATGGTCATCAATCCAGTAATGGGAATCACATATTATAATAATCCCTTCCTCCTAATACTAAACCCCCCCCCCTAATACAAAACACGGCAAGTAGTTTTTAGTATTAGGGGGGTATTTATTATTAGGGAACCAAAATATTGCCAAAAATGGCAGTTCGAAGCTTACCCCTAATACTAAATTAAAACCCTTAATAATAAAAGCCATTTTTTCCGATCTCAAAATCAATTAAATTTCCTTGTATAACGCAATTAAAATATTGCCAAAAATGGCAGTTCGAAGCTTACCCCTAATTGCTAGAGTAGCCAGGCAGCTTGGAGTGAGGGATTGGGACTAGGCCCCCCTAATACTAAACACCCCGGGGTGAACTAGTTTTTAGTATTAGGGGGGAGAAACCGCAAATGGTAGGTTGATTTTTAAATTGTTTTTTAAAGGGGATCAATTAAAAGTCAAATTGGCCAAACTGAAATTTTCGGAAATTGGAGATGGATGCCTGTTTTTAGTATTAGGGGGACGTTTAGTATTAGGAGGAAGGGATTATATATATAATATATATTATATCTATATTATATATATATTATATTATATCATATTATATTATATTATATTTAAGGGCTTTGCTTGTCAAGACTTGGGGACATGGTATAGCGGAGGTGGCACTGGACCCAGGTATTGCTACAATTTTCAAGTTGCTTTGCAGCGCAGTCCGATGGCCTCAGCCACATCCTTCCGGTGTGCCGACAAAAACGTGTGGAAGGTGTATCTGGATGATCTGGGTGTGAAACCGCCAGGCTTCACCACCTGGCGCTTGCACGAGATACATAAAGAGAAAGGAAACAAAAACACCTAAAAGGACAGATATAGACAAAGAGATACATAAAGGTAAAGAAAAAACACATTTGCTGCAAAAGCACCTCCCGGCAGCAAAACAGCATGGCAGGGGAAGGACGAGCAAGATACAGAATCGCACCGAAAAAGTCCCTAATGTGTCTTCTGAAATCTATAGAAAGAAGAGAAACGAGACCAAAAAGCTGCTGCTGCTGCTGTTATTGTTATGCTGCCCCCCCACTACGCTGAAACATGATGGCGGCTGCTGCTGCTGCTGGTGCTGGTGGTGTTGGTGTTGGAGGTAAATCTTTTTCCCTGGCGCACTCCCCCTTGCTGTCGGCCGGGGTCAGCGGATTCATTATAAGGATTCCCCGTGGATGACCATAGATATACCATATAGCACACATATAGCACATATATAGCACACATGAACCCAGCCAAATTTGAACATCGTTTGGGTGTACGATGGTGGTATAGTGCCTAGATCTGCCTAGGGATGCCGTTTGGGCGTCCGCTTGGAAACCTCCGTTCCAACAGCAGGAGAAAGTGTTTCCACAATTTATGGATTATGTTGAATTATGTTGTATAAAGATCCACAATGGAGAAAATATGAAGATGTATAGAGATATTCTGAATCATAATTTCCTGTTTCCCAATCTATTGGCTGATGTCTTGCTATAGATACACAGTTCAATTTTCAGTCCCATTGCTGATACAAGTTGGCAGTCAAACTGTTTGATGCAGGAAATCGAATGATTGATGCAGAATACTTTTTGACCCATTCCCATGTCAAATATGCAATTTGGAGACACAAAAAAAAACTCCATTGTTGCAAGGTTTGAATGATCCCAAACAAGCGAATAAACAGGGTTGATTGATTTTCCACAATAGAGGTCACAACTGTGATCAGGTACATGAAAGATGCTGGGCTATAGATGAAGGATCCTTCAAGAACGGGCAATTTACTTTACGTTGGTGCTTGAAAATATTGCGTTATCGAATCTGCACCGGAACGGAACCGTAAGACTTAAAACCAAAGATTAATTGATGTTGACGCCTTATTCTTGGAGATGTATACATTCCATCCACTACATTTCCGATGCATCCAGAATTGGGATCTACCACCAAAATCATGCCGCCCCCAGTCACAGTTCACCAATTTTTTCGGATACATTGCCTTAGTGTGCTTAAAGCCAGTGACTATTCCATGCATGAGAACCAATGTCAACCAACCACTCGGGCAGTCGAAAAATGGGGATGTCAGGACCTTGGTTCCTACAGAGTTGGAGGCAAAAACGATGTGGGTGAGGATGGATTTGTTAATGTCAATTGGAATAATCATGTGTGAAATTTCACCATGGCGGGCATAATGGTTCCTTTGGTTCCTTTCTGGGTCCTTTTGGGAGGGTTTGACACGCTTTTTGGGGGGTTCAACACACGTGACGATGTGCTTGACGTAATTGACTTACAGCGGGGACTGGTCGGAAAACGAAACCGTATGTTTTGCTAGAATTACTGACAAACAGTGGAGCCCGAGAGTAATTATTGAATTATTTAATTTGCTGGATATCATCCAATCATACCAGCAAAAGTAATTATTGAATATGTTGTTACTCTGCCTGGGGAACTAAACTGGCCGCGTGAAGAATCCGGTCCCAGCCATTTCAAATGGGTGGTGTTCTTCCGTCGATTAGGTCGCATCAGTGCAGGTGGGGTTGTTAAATTGGCTGAGTTTTGGACTGAACACACATGACATTTGCTACCAAACTATCAGATGGGCTTACATCAAAAATGGCCTTTCAAGATGATGTTTCTTCTCAATTTGCCATGTCCATTGGGCCATTGGGCCATTGGGTGGATGCCAGGTGACCATGCGCGATCCTCTGAGCCGCCTGGTGCCTGTGCCCTTCTACGTGCTTCCCTACAAGGCGGGGAGGTCACCTTCCAGGGGGTTGGGGAAACTGCCACGTGGGCCATATGATTATATATGATATCATGATATCATATGAATCATATGGCAGTTCCATGGAAATCACCTACTCTAATTGGGGAATTACACCATACAAATATATACAATCATATAATAGTGGGGATTGTTTGTAAGGTCAGCAGTAAAACGAATTACTTAGCAGATTGTTTTGAAATCTTTGTCTTGTTATGATGGGTGGCACCAAAAATATGTCGGGATATTGTATACCACATGGTGATGGGATGTTCCCATCAAATATCCCATGATCTATCCAGCATTGTTCAAAGAAAGGATGATAGATCTACTCAGTATCTAACTCACTAAATTTCCCAAAGCGATAACCCATCACCCAAAAAATGATATCGTCATGACAGAATGAAATGACAGAATCGTTATGTAATCAGTTGACAGACAAACAACGGAGGCAAACAATCGAATCCAATGCCGCATGATGGAAGTTGGAGCTGATTTCATTGACCAAATTGGAGAAATGTGGATACGGGCGACCAACAAAAAATGGTCATGAAGGAAAAACAATGGCGACACCAACCACTGCGCAAATCAGGGGGAAGACCCCCCTATAAGTGAGATTATCAATTGCGTACTTTTGGGGGTAGATGTCCGCCTACCCCATTGAATTGGCCTTGTGGTATTCTGTGATATCGTTGCAAATGTGCTGGAGTTCCATTCTCAGAGCCAGGTGCCACCAAAGGTGCGCCTCGCGGTGCAGGAAGTTGGAGCACAGCGCAGTGTAGGCGCAGGGAGATGAGTTTGTCGGAAAAAAAAACTGGGAAAACCAGAAGAATCCCATGGTTGACATATGTTGACATATGTTGACATCATTTTCTGAAAATGACAGCATGGCTATAAATTGGGAGGCCAGATGAGACCATTGATGATCAACCATGGGAATCTGGCTGGCAGAGATGATCTAGACACTACACAGAGGAGTTAACGCCTAAAATATGGGAACTTGGACAGCAAAATCAACCACGAGGATTTGGTATGATTTTTACAGCGAACAAATCGGCGTTTCAACGGTCTAACATGGTTTAACTAAAGATAAAGGGAATGGGGATTTGAGGACCAAACATGAGGCTAGACCTCTGAACATTGGAAATTGCCCCCTTACAACGGGGATTTGACGCAGACTCAGACTGGTCAGTTGATTCATTGACAAAGCGGCTGTCCATCTCTTTTGGGTCTTATTCGCATTCCTGTCATAATCCATTAATATCGATTAGATTTATTCATCCTTGCTCTTTGGTAGTTTAGAGCTGCCTTTCGACCAAGTCATACACTTTCCGATACGACACTAAATGGCAAAACATTGCAAACCTATGAAATACTATGAATATCATCGATTTTCCTATGAATATCTGAGAACATTCTAGTACATATTCTCTGAATTTCCTGTGCTAATTTTGCACTAAGTTGAGCGACATCCCGTCGCTGCTCTGGGCAGGTGGCTTAGCCCGAAGTTTGGCGCGTGGTGGACCGGGTCAAGGTCGAGGCAGGGCCCAGGCTCCCACGGTCCCAACGGTCAGATGTCAAACGCAGAGAGAATCACCGCTGTCCAACAAGGAGTCCCAAAGAAGCAACTAGTCTTTGTATGTCTTTGTACTGTAGGGATTTGCGAACCATATTACCATATTTTTATTGGATTTGCATAGCCTAGTGATGTGGGATTTGTGATGAATTGTGTTTCTAGTCTCTTTGACAGATTTCAAAAAGAACATGATTGCCGTTGTAGTGTCCCAAGATGGCGTCAAGAAATCCTTTCTTTAAAACCTCCTTGAAAGGCATTGAAAGACATTGAAAGGGCAGTTTCAAAATGTTTCAAAAAATCAGCATTGGTTGTCCATTGTATATATATACATAGTTATCCAATGTTTTCCATAATGATAGGTCCAGCTTCCAGCTGGGCAGTTCCGCCAGGTCAGTTGGAAGAGCTGCAGGAGACCGTCGGGGATAGCCATCAGCCCCGAGGGGTCGAAAGGGCTGTGAAATGTGAAAAATCTCTATTTTAAACAACATCAATAGCATTAATAGCATTATATAATGGAATTGAATTTGAAATAGATAATTAGATAATGATATATAGATGATCGTGATCAAACAGATACAGACATAGATATGGATAGATAGGAGATGATAACTCATGATGATAGAAGATATAGCCAGTGATATAAAACCTCGTGTTGCCCTCAAGGCTGATTTTCTGTTGGAGCCTTGGTTTCTGATGAGATTCCCACTGGCTGTTGAGTGGGTATCTGAGGAGGGAAGGTGCTGGTTTCTTTCGCAGTGGTTGATGACATGGTGTTTGGTCATGCATCCAGTTTTGTCCTTTGATATTGACAGATTACGGCGTCTATGTTGTCAAAATTGGCAGGTTTATTTTGTTGGTCGCGTCCATTTCGGCTACTTAGGAACCCACAAAACCACTTCGCGCATGTTCAACCCAAGCGAGATGCATTCCATAAGTACACGAGTAGTCGCCAAAACTCCATGGATATACCCTAGGGAATCCAGGAACCATCAGGAACCATTCTTGCTGACCACTCGCCGATTGTTGTGTTGAAACATGTTTTGCTCTCATTCCTGAGATGATAATCCACTCATTTTTCGGTGGGATTGGATTGAAACCATCGACCAGTTCACAAACTGCGGAGGATTTGATGCCGCCAGGGTGCTCAGCGCTGATAGCAGCTACAAATTGATGCCAATGTAACCTTAAGGTCATCCTCCAGGGTTTCAGAACAACCAGCACCACTGCAAAAGATAGATTAAAATCATATATACATCATCATATATCCCTTTATACATAATTATATCCCCGTGATACCCCCATGATAAGGATATATGATATATTATATGTAATGTTATACGGAATTTCTTTGGTTTTACATTTCCCCATTATCTCTCCATCGTTTGTTTTATATTATTGGATCTATCCCCACTGTTTAAACCATATACATTCTCCATCATTTATTGGCATTATATCCATATTACAGCTATATAAGCTATTTGTGCCCTATTTCAAAATGAAGATTTAACCACTATGTTTACATATCAAGTTATATCCACTTGCAGAAATTTATATTCAGATTATGATATATCCAGAATGTTTACATCAATATTAATATGTATATATTATATATATATGCATACTGTATGATATATAGTTATTGACATTGATATAGATGTTCATACCATTAATATCTATTTATACAATCTTCTGCGACAGCTATGGCTGATTTCACCTCCCCAAACACAACGAGAATCAAAGGGGTCAGCGCCTTGAGCCTCCCAGCATCCCAGCAAGGCTCTGCGCCTCGGACCGCACCGCCATCCCGGGCTTCCTGGCGCAACTGCTGCGAATCCGCGGCGCAGGTGCCACAGACGGAAAAAAATGGGGGGTAGGGGGCGGCTTAAGGAAATCCCAGGGGAAATCCCAAGGGAAATCCCAATGGGGTTGCTTTAGGATGCTTTAGGCACTTTGTAGATTGAATGATTGGGAGGTTTACCTGGGAGTCTGGTCAAAATCAGTTGCTCATGGTACTTGGGAACAAGTGCGGAAGAATGCGGCGCGAAAACTGATGATTCGTGGAGTTTCGTGGATTGATTTGACACATGTGGTGTGCTCCCTCCGAAGATGAGGCAATGATATATGATCAGTGGGTTGATTTCACAAAACATGAGGTTTCAACAGTTTCAACGATAAAAAATGAATAAAACGATCTGGATCAACCTCGGGAGATGACTTAAATCGCAAGTTCAGCAAAGTCACTAGAAACATCTAGAAACTAGAAACAGTTAATACACAGTCAATATCACCAACCAGGTTTGATTTGACCAAAACTGGATTTGTTTGAACAAAGAAATGGGGAAGCAACCAGCCGAACCCAGTCACCCGGCAGCTGGTGGGACAGGTCCTCCTAGTGAGCCAATGGAGGGTGAGCCGCGAAGAGGAGCAGGTGCCATTCCAAGATGGGGAAAAGTGGTGAGGAAAAGGGTCACCCCATATGCTTCAATTGTTTGATATTGTGGTTGATATGAAATTCTGAAGCTGCTGGAAGAGTTTGGAGGAAGCACCTATACATTACATTTGATGGTAATTGTTCTCTGAGAGCAAACCCAGTGGCAAATTCACAAGAATTTGGATATGCATCAACATCCGTCGGGTAGCAGACCCATCTAACATCCGCAAGCTAGAAACGTTGCTGCATTTAAACATACCGTAAACCGACAGTTTACCAACAGGTACAGGGACAGAACGGCCGAATGGGGGAAATCATGCAAATTTGAAACATCCAAAAGGAACTGATTCTTAATGATTGTGATCTCCGCCAAAAGGTATGCTTCTAATAATAGATATTTTGCATAGCAATCAACAAATTATGATAGTTATGGGTGTGCAACCTCCTCATAGCAAGAAAACACCATGTTAGCTAACATGTTGATAACAAGAGACATTGGGATAAGTCGTTTGGAGACAGATCTCATCTTCAGGGTTTTGCCATAAACTAAAAGTTTCAAGTTCCACACTTATTCACCAGTCATTGCCTAGGATGATCATATATCATTTAGAAATCGTAAGGTTATCTTTCCTTCAAGTCTTTATGATTTACAAGTACTTCGCAGAAGTTTGACACAAACGCATATATGGAACCTGGATGTGGCTCGAATTGTTTGTTCAGAGGCCTCGACACGTCCACCCATAATCAGATTGTTTGGATCTTCTGCTCTGTTCCTCACAGCTTTGGTCACTTCATCCTTTTTCCTTACGAAGGTATCCCGGTCCAGGGTGGTTCAACCACGAAAGCGTCAGTGTAGTATCCCTTTCTTGTCGCTCATTTTGGAAGTTGGACTTGCATTGGACTTCCTAATTATTTCCCTATGTTATACCAACATAACATTTGTTGAATTGAACTGAATGTTGAACACCATTTCTGTTGTAGTTGACTCAGCACTTGGTGAGGCTATCGCGACGGCCTTGATCAGCTGGTGGTCGATGCGCTCACGGCAGCCTGGCAGGGTAAACCTACGGAAATCATGGGATTCTTGGAGGTAATCCCAAGTGGCTTTGGGCAAGGAGGACTAAACATGATCTACCATTTTTAATGGTTTTGCCCCAAAAAATTGGACTTCTCTGAAAATGGGATACTTCCAAATCCAAAGGATTAAAGCCTCAATTGTCCCATATCATATCAGTGATGGAAGACTCTTTTGCCTTTACCTTGATTTCTGGACAAATCCAAACAACAAATGAAGACATGATGTGCGGGATAGCTAGCAAACAGTGGAATATCATCAAAGTTCATGTTCATTGTTCATTCTAGTGGCAAGAACATGGTTTATCCTTGCTGCTTCTGCAATTCTTTAACTGGCAAAAGTGGTGCCCCATTGGGCTTGAAAGTCTCGAGCGGAGGCTAGCTAAAGCTTGTGCCCGTGTTTTTTCTCCGGTCTTATTCCGAAGAATTTTCCCATGAACGACAACAACCTCACTGCGACGTCGCTCTCAATGATGATTGGTATCGGGGACCATCCCCAAATACCTAAATTTCAGGTTGGTAAATTGAGATTTGTCCAAATTCAGTCATGAAGTCATGAAGCGATTACACACGATCATTTTCTATTCCTCTCCGTTAACCCTATGATCAATCCAATGATTCCATATGATTCCCAGGTTTACATGAGCGGTTGGCGCCTATCTCGCGCTGCCGTGCCCGCAGTGCCTGCGGTGCCTGCGGAGCCAGTGAGTGTGGAGGCGACACGGCGCGTTGGAGCTTGGCATGTCATGGGTCCCAGAAACCGGTGAAATGAATGTCAGTTGGATATTTGTGTATACATCCAACATCATCCAACCATTGTATGATTAATTATATGTGACATGTGGATATACTTGGAATATCATCCGGATATAAAATTAATAGTGTGACATAGTTTGCAGGTTTGTATTAACAAGGGGGGGATAGATGTTCCAAACCACCGGACTTTTTGAGGTATACCCTGTTTTCAAACAAAACACGTATGACCCAGATGATAACTGGTCGTTCTTGATCATTGCTGGTCATGCGAGGTCGATCCACATGGATCCCCATGGATTGAATGATATTTGGGGGGTATGACTGTATGACTTCAAAAATTGCATACGTGGTAGGTAAGTCAGAATTGACGGTTCAAGAGGCCACAAATGCTGTCACTTTTTGACAGTACCATTTCTGAATTTGGGATAATGACAATTCCCATGCCCAAATGGGTGGTTTTCGGTTATTTGCGGCGCCTCATGGTAGACTTTACCACTTTTGCGCCTAGTCTTGGGAAAACGATCAAACATTGACTTTGTTTGGTTGTTTGGAACTATTGCAGCTCAGATGGGATTATAAAATAAAATGATATAAACAACTTAAAAAAATACATGGAGATCTGGGTCATGTTGGTTGACATCCCCATATCAAACTGGATAAACATACGATGCTATGCCTGCAACACTTGGGGATATATCAGTTTGCGTCAACCAATAGGCTGTCATCATTGGTGGCTTCAAAAACGGTTTATTGTGGATTTTTCTTGTTAGTATGATGAACACATTTGACACCTGTTTGTTTGGGTAGGTTCACCCGTCAAACAAGCACACCCTAGGTAACCAGGAATAATACCATTCATATCCATTTGTAATTGTTTTCCCAGAATGGTTCATTACGATGAGCAGATCCAACAATCTGTCTACCTATCGGTCAGCAGTTAAGTAGAGGATTATGCATGATGTACGAGAAAACCCACCTCAGTATGGGTCACGGTGAACACCCCAAACTGTGTTTTTTGTGGCTTCCAAATATGTATTTTCAATTTTACTTTGCATATCTTTGCATAGTCCCGCTTGACTGGCATATTAAAAAATACGGTGTTTTTTTTCATCCTACTAGTACCTGGTGATAGTGGTCCCATTGAACATCATAATCACATTTTGTTGAAACATGCTTTCGGGCTGAAACCATCAATCAACCAAAGGGTTGGCTAGTGGTTTGGGCCCGGTGACTTTGATTCTTGAGAATACCGCCTAAACCAGGAATAACGGCGGTTTAGATTCTCCCAATTATCCCATATTATCCCCCTTTTTGCAACCAACCAATCCCGGGACTCCAAAGCACCGAGCCCCGCGCCAGGCGGCGCCCAAGCGGAGTAGCGAACCACTCCAACGGCGCGAGGCGTCGGAAGGCGTGGAATCAGCCGTCAGAGGGGGGTCAGCTGTACCCAAACTCGGGATATATCACCAACTAATCAGGAACCAGAATGAGGATCATGGGAACATGTAAACAAGAATATGATATGGGTTTGAGTACGCATGGGCCTTCGCTTTACCCCCAAGTCATTACGAGTCTAGTGGGGAAAATGATGGTAAACCATGAGATTCTAGGGGTCCAAATCTTGAAATCTTAATTTTGATCATCGAAACATACTTATTTTGCAAAGCGCTCATTGAAGCAGCAAGAAACTACTAACTTCCTTTCAACTGATCACAGTGTCTGTGATTGAACTCGTTCTGAACAATACTCTGTGTGAAAGAGCTCTGTGTGAAACGCCTGGTGGGCTTTATTTTGACCGTTCGGGCACTTTGTTGTTTTTGCATAATCCTTCGACCAGCAGGGCAGGGTGGAACTAAAGTTACCTTGTCTGGAGGACTTATCCATAAGATTCAGGGTGAAACACTTGAAAGGAGGCTCAGTTAGGTTCCAGGCCCGTGCCATTGTAAGTAGATAGTAAGCACATCTACAGGGTTGATAGTTTTGGATTTTGCATGATTTCAACTCCCCATATGTCTGATCGTTTTTTTTTTAAAGTCCAATGGATTAGACAGTTGAGCTGTGCTTCTGCAGTAGGCCGGGAACGCCGTGCCCGAGGGCCTCAAGGCCCTGGCAGATGATTTGGGCGGCGCTGAGGACCTCTTCGGCTCAAAGAGCAACTGTGCTAGTTGGCAAAACAGAATCGATATGAATTGGGTGTATAACCAACGATTGCAATAGTTGGGATGTAAGCAACAGGGATGCTGGGATATATTTAGTTCGTATATTATCCATGATAGCTGGGATATGGCCAACCAACAAGATTGGTTGTGGTTAACAGTATCTACTACATATATTGTTTCCCCAATCTCGACTTGAGATGATTGGCTCAACGGGACAAAGACAGTTTGGAATGAGTCGAAGCCAGCAAACAAGTGAAAGCGCATAGCTAGTTGCAAGTACTTACATGGATGCAAATGGAGCCGAAGAAGTTACAAGTCCACCTGCATTCACACCCTGACATTCTACTGATGTTGCAAGTGTCCTGATTGATTTCACCCATCTCCCGGATGGCTCTGGGTCACACCGATCCCACCCCCTTCCATTGCCCCAACGGCAAGGCGAAGCCTGGCAGGGAATGAAGCTAAGACTGGGCGAGGGCCTTGGTTCGGGGGAACGTAGCAGCATTTTGTGATCTCATTGCCCCCTCCTTGACCCAAACCTGTGTGACCAGTTGCGAGGTTCACATTCTTAACTGAATAGCCGCACTTATGAGGGACTGCTCCGCCATTTAGCACAAACAATACTCATGGACATTTCTTTTTAGGGGATATACAAGGAAACTTGGGATCAATGACTCTCCGGGAATATGTTCCTTAGAGTTCCTGGGTGGCAAATACCGACATGGCTGACTGAAGAGCCGGTCATTTTGGATTTGGGAGTGAACCGCACTTACCAAGGCGCATTGCCTCTCAGAAAAATTAATTAATTGGGATGAAAGCAGCCAAGCTGATAAAACAAACAAATTGCACATGTGAACTTGTGACAACCATAGAATTGGTCCATCCAAAGCCAGGTATTGAACTAAAAGAGCAACAGTCAAGTCTATCCTTTCCCAATGTTGGGCCAGACCTTCAGTGTTGAGAATGCGTCCATGCCTCTGCATTTGACTTACCCTGAGAAAAATCGATGTTTAGTCACACTAATCCACAAAAATCATGGAACCCCAGTGGCTGACCAGCCCGCCATGAGGTCCTGAACGGCCTGGTGCATGAGGCTTGACGGCTGGATGCAGCATTGGACACAATATTGGGTCTGGATATTGAAATAGTATTGGACACAATATTGGACACAATATTGGATTCGCCATTTGTGAATCAATTCATTGTAACTGGGAGTTTCGCAGCGATACACATACCTGAGGGTGCCTCAAAGTGACCCTTGCAGCCTTTCAAGAAGTCTTCCCTTCATGCTCCGGAGGTTGGCTCTCGGGAAAGCCAGCATCCATCAAGGCTGGGAAGAGTCCAAACTCTATGATCTGATATGATGATGTGGTGGCAGTGGGTTTGGGTCAGTCACCCTAGCACTCTGTCAGACCCCTAAAACCTGGGCAATCATTCATGGGTTATTTATCCAATTTCAATCAGGTGAGGGTCAATGCAGCTACTTTCACCAGGCTCTCCCCAAATGTTCATGCTCTCACCAACAAACATCCACAAGTGTCAATCCTCTACTCTTAACATCTGCTTCCCGCTTCCCCCAACGGAATCCAAAGGGTGTAAGCCCTCATGGAAGCCTGCATTTGACTTACATGTCTTCGAAGTCCTCTTATTCACATGATGATTATTTGGTCTACAACATAGTGCTCTTGAAAAGGGTGCTTACTGTATCGGGTCTTGACACTGCAGATTTGCGACTTGTTTGATTCCAAAACGCTACATGTATGTTATATTTAAAGTTAAAGTTAAGTTATTTACTTCTATCGGCCAGTTTTTGGTGAAGCCTCGGTAAATGCACCCTGCCCACATGGAATCCCGATCGCTTTCTGTGTTCCCCAAGCCCGTGCTGCCAGGCCAATGGTGCGGATGGATGACCAGCCAATGACCAGCTGCCAAAGTTGCGCAGACGGCTTGCCAGTTTCAGCTGAAACAAGTGTGAACACTTGGAGGTTGGCTTTGTCTACATTCGAGCAAGGAGTTGAATTATTTTCTGGACCCAGACAGGAGACGTTAGTTTGCCGTGTCTCTCAGCTCGCATATCAAGAGAGACCTGTTGTGACAAATGTTTGATTGAAGTTACTATTTGAAAGTCATTTTGTGTTTGTTATTCAGGTATAGTTGATTACTATCGTGAGGGACATAGTGATAGATAGTGATGCAGTCAGAATTGAAGACTGCGTTGAATCCGAGGCAGCTGAGATTTGATCCACTTGGTAAAACGGTTGAAATTGTGATGTAACATTGTTGGATGGTTGATCTTCCAAACACGTTGATTTCTTGCATATGTTTGCGTCGTGTCTATATTTTATATAGCAGGGCTCCATGAAGGTGCTTTTCAACTTCAAGGAACATCTCCCTCCTCTGCCGTCTCAGCTGTCAAAGCTTGCAGCACTTTCCACAAACAGACGAAGACTCGAACAGAGCAAGGGTTATCCATTGAACCATGTTTATGAAATGGGTTATCGTGCATTTGGTTGGCAATAATTGCGCCTGACAGCTCCAAAGAAATGACTGGTACTCCGAAGAGGCAGTTGCAGACAAGTTGCAGTCGGAACAGTTGCAACCTCACAGCCTCCATGCTTCGAAAAGGATGATAGCATTGGAGGTTGTTAGGTTCCAGATAGCCCCAGAGTATCCACTGCTTCCAGTAGTGTGTGGGTCTAAGGAAAAACGGTAGTAACTATTCAGGACATATCAGCCAACCCTTAGCCAACCTCCCAGCCTTCGCGCCCATTGGGCTGTGTGCCCGAAAACACCATGGCGTTGGTCCAGGTGGGGCCGTCGGGGAGACTGATCCAAAAAGGTGATGAGACTCCAACGAACATGGATCCAAAGACTCTGAAGGTCAAGGAAAACATCGGAAAAAAAACATGTTTGATGACAAAAAATGCTTCAGTTGAGCCATGTAGTGCCGCTGGAGGTTCCCAACACGGAGGACCGGTGGACAGCGCATGTGCTTTTGAGGTGTGGGGTGTTTGGGGATCTACTGCGTGTGATCCCTGTCATTGATCCATGGATCATCGGGGATATTCCTGTGATTCTCTTGTCGTCGGGAAAACATTGTTGGTTAGGCCATGTTAGGCCCCAGTATTTGTGAATTGCCATTTTCATTGATAGAACTTGCCATTTTCATTGATGGAATCAGCGAACTATTTGATCAACAGCTTGAAGGTCTTAATGACTTAATGCAATATGTTTTTGAGGTTACGGTCAGCTGCCTGATGCTACATGCAAGGTTGCCTTCAGCGCGCAAACTATTGCATTGCTCAGTGGAAAGGACGTCTTCAACCGGTGTTCGCGGCGGTTCCGTTCAAGTTGGGAAGCTCATGTCCGACCTCGATGAGACTGCTTTGAGAACGCTGGTTCCTGCCATTTTGGACAAGGCAAATCTTGAACCTGGCGAAGTGGCGAAGTGGTCCTTACTATTGGTCTTGCAGCCTGCCCTGGCAGCCGGATATGCTGCCCTTTGCCCCCTTGTTTTGGGCGGCAGGGTTGACATGGCTGGGTGTGGTGATGAAATTATGGTTTCCCTATGTATTCCCCCTGATGTTGGATGTGTTTACCAAGGAGATGCCGTGGGACCCTGTGACGGCGAAGGAGTTTCTTTTTTCGTTCTGGTTGAAACAAGCAAAGATGAAGGATCATTCCATGATGAAAGTGAGTGTGTCACATCATTATGTTGCTTCATCTTCATCTTCGTCTTCGTCTTCATGTTCATCTTCGTCTTCGTCTTCGTCTTTGTCTTCGTCGTCATCATCATCACCACCATCACCATTATCATCAGCATCAGCATCATCACCATCATCATCGTGAATGCAATAACCTCTGTGACCTACCTGGGTGAAATCAGTCCGCAGTCCCCATGTTGACAATTCCTACAAGCCCCGGGTATTTACAAAAAGGGATTGCCACCAAGAAGGCCATAGCTGAGAAGACAAAGCTTGGGTAGGTAGCTACTCTGGATTTGAACCATCCTGGCCTAGCCTTTTTTCTTAGCGTTTGTTTGGACAGGAAAATGCTGATTTTACACATCTAGGAGAGCTTCCCCGTTGGTGGTTGACAATATCGAATCGTTTGTTGATAGCAACATCCCGCGTCCCGTTTGACGCCAAAGGGTCATGTTTTCTCCGCATATGTTCAATACTTTGGCGATTTGATGGATAACGGAAGCGATCTATTGGTAAAGTCGGTCAGACTATTCAATCCCAACCTCAGCGCCCATGACCAGTTGTCAGGATAAGAAATTTATGGTGCGACAGTTCCAGTTTACACACCATCTTTATATATAAATATTTATAATTGGTATGCAACCCTATAGTTCGGAACCTGTTAATCATGTATCCCATTTAAGCCACTGTTTGGTACATTCATATCCCAGTTTTTCTGGTGCCTTAAAGGCCATATTATGACCAGGAGATGTACAACTACATCGCCGAGAGACCTGGAGGTGTGTCGCTGGAGGTGTGGCCGAAGGAATGGTGGGGGATTGGAATCGGATGGAGTGATACCAACAGCAATTATAATATTAGATCATAATTATATTATATATTATAATATAATAATTGCTGGTATTAGATTAATAACAGCAATTATTAGCTATTATAATATACCAACAGCAATACAGCAATGATAATATCATAATTGCTGGTATTTATCATATCATAGCTAATATCATAATATTATAATAGCTAATATCATAATGGTGATATCTAATATCATAATTATAAACAGAGATATCACCAACAGCTAATATTAGCTAATATTGATGGTGATTTATATACCAATTAAACACATAGTCAACACACATTCATGATTGAACATAGATGGAACCGGATAGTAGATCAATGGATGAATCTGGGATATAAAGTATGATATAAGCAACACAATGGGAGGCTTTTCAAAAGGAAACAAATTGTAGATTCACCCGAAAACGAGTATTGCAACCAACCGCAAATGTAATTTGGTCTGAACGGTTGGTGTGAAAATGGGTGATTTAGCCAAAACAATAATATAGATGACAACGTTAAGTTATATGATTATTAATAACACTATTGTCATTCTATTCAGATGATATCCATCCCATTCTTCTAATGTGCCGTAGGATCTTTCATCAGCTGGATGGCCCGACAAGACGCTGCGCACCAACATGGCAACGCGGCAAACCATTTTCTTCTGCCGAAAGCGCCAATGGGGATTTCACCAGCTGTTTTAATGGGGTTCTAAGCATCAAGAAAAGTGGAGATTTAGGCGATCAAATATCTTGTTTAATGATTTTTTGTTATCAAATATGTGGAGATATCATGGATAAATGATGATTGGTTGATGATCTTAGGGATTTTTTTCATTAAGAACGGACATTTGGACATCACATCGGATTTAATCCTGGCTGGTTGTTTGAATATAGCTCATGCACTCCAGTTGGATGATGATTATTACACTTTTTTGGGGTATAGTGGGATATAACCATGGAAACCCTTGATAAATGAGGCGTGATGCTCGTAGGGTTTATATTGCGCAGGCTAGTAATGGAGTTTCCAGAAGACTTTTGGCACTGCTATGGTGTGCTAATCCGTTCCCCCCTAAGATTCAATGCCTCCAATAAAGAACTCAACAACGAATAGATCTAATATGAAACCAGGGTTTCTTGGGGTATTGAATATTAGGGGAAGGAATGGATGGAAATAGATCAATTTTTTAAGATTATCTAAAACTTGCTGATTTGACGATGACAATACGTGCTTCTTTCTGTGATGATTGCCATCCTTTATCAGGTGACTATTCGAGGCCCATCCTTCATCAGTGCATGTTCCCCATGATGTTTGGTGGGCAAAATCATTTGTCCCATCAACATGGTCTCATGAAAAGCCTGGGCCTATTGTAGCTGAATAATGTCCATGAAAGATCTCCGTTTGAAAAGATTGCAAAGCAAAATAAAACACATGATGAACATCAAATCTTGAATTCCCCCAAAAGCCATGGTTATCCAATGGTGATCATTTCATTGTCCTCATGTTTCCCCAGCAAAAGATGCCAATCCCAGGTGAACCATCTCTTGAATCAGTGGCTCTTAGAGCTGGTCCCCGCGCCTTTGCTGATTTGAGTGTCACACATGCGGAGGGGGATGTTTTTAGATGTCTTTTTGGGTTTGGGTCAAGACTTGGCATGATTTGGCTATGTGTTTGAAGAATTTGTTTACCAAGAATTTGGCTAAATTCTATAATTCCAGTTAGAGGCGCCTGACCTGCGAGTGTTTGCTCTTCGGGTTGTTGAGTGGAGAGCGCCATGGCAATAGAACTTACGCTCGCCGGGCGCATAATCAAGATGTCGCAGACCTCCCAATTACAGAGCCTTGAGAGAGTACTGATTAACCAAGAGCATTCCTGGTGATTTTGGCTGGTTGATGGTGATTTGCACATTGTCATCACCATCACCAGTCCCACCCTCATATCGTAAACAATTTACAGGTTGGTTAAACCGACTTTTGACAATCCTGAAGATCGAAACTATGTATATAGAATGGGTTCTAACATGTTCTAACCCATTTTTGAGCGAGGACTTCCTCAGTTGAGGATAGCTGAGTTGCGGATATGCGCACAGTGAATGTTTCTCACTCTGTGTGGGATTGGTATTTACCCATCATGCCTCAAATATGCTCGCAATGGCATTGCGGGAAAAACCTTGGTTAGGGTTGTTGGTGGATGTTGGTGGGTATTTTTTTTACTTCAAGCTATTAGGGAAACAGAACAATTGTTCATGTTCTTTGCTAATTTTAGATTACAGTAGCCATCTATGGGCGCATTTTGTCCGTAGCCATCTGTAGCCCCAATGTAATGTGCACATAGTTTCTTCATTGTTCTAGACTAACGTTTGTCATGTGCTAGCGGTGGCATCTTCCTACCTTCAAGGCAAGCATTGCCAGATAAAAGGGGCCTGAAACCCTCATCTGTCTTTCAGTTGAAAACATTTGAAAACCAGGTTTCGCTATAGATCTACTTCAACTCAACCTATCCATTCCCCTTCCGTGGCACTCCAGCCGTGGCACTCCAGACCCGTCGCCCCCAGGCGGGGGGCAACAACTTCATTGTGAAAGCCATCCCGGTGCACCTGGCGGATAAGCTGCGACGCCTGGATGATACCACCAGGTGGGAAGAGCTGATGGGTTTTTTGATGGGTTTTTCACCATTGAAGCCCCGGTGAATTTCACCAACTGATATCTTCACTTCAACAAAAATGATGGTTTTATGATGTCTTATGGGGATTACATGGGTTGGGGTTGATATCAACATTGATATTGGGAGGATTCATGGGAGAATGGGGGAATAATTGTGAATTACGGTGCTGAGAATGATCTGCAGTTATATTCTGCTAAGTGCTATGCAAAAACTACCCATTCCCCGGTTTACCATATTTTTCCATCCGCTTCCCGAGAGCATCAGGCAGGTCTATCAGCAGATCGAGAAGGCTGGGGACAGAGGCGCCTGGAGCAAAAGTCTGAAGGATCAGACCAAACTGCAGCAGCACACCATCACCAAGGCGCCAGCCGATGCCATGAGGCCAAAAGGTGGGGAAAAATGAAAAGCCTAACGATCATTGGGGTAAAATTAAGGTAAAACTAGGATGTCAACCTCCGAGAAAGCAACAATTCATTGGTTTAGTCCCCATGGCACATCTAATGCAATGGCTGGTATGGCTGGTGCTGGAACCCTGGCCTCAAGTTGGACTAGTAGTGGAAACCTTCACTGTGATCGAATTTGTGGTTGGCAAAGTGGTACAGTCCTATAGTCTTTTGACATCTCCCACTTAGAAAGGTATCATCTGGAAAGATTGAACCATCCTAGAGCCCATGGCGTCTCCCTGAAGGCAAATCACCACTTATGGTCAGAACTGTGCATAGGAGTATAGAGTAACTGACCACTTGCTGCTGGTTACATCACCTCCGACAAGCAGATTGTCGAACAGAACGGAGACGTGCCAGCTGCTGAAGACCGGCTATGCCTGCTGCCAATTCTTTTGCGGCTGGGGCGGCGCGATTGAGATGGCCATTGGCACCTTCTACGGATCAGGGTGGCAGCCAATCCCAGCTGGATAATGATCTACAATCTTAGGGTCAGAAAAATGTACGAGTTCTGACCACAAGCCGCAATCGAGTGCCCGTGCAGTGGCATATTGGAAGACCATGGTCAAGCCCACCCAGGGTATGTAAGGTTTGACTTCTCTTACACATGTAATCACTTCTGCTTAAGTGATCCCGGAGGATGAGTTGTAATGACCCAAGACCGAAGGAAGCATTTCCTGTTACAAAAGTGGAATCTACTGAAACACATTGCACTGTCCCAAACAATTTGAGAATTGATGGCCCAGTATTTTGCCTGCATTGAAGTTACAGTAGAGTAGCCATGAAATCAGCTTTTGTTTTGAACATATGTCCTACAGGAAGAATCTCTGGAGTTTGTAAACGGTTCCAAAGTCCTGAACACCAAAATGTTCACCATTTCAAATGCTCAGGTGCCCCAGGGCAAACCTTGGAAAGCAGGCTAGGTAATGCCATGGTAATGCCTTCGTTTAGTGATTGTTTGCCATTTTGACGGTATTGTTTGTTCACGCCGAGAAAAAATCCAGTGAATTCTGCTGGGTATACATGATTGCTCATATTATAGTATATGGTAATATTATCTACGTACCCACGCACCATTTGGTGATGGTATCCAATGGCTGGCTATATCCCATCGGTAACCCTGTGACCAGCCATTGCCGCGTTGCCCAGCGCACAGGCTACGAAAGAACTGATGAAGATGCAGCTGATTAAGGAGGTGAAATCAGTTCCCTGGGCTGCAGCTATTGTGGCTATTTCCTTTGGGTATGATTTCCAATTCATGGCGGAAGCAGTACAGAGGAGAATGAAGTCTTGAACACATACCCACACATCATCATCCAATAGCCATCAGAATACTCAAAACGATGCAAGGCATTTCATAGACACTCATGGATTTGGTCTGCAGAAGGTTATTCTCCCGAAACTGGATCAATAGGTCAGAATAGCTTGCAGCGACCTCAAACGACCTCACACTGCATGTTTGAGCTAGCGAAGTGGAAACCGTGCGTGTGGTGGGGCTAATAACGTTCATGTGCCTGACCGGTGGCCACCATCATAGATCCTGTCTCTCACTTAATACTTGGAGTTGCTGAATTCAAAGGGCGTATTTCAATATCTTTGTGGTATTAAGCTTGTGATACTAAGCATGTGATGTTTGGACACGTTTCGAAGCTTGAATCTAACAAAAAACAGATACAGATACAGCTGTCAGTGGCTGTGATTATTTGATTATATTTGATTCCGGACCCACTAAGCATGTTTCTTGGCTTTGGTTTTTCCGGTCCCCCATGGTGTGTTTCGCATCATCTGAATCTAAAGCCACAATACGTGAACATTAGAAAGGTTTTTTTTCAGGATTCCAATCTCCATCCTGACTCCATACTTAGTGTATGCGCTACGCAAGTGGCTCCACTGTTTATCATTTCCAAGTTAATTACGCCACTTTGCTTCATGCTCATCAGCGAAATCTCTGCGCCGGCCTGGTGGTACCTAGTCAGGGCGCAGAGATCTGCAATTGTAAATTTTGTTTGCCGATATCCTGGTTGCGCGGTGCGTTATTGCCTAAGTCAGAGTGGAGATTTCTATACTTGAACTTAGGCAACGCAGAGGCTGTTGCCTGAACTTTGTTTTTCTTTTTGGCCGATGTCAAGGTGCAGAAATCTGCACTTAAGCAAAACCAACATTTTTTCGCGCGCAGTGGATTCGGGGTCGTCCTCAGCTCAGGCGTGGGGACCCGAAAATCCATCGCACCTCAAGTATCCTCAAGAATCTGCCAGTTAGTGCCACTAACATGATGGCAATTATACAAGTAGTGGAGGCTATGAGGCACAATCCAATTTGGGTTTCCAATGTTTCGCAAATGATACGCAAAAACAAAAACCTATGTCATCAAAAAACCATCCACCCGTGCCCCCAACTCCACTTCTCAGCAAATAAAGGTGAAGATCGCCACCAGCCACCGGCACACCCCCAACCCATCCCGGTACTGCCGCCCCAATGAGTTTTGGTTGGGAACATGGTGCCTGGGAAACAAAACATGTCAAGGATGCCGGCATGACGAGCTTGTATTCAAGCATTCATGTTTTACCCATAGCACCAGAAAAGCTGAAGTCTGAAGTGCCAAGGTTTTCTTCAGATCCCAACAACTCAAACCGTTTGATTCAGCATAAAGGATGCATGGCGCCATTACTGCAGGTTAAATATATCATAATTAGGTGGGTGAACTTCCAGTGTGATTTCAACAGGGCAGCACAATGGTGGAATATAATTGCACTTCGAATGATGATTGTAAGTTCCGCTTGATCCACCTTATAAACATACCCGAACATACCAATGGCAAGCGAAAATGCGCTATAGTTATTCCTCAGACATAGTATTATATTATATAGTAACATTTAGAACTATTTTATCAGAGAAGGATGCCACAAATAAGAAACAAGTAAAAAACTAATGACGTCAAAATCTATTTCCGGAGACCCCTAATCAATTACGAAACCTTCGCGGAAGCACTTGCAGGTGAAACCATTTTGTTGCCACAAAGCTGTCTGGCTCCGTGCTTGGTGTCTTGCTGCTTGCCAGTAATTTTACACCACGCTGTAAATGCTATGCTCTAAACTTGCTCTCGGAACTTCCAACACCCTCCTGATGCTACTTGCTTAACTTGTTCTTCGGACTTCCAATACGACACGCTCTTGATGTGCCTCTGAGCAGGAAAATAGGAATAAATTTTTGGTTCAAAAACAAGTTCTTTTTAAGACACAGTGCATGGAAAAAACAACTCAAGTGGCCTGGCATTTTTAAGCCTTCAAATGAAATCACTACGGCGTTGTGGCACCGTGGTATTTTTTCAAGAATTGCGCAACCGCTAGCGCGATTTCCAACCGGGCGGGCATGTTTGAGAATTGCTCATGTGCTAAATATTTATCATACATGATCCAAATGGATGGTTAAACATGTCCTGCGGTTTCCTTCAAATCTGAGGTTCAAAACCGCAACCGCAAGGTCTTCATGTTGATCGATCCTTGCCTGGGCCGGAAACGGAATCCCGGTCTATTTGAAGAGGGAAGCACATGCAATTCATGTGTTGTCCGATCTCCAAATAGAGCATGCCAACTCTAGCCCCTAAGATTCGAGTACCAGACAATAGATGCACAAACGTGGTCATCCGCTTTCGGGTGTTAGGAGGATCCCCAAAGTTGTGGCACACTTTTCAACTGACCGACAAGAGGCTACTTCTTCCAAAAATATGACAATTATGTGAATTTCTTTCCTTAGCCACATTACATTACATATCCTATCCCCCGAGCGATAGTTAAGTTAGCCGTTTCCCAAATGGCATATTCCATTATGAACAGATCCATCACATTGCACTAGGGTTTCTGGGTGTGTGTTTATTGAGGGTGGGAACCCATCAAAGATGTATGTATCCCCATCCTTTTTCGTCATATACCGTATACCACCTATTTCTGCTCGTTCACCAAGCATTTTTGTTACATTCTCAATCAAGCAACAACATCATAGATATTGTGTATTATATTGTGTATCAACATATATTGATATTTATATCTATGATATCTATTATATAGATATTGTGTATCCCTAAGGTCCGTTGGGACAGATGACCCCCAGCCCTTTCGAGGATTTGGAGCCCAGCAAGGAAGTCTCTGGAGGCGGGGGAACGTTCCAAGGGATGGAAACTTGCCATGGCGAGTTGCGGGAGCTTGCTGTGAATGGCTGGGTGATAATAGGGTTATGTTAGTTATGTTACTGTTATTATCACCCAGCCATTATGTAACATAACTATGTTGGTTATGTTAGTTATGTTACTGTTATCTTCCCATCCCAGTTACTTCTTAAGTCTTTTAATTGTATGGAGTTGTTCATGTTTTGATTTGCCTTGATTTACCACAGATATTGGATTAAACCGACACATATTATTTTAGTTCTGGAATGGGGAAATATCAACAGACAATTGGGACATAGACATTATACATACATGCATGCATGCATGCATGCATACATACATACATAGATACATACATAGATACATACATACATAGATACATAGATACATACATGCATGCATACATACATACATGCATGCATACATACATAGATACATACATACATAGATACATACATGCATGCATACATACATAGATACATACATACATAGATACATGCATGCATGCATACATACATAGATACATACATACATACATACATACATACATACATACATAGATACATACATGCATGCATGCATACATACATAGATACATACATACATACATACATACGTACATACATACATACATACACACATAGATACATACATAGATACATACATGGATACATACATAGATACATACATTGATACATACATTGATACATAGATTCATAGGCACATAGATACATAGATAGATAGATAGATAGATAGATAGATAGATAGATAGATAATTAGATAGATAGATAGATAGATAAATAGATCGATCAATAGATAGATAGATAGATAGATAGGTAGATAGATAACTAGATAGATAGATAGATAACTAGATAGATAGATAGATAGATAGATAGATAGGTAGATAGATAACTAGATAGATAGATAGATAGATAGATAGGTAGATAGATAACTAGATAGATAGATAGATAGATAGATAGGTAGATAGATAACTAGATAGATAGATAGATAGTTAGATAGATAGATAGTTACATACATACATACAAACATACATAGCCAAACATATTGAAAATGTGATGGGGATAAAGGGATGCTCAGACCAAAGCTTGGTGATTGAAACTTTGAAACTATGGGATTGAGCAAACTACAATAGGAATATAATAAGACTTACCGTAAGCGTAGTAGAAATGAATAGGCTTACAATAGGATACAATAGGATATCATAGGATATTGATGTTGATGTCAATGCGGGACTGTAGTACCCTCAATCAGGATATGGGTTTGTCCAATATTAAGGGATACCCCACAGTGACCAGATGTGACGAGCAGATTTTGGTGAACATGATGAAGACAACATGGTATTTGGGAGGTACCCGATTTTCAGACAGACTTTTGAAAGGTAAAATTATATTACACTTGAATGCACGTATAGATAATATATAATATGGGTAGCTCTTGGAGCTGTGGGAAAAATCAAGCAACACTTGTTGATCGAGAAATCATCTACAAATTTTGCGAAACTCACCCTCAAGGTTTGGACATCTCAGTGGAATGGGTATCAACAATGAATGAACATGTCCAAGTCTCGATAGGTTTAACATGTTTAAGTGATGAATGTCCCAGCAAATTCGTCTGGCGACATGCTCAGAAGCGAAAATCAGTGTCCGGTTGATCTGCCAGGAATGGATTCGCAAAAGATGTCGGACTCCAATAACCTACCAAAGTGTACGTTTCAGAAGCAAAATATTAGCATAACTTCTCGTTGGCCTTTTCCCGCTCGGTTTCAATGCCCAAAAGCAATGGTTAGGTGATTTTAGGTGCACATGACTGAGGTTGTAACAGCTGTTACAGCAACTTCTCAAGCAGACATGGATCACTGCATCCAATCATTTAAACCCGCTGAAAGGATATCAAATCACATCCTGGTTAAACGGATCCAACGGATTCAGGTGCTGCTACCAAATTTGAGAAACCACTGGACATTGGGTCATTTGGGTCATTTTACATTTATTTACTCCAGTTTTTTGTTGACTGAATGAGGTGGGCCCTTGCTGTGTTTTCCCACTGGTTTGGCGTCTTGTTGGCCATTTCAAGTCAGGTACCTGGTACAAGGATGGCGAGTTCAACACCAGCTACGTGGTGTCTCGATTTTGTATAGTTCACGGTCCGTTGGGTTGTTCTGAGTGATCGCATGGCCAGCTGAGAAAGAATATGTTGCAGTTGATGAACAACATTGAACAGTCACTGTATTGAAGGGTTCCGGTGCCTCAAATGGAAAACTTGCATAATGTGCTTTATGAATATGTCAGTGGTCTTGTTTACCAACATGTTTGGGATCTTAAAACTATGATGTTAGTTGGGTGACAGGTCTGTGTATACTCTCGTCCATTTGGGGGTCCTCAACTTCGAGAGAGGCATTCTGGTAGTTTTGACATGTATAGCATCCATCAAAGTGAACTGCAAAACCATAAAACGGAATTCCGTAAATGCACATTCAAGCCATGCAATAACCCTTGTGGAGATGTTTCTGCCATGGTTTGTACTGCACATGTTGTTCATTATCTTTGATATATATATATAAATTGAAGTAAACGCAGATCCAACCTCTACATTTAATTGGTTCAAATCCTCCTTTTATTGATTCTACCCGTAATTAGCTAGTACTTCATTGATCTCCCACATGTTGTTGGTACATCCCAAAAAAGGTTTTTTTTTTGGGTGGTTTTCCGGCTGACCATGAAATGTGTCCAACCATCGACCGCATCTGAGGAGACCCTGCGTGAGCACTGCTTGACCTTTTTGGAGAAGAACCCGGGCCGGCCAGTGCCGCTGGCAGACATACATCGCTATGCGGGGTACCTTAAAAGGGACAGCGATGGCGAGAAGTCCAAAGGGTTGGGGAACTCTAAAAAATGCTGCTGTGATTTGCGAAAATTGTGTGTTTTTCCAGCTAATTTACAGGGATGGTTGTTTCAAGGGGGTAATCATGAACAAGAGCATTTTCCTGCGACTGTGGTGATCGACATGTCCCTATTGTGTTTCACACTCGGCCATTGTTTTTGGGATGATATCAACGGACTTGGCATTGCCAAAGCTTCAAGGCTGACTAGAGATCAACCGCCCACTGACAGCAACTCATTTTGGCTGGAGAGAAGATGGACTCACCGGCCAGCTCTTGATTTAAGAGAATGAATTCATGGATTCGAAGAAACTGGATGTAAGTAGAACTGCTTGCTGGTTTCATCGTTCCATACCTGTCCAACATATCCCAAAGTGACCGCTGTTGGGATGTGGAAAGCAGCAACCAGATTTTTTTGGAATGTTGGGCAGTCAGGTGATGCAACATCCTGGGCCTCAAGTTCCCACTGAGGTGCTGGTATTGATGGAGATTGTAGAATTTGAATACCACTCAATAAGGAGCTAACTAACCACCATGTTGGGAACGGTATTGGTATATTAGGATACAATTGAATGAGCTATATACAGTATACACATGTATACAGAATCAATGTCCTAAATGGATGAATCAAGGCCAGGATTATATTTACGTAATGTGGGGATGTTACCTACAGGTGATTGTCTTGTTGATTGGGGATTTTAGTCTGAAGATGCTTTGCATGCAGAAGAAAGACCCCCTACTGACCAACCATTCCAACAGATTTCCTGCCGTTCCGTTGGTATATCCATTGCAATCGGATCATACTGCGGGCACTAAGCAGGGTAGAGGGGACCGGTGTGCTTTAGCCACTCCTAAGATCCAGTGTCAATTTAAAAAAAAGGTTTATATTGCACATCTCTGGACTCTGCTGTTGACACGAAAGCTGCCATAAAGGGTCTCAGGGAGTGTGTTCTCAAAGCTGATATTTGATGACTTTTCCCGGGCAGGATGACTCTTCAAAATGAGCACTTCTGAGTGCGCCCACCAAGCTAGCCCCAGCAATCCCGCATCATTGCAGTCCAGAACATGCGTGTTAACTTGTTGACTAACACCTGTCATGTTAATATCCTCCTATTTTTGTCAAGTCTCCCTGTGGCCTCCTTTTGGTTCCCCAGGAGAGACATCTCCCTAATCTTTCTAGTAGATTCTAGGTGGCGGTTGGTTCTGTCCAGTCAATTGCATCTCCATAGTCTTTCTAGTAGAAAATAGAGATGCTAGATTCAAGCCAAGGTACAAAGTCTTGGCACCAGCGACAAATTGGTTTTAGGATCCTCAGCACCATCTATTTAGTCCAATTCAACGAAGACAAAGATCAATTTCGACTGGGTCGTTCTCGTCTACAAACGGACGACCTCACTACGAAGTCGTTGGATCCATGTACGACGCAGCAGTGTGAGCTTGGTGATACCCGAGAAGTCTGCGATGCTGTAGACAAGCTTGGAAAAAAGTGTATGACATGTGTGAAGGATATCTTTGCAAAAAAGGAATAGCAGCCGTCATACCGTTACACGAGTGCCGACAAGAACAAACTCTTGGATAAGTTTCTGGCCTGCTGGCCCTTCTCGCTCCAGAACCCGTGGCAGATGATCCCATTCTCACGTTGGCCTGATTATGTCGAGCAGTGGCTTTCTTTGGAACCGACAGAGCTTGCAGCTAAGGCTTGCGAGACAACTATCAATTGATATAAGATTCTCATCAGCTGTCATTCATGAAACAAGTTGTACTTGAAACATTAGTGTTGTTCCCTATCAGCGCAGGTGATCGCTCGCGACAAGAGTTTGTGATCTTAAGTTCACACATCGCGCGCGTTACCTCTTAAAGATCACATTCTTACTCGTATCATATGATTGGTTCATTGCTCCTTCCCATACGCAGAATGAGGTGCGTGTCAGGTTGTCAGTGTGTGGAATTGAGTGCTTAAAGTTGTGAACCATACCTCACGAAATACTGACGCTCGTGTGGTTGTAATATGATGCGAGACATAAGTGCGTGCTATGCTCTAACGCGCATTTGCAACGTGAGACGCTGATGAATGAGTGAAATAATATGAACAGAAAGATAACTAGAGACTCTGAGGAAAGTAAGGAATAATCGGCGAAGTATCAAGATCCTGATTGTGGGTCACTGTTTTGGTGACAAGCTAGCCACTTTACAATATTAGGCTTGATAGGATAGCTCACTGAATGACAAAACTGCAATATATGAGTGCGGACGTGCGCACAAGTAATGATCCTCTGAATGGGCTAAGCTGTTGCCCACGAACATTCTATATCCAGAATTGAGAGATACTAAGAGTGATTTCCTGCATCAGCCTAAACTGGTAAAAGATCACATTGATCACATTCTTACGGTGTCACAAGAAATCACATTAAGATCTTAAGGTGGGGATAAGAAATGATAATGTGGCGCAGGATGACATCAGCTGCATCATGAAGACCTTGGAGTTGGATGAGGAAGTGACCTCCGCGGTCTCCGCGACTGGACAGAGAGTCTTCATGAAGATGCGCAAAGGTGGGGGGAGACCCGGGGGAGATGCTGGGAATGGGTTGGGAGTTGGACGGGGTACAGTGTACTAAATCAACTTGTATAAGTTGGTATATACAATATTATACAATAGATTCAATAGATTATGATATGATAATATATGTCTTAGTAACAGGCATGATTGATGCATTCTGTGAGCTTATAGCCTCCTTAAACTTTCCTTGGTTGCTTTGTCGTTTTCTTGGATTTTCTTTCCCTTTGTTTCTCCCTTGGAAACCAAACAAAACCAAAGGAAAACAAAGGAAACCAAAGGAAAACCATAGAATCCAACCAGCCCCAAACCAAAAAGGAAACCAAAGGAAAACTGTAGAATCCAACGAGCCCCAACATACCAAAGAAAATCAAGGAACATCAAATGAAACCGACGGAAACCAAAGGAAACCGATTCAAAGTATTGTGTGATATCCTGTGCTTTGTTTGAACGATGTTGCAGTATATATCATCCATTTTCAGTTGATTGAACTGATATGGGTTTCTGGACACCTTAAAGATTGTGTTCTTCACTTTTCCTGGATTTGAATTACAACCACCTTTCTTGGTGATGTTTATCTTGGTGATTTTTATCTCCATAATATCCCCGAGAAAGGGCATGGGTAGCCTCATTACATCCCAGAAACAAAATCTAAAGTGAGTACGGCTCAAACATGTTGCATGTCTGCGGGTAAAATCCCAAACCCAATTCTGATCAAGCTGGTCAGAGCTTCATTTTAAGATTTTTATTATCGCAAACATAATTTTATGGAGCAACGTAGCGTCCCACTTTCATTTTTGCTTAAGACTCCAGTTTCGTTGGTGTAGAAAACACTATGTATTTTCCCCAAATCTCCAGTTAATTCTGTTTGACCTTCCTCTTGTACTGTTTAAACAACTTCACCCGCCAGCTCCTTTTCCTGGATCCCCTCCGAAAATCCCATCGTTGAGGCGCCTTCGCCACCCACTTCGACCTCTTCGCGGCACGTTTGCCCAACTTCCTGCAGCCAGCCGAGGCGGTGCCGGGACAGATGCTGGTGCCATGCATCTGCTGCCCACTGCGCAACGAGTGCAAGGTGGGGACTGGTTAGTTGGGGAGGGTTGGGGCTTGTTGTGTTGGGCCTTGGTTTGGAGCCCACCTTGCAAAATGGCATGCATTGGCAAACATACTGACATAACTTTACTGTTCCGACCAAGACAGTTACAGGGTTTCTCTGTTGAGGGTATATCCAAAAACTGGTTATTAGTAAGCGGCACATCATTGTAAATCCTTCAAGCTCTTCCTACTACCATAGAACTTCAACTTAAAAGTAGAAGCATTCTGCTTGCATTGCATCGTCTTTTGCAGATCTGGCATGCTGGGCCACTAGCACATAGTCACATAGTAGCTGCGATTTTGTTGCTACAGTCTTTGAAGATGTGAAAGTAGCTTGCAGAGACCAAACCACTGTCAACGAGTTCTGCTGGACATAGCTGGATTTTTGTGGTTCACTGTTGCCGTGCTGCACGCTAACAATGCGTTTGCTTTATGCACTTGTGGCCGCAATTATGGAAGAACTATTCCATTTCATTGACAGGTAACATTTTCTAGGTTTGCACACAACTGAGTTGTCTGAACAGCATTGGCAAAAAAGGTTGAAGTTTAAGTGGAATCAGGATCTATAACCGTTGAACAAAGAAATCTCAAAACGGGGTGGTTTGCACCTTGGATGCAAGAACACAGGCTGGCGGACGTGTTTGCCCCGAGAAGTGTGAATACCTCACGAGGCGCAGGGATGTTCAAAGAATATGGAACCACTTGATGCAAATGACTATATGGAAATAAATATGTTACCCTATTATGCCTACGAACCTTGCGGATACAGTGAGCAAATGACCGAACATGATGATTGCAATCAGCAAAGTTGGGCCTGAATGTGAGTCATTCAGAAACAATCGGTGATTTGATTTTGCCGTCAGTTGGGAAATGGAATACAGGATGGTGAATTGGCACCATCATGATAACAAGTACCAGTATGTGAACCAGTGGTGTTGGCAGTTCATTAAGGTGTTCCCAAAAACTTCAAACCTCAATATCTAGGACATTATAGGACTCATGTTCTTGTTCAAATTCTGTTGTGCGTCCGCGGAGGGCCACATTCAAGATCCGAGAACATCATTTGTGCTGATTCGGTTGTTTTTCTTCCCTTCTAATGGTTCAAGTTCCTTTTGCGGGCAGCTCGGGTTCTGCAAAATGATAGGATAAAAGCCTCAAAGAAGGGGAGTTGGCAGTGTTAGGAAAGACCCGGAATGTGCTCTTGCAACTCAGAAATGTTTGATTCGTTTCTCAAAGATGTCCTTTTTGCAGAAGAGCATGTTCATGTTCCATGTGAGACTTCCAATTAAAAGTGACAGCTCTCTGAAGGTCTTGGTTTCCTCTTACAGGGGACATGGATCTAAACTATTTGGGTGCAGCAGGTTTGGAGTAACCATGAGATTGACTAAGGCCTGGGCCCAATTGAAAATTCCTGTCACCAAATGACCAGACTGAATGCTGATTTCATTTATGTGGCCCTCCCATTGTTTCAATAATGGTATGTCTGGTTCACTTGCTTGTAACCACCAGGTGGCTACAAAAAGATGAACCAGCACAAACGGAGGCGGGGAAAAGAAATTGGAATTCGATGTAATTCAGTGTCCCCACAAGTTTCATGTGTAAACTGCCTTCGAAATTACTTGGATCATAGTGAGTGAGACGATGTCACCTACTGACTTACTTCCGTCCAAGGGACTGGTTAGCCTCACACCTTCCTGCACGTTCCATGCCCTTCAGCTAAGCAAAATTGTGTGGACTGTCCCATGGCCATCGCCAAGGCTTCAGTTCTTTTTCCAAGCTGTGGAACAATGCAACCCCGTTTGAATGATCAGCTAGTCAAACTTAAAATCGTGTTCATAGTGTTTTTTCGATGAGATGAGGGACGTTGCATACACCCACCTATGGTTGATGTAAGATGGTCATAGTGGTTTGGATACTCAAAGCCGCGTCCACTTGGACATCCAGCGCTGGGTCAAAGTGGGTACTGTACTCCAAAATACATGCTTCAATCACAAAAGTGGATGTGAGGAAATGTTTAAGATGTTCCCAATTTGACCAACATTAAGCTTAATCTGAGAATGTAAATGTATGTAAAGGTGACAGATGGTGACAGATCGAAAGTATTAAACTTTATTAAACAACCCCTCAAAACAACGACCATACGAGCCACTGACTCGATGGCATGTTGGCATCCAAGATCTCCCATGATCTCCAGGACTCGATGGTGGATTGGTAGCGTAAAATGTGCCGCGTGAGCGCTGGGCGAAGTGCCATGAAGTGGGTGAAACAAGCGCTTGGTTGCTATGTAACTTATGTAACCAAGCTTAGGTCAGAAAAGAAAGAACCAACCACGCGTGTAATGGCATCGAGAATGAGATAAGCAACAAGAACTGGGATGTAAGTAGCATCAACTAATATCAACTAGCAATAACACTGGAATAACTAATGACCACCATTTGGGAAATAGCCACCAATAAGGAGGAAAAGAAAGAACAATCATCGAGAAATAACCATCGGAACAGTTTGTACTTTGCCATCCAATTCTTGTATGATGAACCATGACGGATTGGTATGTTTGATTGGGGTTAAGGAAGCACATGTTATTCTTGTTCAAGCAAAAAACACGCACCACCAAGGATGGTTGTTACTGCCTTGTCAGGATGTCGTCAGGATGTCGTCAGGATGTCGTCAGGATGTCGTCAGGATGTCTATTGGCTCTGGAGAGTTTGGTGTTCTTATCGCTTGGTTTCTTTGTATTCACTTTCTTGAGGCTCAAGGAAATACAGTGCGATTGCATTGACAGAGAGAGATTTCTAAACCGATCATTCGGACACACTTCACAGTTGAAGAGTTGCAGTTGCAAGGTTTCTTGGCATGGACTGAGATGTAAACAACAGAAACAACTAAGGCAGTGTCGTCCAATGACTTCTCATGGAGCAGAAGAACAACAGTTTCAACCTGGTCACACATACCTACTGTGATGTGTTGTTTTTTCCAGTTGCTTTTCGACAACAGTTTAATGTGATGCCTTTTTGGCCACGTTTTCAGGTTGATTCGATATATTGCTAGGACTGCCAACCCCAAAAGACTCAGCAGAACTTTGGTGTTTCAGTGCACCCCCCGCACCATAGCGCCATAGCTGCAATGACGGTGGCGGGCCGTGTGACTTGGCGTGGCGTTTGGCTTGGGAATGACACAAAACCGGTATATGTTTTGGGTATCGGCATGAGTGACATCAACAGAAATATATTGCCTAACAACTCCAGGCACATAAATTTGGGTTGTTGATCAGCAACATGAGGTTCAAGTGATCTCACTCATTCACTGAACAAGTAAACATGCTGTCGTCAACAACAAATGTACCTTTTGATAGATTTCCTGGCATGGAGTTCAACTGCTGGCCAACCATCACATAAAAACAGGTGATAGAGGACGCACAAGTGGCTTTGTATACCATATTATATCACTCTTGCATATACTTGCTACATAACATATAACACATTTGAATATATATATGATAGATATCAATTAATGTGTGTTTATTCACATTACATCACTATTACATCGCAGTTACTTTCATATTACTAATATTACATAACCTCCACATGTCCGAAGCTCATGGCAGATTAGGCCCTGTCCCTGGCGGATGAGTTGGAACGCTGGATCCAATTGGCCAGCAGACCGGTCGCGCCCGAGACCCGCTGCGCCTTGGAGCAGCAAATTGTGGGGAAAATTGGGAAAATCGGGAAATTGTTGACCAGTTACCATAGTTAACCTCCTCAATCGGTTCTTTACCAGCAAAATCCAATCATCCAAACCCTTTGAAAGGGTTCAAGGCTGGTGAAAGATCCGATTCATATTCATTGGAAATTGGCAAAATATGTGGTGCCTGCACTTCTTAGTAATGGATTATAAAACCATGTTAAACCATATTCAACCGCTAGTGATGGGCAAACTTGTTTTCTTGGCCTTGTTTGCACCCTGGGAAACCCTGGGAAGTTGCCAGTTTTTTCTAGGATGGCCTGGAACACCGGATTGCTGCCATTGGAAGTATCCAGCTGTTGGGTATGTGGGCACTGAGCCACTAGGTAAGTTTGTTCTTTAAGCAGCAAACATATTAGGATAGACGTTTAGATACGTCTTGTGATGATGGTTGGATTGGGGATGCAACCCGACAGATAAAATGGAGGTTTCTTTGCATTTTTGTCAATTTTTGAGATGATCTCAATTGACTAATGTTTGGCTAGTGGTTCAAACACCAGTCATTTTTCGTTACCTGAAATGAAGTTACAACTTGGCAAATCCATCGAGACTTGAAATATGGTGAGTACAAATTGCAGTGTCTGACATGTTTCTGTTGCTGTAGCAGCTTGTTTCTAAGCGGATTCCATACATCCTAAGGCTGAATGCACAATTTCGAGGACGGCTTCAAACATATTTGGATGTTATAAAGCCATATAAAACCATTTCTTCCAGTATGTTTGTCCCATAAACCCAACAACTCGTCGTGGCATTACTTATATTATTTGCAGCCATGGATCTGACCTCTCAAACTTAGCTGTTTCTCAGGGATCTTGCTGAGGTGTGGAGGTGGCTACGGACATCACCATGCAGGCGAGACCCGTCTGCGAAGAGAGTTGTTGAGTTGTCTTGAAGATACAGAAATGGGAAGATCAGCAAGAAACCAACATGAAAAAGGCCGATAGATGATGAGATGGCCTTTGTTTGTACCAACAGAGGATAACAGAAGTGTAGGTATTTCAAGGAAGAATGAGAGAGAACGACAACAAGCATGGCTCTATGACCTACAGCGATGGGTATAGAACTTGGGCGTTCAGGCTGCACGAGTCACCTGTTCAGCCGTCATTCGAGCGCCGCAGGACATGGAAGAGTGGGATCAAGTGGAGGCGGGCACGTCAGATGGTAGAACAAAGGAAATGGGTTGTTTGCAACCCACGCCAAGAACATTTTTTTCCAGTAAAGAAATCGTTTTTCCCCACCTGCCAGGTGAGGGTTGTTAGATTTTATCAGGCCTCCTCCTCCAGTTTCTCCTCGACCATGTCTGCATCAACCTCCACCTCCACTTCCGCCTTGCCAACTCTTCGCCAAGCTCTTCGCCAACTTCCGGACCTCAACCTGGGACCTGCCCAGCTCAGTGTGCACCGCTGGACCTCAACCTGGGACCTTCCCAGCTCAGTGTGCACCGCTGGACCTCAACCTGGGACCTTCCCAGCTCAGTGTGCACCGCTGGACCTCAACCTGGGACCTTCCCAGCTCAGTGTGCACCGCTGGACCTCAACCTGGGACCTTCCGAGCTCAGTGTGCACCGCTGGACCTCAACCTGGGACCTTCCCAGCTCAGTCTGCACCGCTGGACCTCAACCTGGGACCTGCCCAGCTCAGTGTGCACCGCTGGACCTCAACGGCCAGATAGAATGCCAGAAGATATGCCAGATAGAATGCCGGAAGATATGCCAGAACATATGCCAGAAGATATGCCAGGTAGAATGCCAGAAGATATGCCAGATAGAATGCCAGAAGGTATGCCAGAAGGTATGCCAGATAAAGTGCCAGAATGTTTGCCAGATAGAATGCCAGAAGATTTGCCAGATAATATGCCAGAAGATATGCCAGGTAGAATGCCAGAAGATATGCCAGATAGAATACCAGAAGATATGCCAGAAGGTATGCCAGATAGAATGCCAGATAAAATGTCAGATAGAATGCCAGAAGATTTGCCAGTAACAAAATGTATAAATGTCATGGTGGGGATCACACGAAGTAAAGTAATTTTTCAATCTGTGTGGGTCAACTAGCACGTTGGGCCCTGGGATGCGAAGACTGACCAGTCATAGTGAGTAGGAGAGTAGGAGAAAACCGTCCTATTGTTGCCCGATAACTTGCACCCAATCAGTATCCCCTTGAGATTCCACTGTTAGCAAGAAACATGCAGGCAAAATGCTAACCATAGGATGATCCGGATTATGTAGTAATGACCTCAATCATGAGGCAACCTCAAAGCTGATGAGACAGGAAAATCCGCCTTCCTTTCATGGTGTCAAAATGGAGAAAACATACCCCGAAGCCGACCAAAACGTTCCAGGAGATTATGGGATTCCAACCCGCTCCTGCATAAATGAACCTGGTAACCATCAGGTCTCTACATGACAAGCGAGTCAACTCTCCATTGGCTGAAACACATTGAAATCACTGGCCATCACTGGCATCTACTCTTGAGATTTCAAGATGGATAAACAATCCGAGGATTCATGTATCATCCGAGGATAATTGTCTCAAATCTCACGCAGCTTCTCCTGTTTCGAATGTTGGACCCACCTTGAGCTGTTCCCCGAGTATGTGGCGGAATCTGGCAGTTATTGCCACTTCCTGCAGGCTGAGATGTCTCCGGACGAGCGCGAGTTCACGGACGAGAAGGAGCGGGATGATGTGAAAGGAGGGGAGATATATCACATTGGTTCATATATATATATATATACGTATACACAATTTATATATTAATGATGCACATATTTATACACATATAACAAATATACAGGATCCATATATATATATATAATATAAAATAATATAACATAATATAACATAATATAATATAATATAATATTTAATATAATATAACATAATATAATATAATATAATGTTATATAATATAGTATATAATATAATCTTATTATAACATAATATAATATAATATATATATAATAAAAAACATATATAATATAATATAATATAATATAACATAATATAATATAGTAATTATAATATAATATAATATAACAAAACATAATATAATGTAGTAATTAATATATAATTTAATATAATATAATAATTATAATATAATATAATTTAATATAATATAATAATTATAATATAATATAATTTAATATAATATAATATAATATAATAATTATAATATAATATAATTTAATATAATATAATAATTATAATATAATATAATTTAACATAACATAATATAATGTAGTAATTAATTTAAAATATAATATAACATATATCATATATAATATAATATAAAATAATATAATATAACATAATATAATATAGTAATTATAATATAATATAATATAACATAACATAATATAATGTAGTAATTAATATATAATATAATATAATATAATATAGTATAATATAATATAGTATAATATAATATAATATATATAATATATAATATTATATATATAATTTAATATAATACAATAAAATAAAATAAAATATAATATAATATAATTTAATATATAATATAATATAATATAATATATTTATATATATTCATCTATATACAATATACAGGACCCATATATATATATATATATATATGTGCCATACGTAACAATATGCCCCATAATTGATATATATATATATATTTAATGATATACATAATTCATTATAGTTTTATATATAACTATATATATACACTATACATTATACCTAGAGCAACTGAGGCAGCTAAAATTATTTATGTTTGGAGAAAGGTTAACTTTTTTAGATGAGACATTTTTTTTTTGATTTTGGATGGTTCCAGCAAATTGTGATGTTTCGAGTGGAATGGGGATCTCTCAATTCCACAGGTGCGGCGGAGAGTTTCGCTGCATGAAGAACACGTAATTCATCTGTCCACTTGGGTACCCCCGAACTGGTCATGTTAATGGGGTACATGATAATACACGAATGGATCTTGGGGAACCCAGCTCAAGGGCAAGCCCCAAGGCCCCTAGTCCTGGTTTAGGCACTCCAACAAACATGGCGTCTTGAAAGGGAACCCCATCTGGAAATTGCATGTCTATGCGATGATCCAATTTGACAGATTTGTACTTTTACACCAAGCCAGGGAAGTTTGGAACATCACCAAGATAACGGTCTATAAAATTATAGCATCTAAGATTTTACCATTTCTGGTGCGCCGAAACCAGGTTTGCTCAGCGTCGTTGCAGGCAGAGGCGCTGCGCGCACAGCTACAAGAGCTGGCGGAAGAGGAGCAGCGGCTCAGTGAGGAGTTGCTCAGCGCAGTTTGGGTCGTTGGTGAAAACTAAATGGGGATTTCCTATGACAAAATGGAGATACCAGGGGGGTAAATGATGAGGACATGTATTACATACATACATATATATATATATATCTGTATTTATATATACATATGTATATGGGCATCAATGGGATAATTGGATAGAATCACCCATGATATAACAATTGACATGACCCACAGGGATATCATTGGGATATAATGATAGAACTGGCAATGCGGGGATTAGTTAAATTTTTATAATGGTCATATAATGATGATAATCCAAAAATTATCCTAAAATATATCCCCAGTTTAAATGGGGGTTCCTGAAAACTAGGGATCTGATTGGAATATAATTGGCAACAGTGGGGATTTCATTGGGATTTCCCCAATTACTGGGTCATAAACCCTGAATGGGGATTGACCCAATGGCCAATGGAGGATTTACCCTATTGGCTTAAAAACCAACATTGTTTTTGGGATATATAATGGGGATATGGAACAAACATGAACAAACTATAAGACTATAACGGAATATTTTCATATATCTCAATTGGCCATACCCCAGAAACATGGGTTAAATATGGATTGTAATTATATGGCTAATACTCCCCAAAAAGCATTGATGTATAGTGGTAATGCTCCTTTAGGGTAGTTGAAAACAATCCTATTGGATGGCTATTGCTATGAGATGAATCAAAAGCAATCATGCCTTTTGTGGGGGAAAATAAATATCCATGAGCACCAGCTATATTTGGGGGAATGAAAACAAGGACAAGGGTCTTGGTCAATAGCCATATGGGTTTGGCTCAAGACGGGGTATACCCCAAAATGACGTGTTTGATGTTGACTCATATCATTACTATAGCAGGATGTCGGGATTGCAGGGTTGCACCTTTTGAGACATCCTGACCATTGCCTAGCAACTGGTCACATAACACAAATTGCTGGTTAAAGCTCCATGTGTTTCCTCAATCCCTGGTATCATCCCTAACCAGCAACATGATAAAATGTGTGTTTGTTCGAAGAAATAAGGAGAAATTAACCAACCAAAATCACAACAAGGTATTCGTTGTTGGCAAATGGTGCCGCAAATGGTGTTTTGCTCTCCAGATTGTACATAGATACACTCCCAGGAACTCCCATTTACGGGTAGTTTCAATCCAATCGTGTGTTACAACCCGCAATCGCAAGGTTCCTAACTGTTCCAACTGGCCTGTGAACCTGTTCGATAGAGCTGAGGTTCGCCAATTTGAAGGCGGAGCTGAAGCAGGAAAAGGCCTTCAATCACCAACAGAGCCAAGCGCATCAACAGCAGGTGCCCGACGTTGAGCTTGAGGTCTGGGACCTTGATTCATAGTCCACTGGTCCCCGTTTTGGCTTTGGGTCAAAATGATGAACATAACTTCAAAAACATTTCGATGATTTCCCTTTCTACAGATGCATGTTTTGTTTTCCCTTGGGTACCTCCATCTTTTTGTTCGCCAGGTGCGGAAGCTGAAGGCGGCGCTCAGCAAGCGAAAGAAGGAGGCGGAAGCCAAGGAACAGCAGCAGAGAAAGGAGAAAGAGACGCTCAGCAGCGATGGACATGGTCACTGGAATGTTGGGTATTATTGTCAATCCAAATATTCAATAGGAGTATTGCTGATATTGATTGCTGATAAGATATTACCCACCAGTTCCCTATTATCCTATTGTGGTTGTGCTAGCGATAACCTACATGCCATGTTTGGCACATGATATTCTGGAAATGGATGGGCGTTGATCAATTTTAAAATTACGGGTTTTGAATGGATGGCAGACATACACCGAGTTTTCTTAGGTCTGTTTTGGTGATCAGTGACTGGATGATGAATGGGTGGATACGTACCATATAGCCATAGAACTTGCACCATCCAAGAAATGTAGCATCATGTGGGTATGAGAAACGAAGAAACATCGGTATTATTACGATGATATGTCTGGATTTTTACTTGAGGACATATTGAATTTAAGCCACAAGATTGGGTATGGAAACATTAAAAATGAGCTAGCAACAATTGGGATATGACCAGCCAATGAATTGAAAACGCTTCACTTGGCCATGCATTGAAATTTTGTTTGCATCGACTGTGCGATCGAAGGGATATCTCCTGCAATTTGGTTGTATTTGGTTCCAGCACATTGAAATCAAACACATGAATTTGTTGAGCCAAGTTGTTGTGTTTTACGTCTTGCAAGGACCTATGTTCTGTGATGACCTGAGAACACCAGGGCATGCAGAGGATTGCTCAAAAAGGATGAGGCTTCAAAACAGAAGGTCAAATTGACGGACAAGGAGAAGATGTTTGGTAGTCCGTTTTGGAAGTCCATGGCGCACTGGTGATGGCTTGTCATTGATTTCTCACCAGTCACGCAAGACATCCACATTGCAATGGAGTTAGCAAAAGGCTGGTGCCGGGCCACCCCGCTTCCCAGCAGGCGACAGAAGAGTTCAACGGCAAGTTCAAGCGAAACATACGCGGTCGGGCCAAATCCGCGAAGATTCTGATTTTCTGTGAGTTTCTTCATCAAAACATGTGAAACCGTCCCATATGTGCCAACTGGGCAGTGGCCGAAAGCTGTCAAAGGATGGTTGTTAGTTCTGGATTGTATGCCATGTTTTATTCCAGGGAAGGTACCGGATTTTACCAGCCCCAAAGTAAAGGTGGGCTGCTGGGTAGAACTTCGCCCGCAGCCCAGCTTTGTCTCTTGGATGACCTTTGTCGGAACGATTACTTCCCAAACGATTAATTCACCCACAAAACATGGTATTGGGATGTATTTGGCGTGTACTTGTTTTAATAGTTTTTGCACATGTTTGCACTCTTTAACGGGCCAATTGATGGTCAGGGTATGTAGCAACAATGATTCTCAGTCACTTCCAGATGGGACAGCGATGACCCCAGTTTGGGAAACCACAGTGGAAACCTATGGTAGAGGTACTTTTAGTATCGCCATTAGTTTTTCTCGGTTGCAACTTGGCATTTTTGTTGGCCATATTCCCTTCCTTGTTGGCTAAATCCCCTACGTTGGTGATCGCTGACTACGATTACCGGCTTATTTCCGGTGAAATCCTACATCCCAAGGAAGGCGAAGCAAGCGCAAGAGGAGACGGAGCGGGAGGAAGCCAGGAAGACCCAGCTGTGAAGAGCCCAAAACAACCATTCCAATGTAGACATATACAGAAACATGATGATAAACCATGACAAACCATTAGGACTGCAGGTGTAATGACCCCAACCAACCTGGATTTGCTGAAGATGATTTCATTTTTGTAATGAGGTACTTCCAAATGTGAGGAATCTACTGGGAATGTGGGATACCAAAGCAAGGCCATGTGATAAACTCAATAGTGAGGGCGACGATAGAGAATATTGGGAAACAAGACTAATGCTAAACAGTAGATACCCATGAAAATGAGGTTATAGCCAACCAATCAGTTTCTGCCAAAGGGGGATATGACAAACAAAAAACAATTGTTTTGGTATGTCATGGTGATACTGGTACCACAGGAAGTGGCTGTCACCCTTCGAGACTGGTGGTGTTTCAATATTTGACAATCATAGACCCTTTGTAAATCTAACATTGCACTAAAGAGTTCCATAGCCATAGACGCTTTTATCCAAAACATAGGATTTCTCATTACCACGCTAATTGCCAGAGGGTACTCTTGGATTATTGGAAGTACCTCCTTATCATTGTAGGATAGATATGTTACTTAGTTAGTTATTGGAAATCCCTCGAAGCCATACTAGAGGGTAGTTAATACTGGGTTTCGGTCTGGTGAAACATGTGTATCAACGCGCATTTGGTCCTTTGGCACAACCAGCATTAAGGAAATTGATTCAAACAGTTTGATTCAAACATATGAAGCCATGCCATAAATACAGATCAATACATATGGATACTAAACTAAAATTACTAAGACTGTATTAGTCCATATTAAACCAATATTAGGTAACACATGGCTGTTTTCGTTAGATCCTTGGCCCCGCCTTGAAGCCGGAAATCTTCGAGGCCAAGCTCCAGCAACAGCTACAGCAGGAGCGGGAACTGCGACCGATTTGTCTCAAAATTGGGGCGAAAACCAGATGGGTTATACCATATATATACATACATACATACATACATACATACATACATACATACATACATACACACACACATACATACATACATACATACATACATACATACATACATACATACATACATACATTGCATTCCATTACCATTACCTTTACCGTTACCATTACCATTACCCTTACCATTACCACTACCATTAGCATTACCACTACCATTAGCATTAGCATTAGCATTACCATTACCACTAGCATTAGCATTAGCATTCGCATTGGCATTAGCATTAGCATTACCATTACCATTACATACATTGCATTACCATTACGTTACATTACCATTGCATACATTGCATTACCATTGCCATTACCTTACCATACCATGCCATACAATACCATACAATACTTTGCTGACTGTCTGCGACCACCGCGTACAATACAATACCATACATACCACATACCATACATACCATCCATACCGTCCATACCGTCCATACCATCCATCCCCTCCCTCCCTCCGTCCATCCATCCATCCATACATACATCCATCCATACATACATATATACATATTGTTATATGGACTTATACTATCAGTCACTATCAGATGGGAATTGTACTACTGAATGCATGTGAATGGTTTTGTCTCCCCATTGTTGATTGGTTATGAAATGTGAATCATCTGGTTTAAATGGGGATTATGATAGCCCGTAGTAGGGAAAATTATTAACCAACTAGCAAGATGAGTGCCGCTCTGGAACCACGCTGAGATCAACTGAACGAAGCTCCGCATCATCATTTTCCCTAAACACATTAGTCACTTAAAAAACCGAATACAGCCAGTTCCAACATGTTGCAACAATTTTGTTGGGGAGATAATCATGGGAAGGAGTTTGGGTGTCCCCCACTTTGAGAGAGCAACCAATCATCGACCTTCTCACTGCCGATTGTTCAAGCGGCCTGTGGACCATATTTCACTGGCCAAGATCACGGATAACACTGCTAAACCTGGGGATCCAAGACCATTGGGCATCTCGCGAGCAAAATGGTGGGCACTAACTAAACCACATAAAATTTTCTCACAATTGGAGTAACTAATTACACGCAATGTGGATGTCCCCTCCCCTTTTCCTACCTTTTTCAACTTGCAGATTGTATTGGGAGATTACATGCCATGTATTTAGTGTTTGTTGATTTTTGGATATTATTCTTGTGGTTTTGTGTATCAGATGCCACACATGTTGTTTTGTGGACATGACTAAAAACGCACACTGTAGATCCCTCCCCACCATCCGCTGCCGAGTGCCACATCCCCAAAGGCTCGAGAGCTCAACCAGAAATTGAAGGACAAGTTGCAGGAGTCCCTCAGGGAACCAAAGTCAGGAAACATCCAGTGAGTCAGAACCAAAGACCCAACAGATAGGCGATCTAAACATGTCTTTGGTTGGTTGGTTTCTTTGATTTTTTTTGGGACCTAAATCATCCATCAGTGATAGTTCCTTTTAGGAGCAGGAGATGGGTTTGGGAGTTCAACACATGCTTTCGGCATGCTCCTGAATTTTGTCGTCAAACCTGTCAAACCTCAAAAGAATCGGTTTGGACAAATTCGGCCAGACTACATGGGTTCCCCCTTGAATTTCCAGGGTGTCCCAGGATGAACGCAGCCATTTTTGCCAGTCCCAGGAGTCCAGCGGTGAGACCCACAAGAGCAAGTTGAACGCTTTGAGAAGTGAAATCCACACCTTGTGGCTTGGATATGCTTGGATTATGATATCATGGATGTGTGGCCAGGTTGAGTCAGATAGGATTTGCTTGAAGGGTGCGGAGCAAAAAATTGGGGAATAGAATTGATCATGGTGACATATCTCGATTCTATGATGGAACAGTACAAAGGGATATGCAGAAGTGAAATGCATGTCAGGTGAGCAGCAAAGCCACTGTGCCAAGACCTGGATAAGTTGACGAATATGGACGAATATGGATGATTTCACCCCTACACACCAAGATTGAATGAGCAAATGCGACCAAAAGGGACATTAGTTTTACAGTTTTGAGCTACAAACACTTCTTGGACTTCTCGAACATTCAACATTGGTTGGTGAGTTGAGAGTTGTTCAATTAACACTGAAGGAAAGTGTTTTTCTCAAAAAGCGAGGAACAAAGAGTTTCCGAGGTCCTAGTGTGTTTGGAAACTCCTGGTTGTGGGATGGCGACCTAGGAACCGCTACATGAAGGAGGAACATCAGAAGGCTTGCGGTCACGGGGCTGATGGAGGGAATATGTTCCAGGGAATAAAGGATGCTAATTACCACTCGCCCTGGCGAAACAAAGTGAACAGATTGACACTTAGAAATCGAGAAGTAAGAATCATTCACAAAACCCTGGAAACACTCTTATCTTTTGGTGACCCCTCTATCCAACAAAATGGCTCCTGTAAATTTCCCCTGAGCCAAGCCTGGGACGTGCTTGTTGTAGAAAAGCAAGAGTGCTCGGCAACTGGTGCTAATATGAAGCAACAGTTTGGCAAACCAAGAGGGAGAATCCATTGCAAAGGTTGGCAACCTCGATGTGGAGTGTGAATCCACACACCTTTTATGGAATGGGCCATGAATGGGGGTTGATGCCAAGGGGCGGAAGGTATTGAAGCAAGTGGGCATTGTAATGTTTTTCAGTCGAAGGATGGACTTTAAACTTGGATTGCAAACTTGGATTGCTAATGTCCCGTTCATTTAAAGCCTGCACTACGTATTAGCAATGGCTTTAACTTTAGGAAGCAAGAAGCAACGCCATTGTCCAATATAATGTGTGTGTGGGTGTTAAGAACTGATTTTCCCAGGGCTTGGCATGGCTTCACCAAGTCTGTCCGACAGCGGAACCTCACAAATATTCTTGCCAGGAGCAGCGGTTGAGACAAGAGCTCGATAAAGTGGCGGAAGAGGACTGGTGGGTGGTTTGTGGTGGCTTCAAGTATTTGTGGGGCATTCGCCACTGGAAATGATGATTTGCTCACCATCAAATGATATCAAATGGACAGAAGAAAATCAACTGCTGGGCGTTTCCAATTGTTTCTGATTTTCCAACAATTTCCACGGAGTTGAACCCACTAACCACAGGAAGTACCCCTTCCCGTGAGAGGGTCAACGCTGCTGATTTAACCGAGGGCAGATGCTGAGTTTCGCTTTGTGGGATGATCCTCCAAGATTCTCCAAGTTCCCATCACGTGCACAGTGGCGCAAAGGAAACTGATTCGAAGGGGCATTGGTGCTATCTATTGCTATCTTATCCCTGACGCCCTCCCTATCCCCAATCCTGTGATGTCCAGGTAAGAAGTCGTTTTGACTGGCGGCAAGACACCAATGTTGGTTGCTGGATGTTATTGGTGAAATACAATTAACTCACTAACTCTCCCAGCAGGGATTCTCAATCCTAACCCAATGTCTAGTTGCTTGAAATCATAGTGAACCCAAGTTGCATACCAGACCGAACTTTCCAGTTGTTCTTTATCCATTTCAGAACATCATTTAGTACAATGATAGATATTCCCATGACGATCCCCATAACTATCCCCATCTTGATCCATAGTAAGCCATAGTATGTTTGTTGGTTCAGACCGCAGCTGCCCATGACATCAAAGGGGTTATGTTTATTCGATTTACAGGAACCCCTGGTTTTTATGAAGACAGTGGGTCCCTGCAAATTGTCCCTTCATCGAATTCTGGGATAATTGTCATTGAGAACACAATTTGATGGCCTAATCTCAGATATAGATCTTTGGATACCACTCATTTCTTTGCTGGCAAAATAATGAGTTAGAATGAAATTCCATTGGCAACATCCCGATCTTTTGATGGTTGAAGCACATCTTTACCATCTTTTGATTGTTAAATTCCCATTGCAAAACAAGAAACACCTCTGCCAGGAGAGCCAAATCCTTACGGAGACCAAGCAGTGCAAGGCCAAGGTGCGGCTGCGGACCTCGCAGGCGCGGAAGCCCGTGGTTCGCGGAAGCTGCAGGCGTCGTTTCACCCAGGTTTAGGATTGATTGATTGGTATCATATTGGTATCACATTGGTATCACCAATTAACGTGGATATTAATATGTATTAATGATTCACAATGATTCTACATCCATCTTGTTGGATGGGCATCAATCCATTGATAGGGATTTAGTTATCCATTATGAGGATTCCCATTATGGGATGGGTGAGCATAAAGCATATACCAGGTTTCGACCATGGCACATATAACCTTGTGGTATTTGGGCTTGGAATCTGGATATGTCACCAGCGATATGATATTTGGGTTTCCGCAAAAGCACAGTATTAAGCCTATGGCCTATGGCCATCAAACAGTGGTGAATGAACATGGTGATAAACCAATCGATTTGAGAAATTTGGGGATACGAACGCTAGAAATCGGCACTTCGACTTACAACTGCAAAACATCAGGTTTTGGAATTTACCACTCAGAATGGACTCAAGTTTGTGCGTTGTTTGCTTTGGAAATGATGATCAGACATGTGGGATCAAGTATGATCAAGTGGCAGACTCTTGATCCCAGTATATAGTCACCCTTGGAGCGTTCGAGGCCACCATGCTGAAGCAGATGGTCAACGTGAGCAGTGCAGAGCTGGAGGGCTGGAGCGAACAGGTTGAGCGCTTGCAGATCCGCAAGCAGGACCGCAGTGGACAGGGGTGGTTTCCTGGGGATCAAGGGGATAATCAGGGGATAACTTGAGGGATATAGTAGACTTAGTAGAATAGGGAACATAATGCTATTGCCTTATTGTGATGGGGTTGAGGAGCTAGGTTGGTTTTGGGCTGAATTGAATTGCCAAGGGAAGCCATCACCGTGGCTCGAGGTAAGACAGCGGCTTGGGTTTGTTGGCCAAACTGATGACTCCCTGCGTTGGAATGGGTCCATCTCAGTACCTGATGGCAGGAGGCGAGGGACACTGCCAAGGAGCGGCAGGTCATGGAAAAGGCTGGGATGATTTGGGTAGAACAAATTAGAGAAGCAAAGTTGATGTATATCTATTTACAAATTGACGTTCAGGTATGAGATATGAATTGACCTGTACCTTTACAAACAATTGAAAAGTCCTCAAAAGTCAACAAGATGAAACAATCACAGGATCAGAATTGCACTTTGCCATTTGGTCTTTGAACAAAGTTCCTTGCTACGGCCATCAGTCTCGTCATGTCTCGTCGCTGCCAGCACCTTGCCAGTGCGCCAAAAAGTATCAGAGACGGCAGCAAGGACTTCCAGATGAGAAAGACAGCGAAGGTGCCCACTTCCAGTTGGATCCCTTGACCTTGTGGCTGTCACCGTAACAATGATTATTGATGGTTGATCATTTGGGGACACCATCAATTTGATGGCCCTAAATTTCCCAACATCAGGCATCAGGTAGTGTTTTATTATGTTGTAGCCAGGTCGCATGCATCCATAGCAGTGACCACAATGGGCGATACTGAGCTTGAAGCCATGGCATTTCGTCTTGTGATCGCAGAACGATTTGCAGTATACTCTGGTTGATGTTGGGAGCATCTTGCAACCAATAGGGATTCCAGAGAATATCAGCCGGTTCAGACACTCCCCAACTGACATGGAAATCTGTGGATTCTCCCATTGGACACTGCGTATGCTACCCAGGCAAGTTGGTGGCCTTGCAACAGGGACAGTTTCTTGACATTTGCAAAATAGTTGCGACACTTTTTCTGAATAAAAACCCTGGAAATTCACAGGGCAATCCCAGCATAGAATCCCAGCATATATTTAATACACTTTGAGGGGAAACAGCACATGAAAAGCCTGTAATGTCTCCCCCGAACAAACAACCCATATCAACCGAGCCAAGTGAGTCTCGCTGCGGAGGCAAAACCATTCCGTCGAATCCTTCCAGCGGAGGCAGAACCTCGAGATCAACGGGCTTGTCCTTGAAAGAGACCAGCGTCCCCTGCATGGGCGAAAGCAGGTGATGTCGTGGCCATGTATGACACATAAAAATACACATATTGACACAATTACATATCATATCATATAGTATCATATAATCAGTTACCACCCAAATCCACCCAATAAAGATGGGATTTAATCATAGAACAAAAAAATATGGATGTTAGTTTAATCTATTGTGTGTCCGACACTTCCGTCAATGAATGGGTGAGGGTGTAGATGGGTGTGATTTGGCATGAATACGAGTATAGATGGATGATCTGTTTGCGGGGCTGGACGATTGACATGGAAAGTGGAGAAGCGGACGCCAAAAAAGAAGGAGGCCTGCCAAAAAGGTAAGTGTCCCTCTGGGGCTGCTTTAGTGGTTGAGCAAAGTCATGTATTTCTGGCTCCAACACCTTGAACTCAACAGTGATGTGAGAGATCTCAAAGCAACATGACGAAGTGGGGGTGGCAGGGATGGATGTGTGGATTCACTCAGTTTACAACTCAGCTACCCCAAGAGTCTGTGGAATCCAGGGGCTGCCTGTTTTAGACCAGCTCAAGCGCTCAAGCTGGATTTAGCGAATGCCCTTGCTGAGGTCAGCATCTGGAAGGGCACGATGAAGAAAAGCGTGGTGATTGAGAAGGGCACGAACGCCAAAAATCGATCATGATGTGCCGGGTATCCCATTGGGGGTGCGTTACTTGATGGATTATCCCTTGAACATGAGCATACATTGTGCAGTGATGGATTGCAGAAGCGCACAGCACCATTTGAACTGGGAATGTCTTTCAGACTTTGCTGGATTGTGTAGGGCCTTTCCTGGTTTCTATGTCTGGAATTGTCAGTTTGCAAGCATGATTCAAATCTCCATTGATTCATTTGTAGGTTGAACTTTGAACCGCCAGTTTGTGTTGGTCAAATCATGTCAAATCCCTTTTCGAATCAACATGCTTTAAGCAGTAAGCCCAGTAAGCCCAGTAAGCCCATTCTTGTTGCAGGAATCCCATTAAGGGAGGAGATCCGGTCCAGTGTGGGTCATTCGACTGCAGGACTCAGGAGAGAGGTAAAGGGGCCAGGGAGTGACAGAGCTCACCTGGTGCCTTTGGAAAATTCTTTCAGAATATATGAGCCAAGAATAATGAGAGATTGTTGTCACGCTTGTTTCCTTTCCAAGCTTAGAGCTAGGTTGAATATGAGCGACCTAGTTGACGGCTTGAAACCGCCAAGCAGCATGCCCTTATTTCTATATCATCTTCCATTTGATGATATCATACGCAGTTGCTGTCCAAACAATTTGAAGCAAGAAGTCACCAGGTTGACTGTTGCGGTGTAAGAAAACCGCACCAGTCGCGGTGATGGCGGCCCAAAGTGCAGCCACCCGATGCTTGGGGATGTACAGAGTTGCAGATGGGCACAGGATGCACTTGATTTGGACCAATTTCACTCAAGACCACCAGTCTGTGAAGACTATACTTAGCTGTTCTGAATATCCATCAAGGTCAGTCGAACATATTTCAGCAGTTGAGATTTGAAGTGGCATGGCCCGCAACTTCTCTTTAATATTGTTTAATGTTCCATAGAGTCGAATCCCAAAGTGTGTCCTGTCGCAGCCCGAATTATGGCGTCCTCGCAGAGCGAGGCATCTGCCGTGCATGGCGGTCTTGTGGCCATGGGTCGTGATCCAAGAGGAGATTTCAAGATAGACACTGGATACATCTGGATACTGATTCATAAAATGGCTGGGCTCTGGGATTATGTTCAATATATTTCAATATTTACCCATCCCAAAATGGGTGCAACAAGCCCTCGAGTACCCAAATGGTAGGTGAATGGGTCAGTAGTGGATCAATGGTAGAGTTACAGTCTTGTGAAAAGATCATGCCTTGGTAAATGGCATTGGTTAATTCCTTTTTTGTCACAAATGGGTGAACGCTTTAACAATCCCCGCAGAAATCAACTTGTTCGCAGGGTATGCATCATTTGTTTCAGGGTCAGATGCCCTATAAATACAGGGTGCCGATCTGAACAACATCATCAATCAACATGGACATAGTTTACTGTACCGGACTGTACCCATAGATTTGGAGATCAAAAATCGTATCAAAAACAACGAAGGAAGACAATGCCCATACAATGCCCATACAATGCCCATACAATGCCCAAATCGTAGGATTGTCATGGATTGTTTGCCTCATGGGATGGTTTCGGTCAGGCTTTCATGGTGACTTATGCAAAGATGTGCATATTCCCCACGAACATACCACTGAACATGGTGTTAATGGATATGTTTCGAAATTAGACAATAAACAATGAGACTGTGCATCTCAACATGATCAAATCTGTTTGCGCTCAAGTTCTAGACTTTGTGTGGTTTCAGCGTTTCCACAGAGGCAGAATCCAACTATCCAGAAAAAAACGTACGCACTGCATATGTTATACTAATCACACTTGGCCTTTGACATGACATTCTTATCAACCTCATACTATTGAATTCTGGTTGCATCTAGAATCTAGTGGTTCAATCAGAAACATGACCCATCCATCTTTGGCTTGCGACCCACAGCGTCCTCCTGTTCGTCCAAGTGGCAGGAGAGGCAGTCCAATAGTGTAAAATGCTGGACATGAGCTTTGGCGGGTGGCTGGGTGTTGAGAGGTTTTTGTTATGGACCGGCGATGAGTGTTGTCTACAGAAGTTGAAGGTGCGTCCAAGTGAGAAGCCATGGAAGTAAAACTGTGGTAGGTTGGCTCTTGTCCTGGTTTCATGTTCGACTTCTGGGTGTATAGTGTATGCATGTGTATGCACTTCTCATTTCTCAACCATTTTTTGGGACATCCAAAACTTGGGTTCCCCAAGCTCGCCTTCACCCTGAATCAGCGTTGCTGTTTTGCTGTGGATTGATAGGGTCTCCCAACTCCGGGAATATCTCATGAGTGTCACCTTACATCTCCATGTCCAGGGAGAAAACACTGAAACCAAACGCACGTAAGGATACACTCCAACGTGACCTTCCCATGATGTAGTTCGAGTTTTGCCGATCATACAGTCAACATCAGTCAACTCAAAAGTGAACACTGAGAGATTGGCCTCATCTTAACAGCAGTAGATAGTCAAGCTTACTATAGGAGACCGGCACTGAGGCTCATCCCAAACACTTAACAGCAATCCGACGAGAAGAACCATGGCTGCTACTCATGGCCGGTTCCTAGCGTGATCCTAATGGCACTGGCAAATTGGATTTCTTGAGGACCCAAGAAACCATCAGATTTAGTGACAGTGACTTTAAAGGTTTGTAGTGCTGATGTCCAACGTTGGCTACTTGTTCAGCCCTTTTGAAACGCCAGTCCGGTTTGCAATGGCGTCTGAAAATTAACAAAATCAAACACATGATGTTTGATGCAGTGATGAGTATGTAGCCAATGCAGAAAGGCGTGCAACCTATCAAGCAGGACAAGTTATCGAAATGCCAGCAACCTGATGCAACCTCATGAAGTGAGAAGTCCCTTTAGATGGTTGAGGGTCTGTATTTGTCGTCAATTGTAAAAACATGTTGGCACGTCTGCGTAAGATTGTGTAAGACTATTCACATGTTCAAGACCTGGTATTGCCGTTAAAACTTGGATTTCCCATTGCCGTAGTTGTGACCATTCCCCGTAGATTCACCACGATAGATCCAGTAAGATATTGCTGATATACCATTTCTATCGGTTCATCCCTGATCATCCCAAAGCTAAAAACAACTGTATAGGAAACACTAGAAAAACATCGCCACCTCATTGTTTAACATTTCATGACCAAAAGTGGCTCTGTATTAGAACTTTTAATGACATTTAAGCATCTAAGCATACTTCAGCCATTTTCCCCCAGATTCCACGCCATGCCGTTGCCGCAGCCCGTGACGGCCGTGGCGCTGCAGCGCAGCGCCGGGAAGCTGGGGCGTGCGGCGGTGGCGTGCATGCAGGCAGATCCACAGAAATAATAAAATAATCTATATAATAGAAATAATATATATAGTATAATGCTATAACTTATATATATATATAGATGATACTGGGATGTAATCGGTTTGTTTGACATTGTTTATGTTTGTTTCACACGTCCATCATATAGCAAAATACGGTTTATATTGCCATAAACACGGATTAACCCGGGTTTCTATATTCGATCAAATCCACATTTACGACGATGAAATTGACCATGTGAAACGCAACATAGACTGTTTGATAGCTCAGATCACAAGTTAAGATAGATAAGATGGATGGATGGATGGATGGAAAGACGGATGAGATAGATGGTTCGATGGATGGGTGGATCGATGGATGGATCGATGGATCGATGGATCAATGGATCGATGGATCCATAGGAAATTACGAAATGTGGACCTGGATCCCCAATTGACCTTTTTGGGGAAGTTCGAGATTCTTCACAAGATTGGTTTTTCTTTCATTTCAGGGGTGGACCCTCTTTTGCATTACGTAGACCAAAACCCGTTGTGTGGGTAAAGTGTTCAAATCCTACCCCGACAGCGGCATACTTAAGACTCTTAAGCAAACCAAGAACCCAACGCCTTTGTTATACCCGACAGGGTCTCCGGAAAGAGTTCGAAGACTTCCACATCCTCGACCAAGAGCTCGGCATATGTGGCGTATTCGACGGACACCTGGGAGAGGAAGCAGCTGCGTTCTGCGCAGAACATTTGCATCTGGATGGTGGTTTCAAAAATGGTTGTTCATTTTCAACCACTAAACATGAAATGATCGAGCCATTTGACTTAGCCATTACTTTGTGTTTGCCTACGGCGCCATTAACGACCCCTGCGTTTTTGTCATTTTTGCTGATAGGATGCAAGTTGCTCTTGAAATTGATGCATGCGCAACTGACGTCACGTCACTGGGTTGGGGTGGGGTGGGGATGTTAACGTTCATGTTGTCACGTCACTGGGTTGGGGTGGGGTGGGGATGTTAACGTTCATGTTAACTTGCGTCACATGCACAACTGACATCAACTGACGTCACGTCACTGGGTTGGGGTGGGGTGGGGATGTTAACGTTCATGTTAACTTGCGTCACATGCACAACTGACGTCACGTCACTGGGTTGGGGCGGGGTGGGGATGTTAACGTTCATGTTAACTTGCGTCACATGCACAACTGACGTCACGTCACTGGGTTGGGGTGGGGTGGGGATGTTAACGTTCATGTTAACTTGCGTCACATGCACAACTGACGTCACGTCACTGGGTTGGGGGGGGGCGGGGATGTTAACGTTCATGTTAACTTGCGTCACATGCACAACTGACGTCACGTCACTGGGTTGGGGTGGGGTGGGGATGTTAACGTTCATGTTAACTTGCGTCACATGCACAACTGACATCAACTGACGTCACGTCACTGGGTTGGGGTGGGGTGGGGATGTTAACGTTCATGTTAACTTGCGTCACATGCACAACTGACGTCACGTCACTGATTTGGGGTGGGGTGGGGATGTTAACGTTCATGTTAACTTGCGTCACATGCACAACTGACGTCACGTCACTGGGTTTGGGGTGGGGTGGGGATGTTAACGTTCATGTTAACTTGCTTCGCATGGACAACTGACGTACGTCACTGGGTTGGTGGGTGGGTATTTTAACGTTCATGTTAACTTGCGTCACATGCACAACTGCCGTCCACGTCCACTGGGTGGGGTGGGGATGTTAACGTTCATGTTAACTTGCGTCACATGCGCAACTGACATCACGTCACTGGGTTGGGGTGGGGTGGGGATGTTAACGTTCAGGTTAACTTGCTGGACCAGATTAAAGCTTTCATGTACAGACGCAACTCAGGTCATAACCTGTGGAAGGAACTGGGAAAGCTGGCCAAATCTGGCCAAGAAGAGTCGGCGCTGAACAACTTGCAAGGGTGATTTGAAAAATGAGTTTTGCTGAATGACTGATGATCAGATGTGACTGAATGTGTTCAACAGAAGAAAAAAACAATATTTTTTTCAGACGTGTTGAAAATCGATGAGCGTTCCACACGAAACGCACTTTTGGTAGTTGGCCCCAGTGTAACTACGACTTGACGTTTTTATCACGTATTTACAAAACCTTGCAAATACCATGATTTGGTGAACGAAGCGTCATGAAAAATCCATGAGTTACCCCGGGTCGCTAACCGCGCCGTAGCCTTGTTTTTGGTGATCACCACATAGTTGCTAGTCTTCTCCCCATATTGGCTGCTTACATCCCCAGTCCTACCTCACCAACCAGGCATTTGCACGCCATGGAAGCTGACGACACTGCATCCCTGACCAAAGCCTTTGGAGATTGCGATGATGCCCTGCGGAAAGCTTTACCTGCAAAGAGTGAAGCTGGAACTACGGCCACCCTCGCAAGAGTTCAAGAGAACGGCAGTGATGATTCTCTGAATGTTGTGGTCCCTTGGTTGACGATTGTCGGCTCCAGCTGTTTGCCTTCAAAAACCTACAAGGGGAGATATCATTTGCAATGATTCTCCAGATTTCCATACTGAACGCTGGCACATGTTTCACCATAGCCATGTGAAGTCATTGGATTTCCGAGGCATGGTTCCATCATTGCACATCATCATTTCTTTCAAGCTATTGTGCTATTCTTTATGAATCGTCATCGCATATTACAATTCCTGGATCCCCAAACCACAAATTTGTGACAGCTCCAGTTCATACCTGGCGGGATCAGCATTCTCCAAAATTATCCCTTTCCCAGAAGCCCAGTCAATCTCTAATATCCATAATTCCAAAATTCATTCCACAAACATCAGTTCAATCAGTTGAATCAGTTCCCATCCTTGACCATCTGACACTCCAAAATCAACAGACATCAACCCACATCTGTTTCCAGTTTGTCAGTTGGAATCCCCATGAATCCGTGACCAACCGACATCCATTGCTATCCCCAGGTGGCCAACCTCGGTGACTCCCGTGCCCTGCTGTGGCGCCCTGGGCCGACGCTGGAGGTCACCCGGGACCACCGCCCTGGCGACGCGGCGGAGCGTGCGCGGATCGAGGCGGCGGGCGGCACGGTGAGCGAAGAGGACGGCAGGGGGCAGGTGACTTGGGGTAATTCTGTGGAAGGTATGATATATAAAAAATAATAATTTCATATGTGTATACATATATATATATATATATTGTATATATCTATGATATGGCTATAAAGGGAATGACATGTCGACTTGTTTTCAGAATATACTTTGACGGCTCCTTAATACATATATATATATATACAAATATATAATATTAGATAATTGTATATATATATATATATGTAGATACTGATTTATTATATTTGATATTGAATATCAATATATAATATTATATTTATATATATATATATATTACTTATCTATCTATTTTATATAGAATATGAAGGGAATGAAATATCTAAATATATCTGAATATACTTTGACGGCTCCTTGATGCATGTATCTATGATCACTTATGATCACATATTATATACATACTATTTATGTAAATGTGGTTGATAATATGCGTATGTATACTTATATATATATATGTAAGGATACGTATAATTATTAGAGATATGGAAGGAGGATAGGGATTTAACCATATTATTGATGGCATGGATTTTGGGGATAACGGGGTATACAATATGTATTACCCATCACAATGGTTAATAATGGGAAACAGGGTATTATGCCGCAAGATGTATTGCAGTTATGGGGGTGGATCACATCAATAGTGAGTATAGCCAATATGTTCATACATATATATATTTATACATACACATACATAATTAATATATATATATATACATATATGTAACGTATACACAATATATATATACACACATTTACATACTATAATGGATACTAACATGGTGATGCGATACAAGTACATCTCTAAGAACTACATGGCGATATATGGGATGCAAATGATTGGTAAATAGGTATATATATATATATATACGGACGGAACTAATAAACAACAATATGATGTATATGCAGAATATCCAGAAATATGTGACTTGCCCACAAATTGGTATCCCATGGATATATGACTAACTAATTGGAGGGCGCTTATTTGTTTGAAAAAACACCATGAGTAAGGGTATTCGGGAAGTCAATCTTATTGATGGATTTGGGGACAACGGGATACCATTGAATATATTACCATTTCATAGCTAATAAGTCATGCTGGGGTATCTGAGGATTGACAAGAAAGACGGGATTTATTCGGATTTATCAATGATATTCCCAACATGGGGATATATGTTGAATTATGTTTATCATAATGGGAAAATATACCCATCAGGGAATTATACGGAGATTATACTTGGGATTTATACAATTGATGGTCTTTACATTGGTTGGTCCAAGGGGTGGTTAGCGACGAAGGCGAGTGCTCAGTTGGCCTTGGAACTATTACACAGTTTCAGCAGCAATGCCAAGCTCTGCAACTGCTGTAGCTTCACTGTTTAGTACATGGCACAGGTCCTACCCCAAATCTACCTCACCAGATAGTTTCCCATTGCAAAATGGAATAAATGAGCATGTGTCAAAGTTGAAGACGCAACCAAGACACAGGCTTGGGTCCTGTTTCATACCAGGTCGTATTCTTTGTTGAGTGAATCGTCCTTCCATGTTTTGAAGCGTCAGGAGCGCATCGATGGGACTTTGGCCTGCAGCCGCGCCCTGGGAGCCTTTCGCTTCAAAGGAGCAACGCCTTCAGAGCCGTCCAAGGCGGGAGAAGGGACTCGTAGAGAGGATGTTTAAAGGGAGGATGTAGTGGGAGGAAAATGGTGATCAAGTGGGATGTAGAACCCATATAAAATGTAAACTATTGGGATATACGGGCCAACATGATGTATGGGTTTGACAGTGTCATTCATTGACCAATGTCATGCCGCACATATGAGGAGATCATGGTTAACTACTGGATTTGGGGGTGCCGCATTTTCAGACGAACCCACATGATGGGGTGAGATAGTGGACAGGGTGATATGTTGATGATGGTTGTGGACATGTTGGGTTGATTGGTTTCATGATGGGCACATGTGCAATGAGGTGTTTCAAAGATGGGTCTAAACAATAAATTGTTCTGATGATGGTTTGATATGGGTTTGGAATTTCCCAAAGGAGAGAAGAAACTCTTTATTAACTGTTTTAGATTTTTGCATTTTCTGATGCCTTTGGATCGCGGACCCACGTTGTGTATAGTTAAACATGTTCTGGCACGCAAGGAAGATTTCTAGGTTACCATTTTCACTAGCTGATCACATCTGCATCTATTGCCGTCGTGAGAAAGAGTCGACATGATGTTGTTTTGATCCAAATAAAATGTTGTTTTGATCCAAGTGTTTGCAACGTTCAAAATTCCATCGTTGGTGATTTCAATTATATAATTATAGGATGTGTTCTTTCCCGAAAACAGGTAATTTCACAGCACATTAACATACATTAACCAATATGAACCATTGTGGGGAGGGTTTTACCACAATTTCCACCGTTTGGCGTCCAGGTGAGCTGCGTGCCAGAGGTGTACCATTGGACCGCCAAGCGCGGCGACTGGCTGATCTTGGCCTGTGATGGAATTTGGGATACCATCAGTGACTGGGAGATGATCACTGGGGACAAAAATGATGGGTGAGTATCGGGACAAAACAAATGAATGATGTTGAGCCCCAAACTAGTTGAGAGATTACTACTAGAGATTCTGAATAAGTTTGGAGTGACCTGAAACGATCAGCCCCTATAAACGTCTCTACGTCAGCAGACTGGTCCAAGAGTCCACTCTCCAGGGTCATAGAGATAGAATAGAACCAACATACGGTCCGGATAGCCAATGGAAATGATCATATCATCGTCATTCGCAGGAATATAGCCAATCATTGAGGGATTTCTGGCACGGTCAAACTAAGGTATCCCAAAAGTTGGATGCGTGTTGCTATGATTGAACAACGCTAATCACGGAATTCATGGGATACATCACCAAGAAGGGGTGCACTATCTGTGACACAGGGGATGCCAACATTGGGGATGCCCGACAATCATGCCCCAGAGCATATGTCTGGAAACATTGCAACGAATTCAATGGTCAATTACTGTGCATGAAGGTTCAAGATCAGTCAGCATGCTAGGTTGGTGGATTACAATTCCGCCAGATCCATGCACCGTTCCAGTAGTTTGCTTAGATTTGCATGAGTTGTTTGACCACGAACCCGGCCAAATGTATCAGGATCTCATTGATAATGGACATTATTCCAGGACAGTGTTTGAGGTGAGTGAAATATGACATGTTTTTGCTAATTGGTTGCCTTGGTTTAATGGTTGAAAGCCAAGTCATCCTTGAATCTGAAAGGGGCCAAACAAAGTCAAATTATGCAGTTGGAAAATTGGAAGTCCATTTGTTGTGTTTGTGAATAGACCATGGCTAGCCATTTTGATTGGTCCGTGCCATTGTTTCATTCATGACAAATGAGGCAACCAGCAAGCAGTAGATCGAATATGCAAAGTTCCTGGAGATTTGGGTGAACTTCTGGAATCGGTGCTTCATTTCTGCATTGACAGGGAAACTTTGGTACATATTTCAGTCTCATTGATGGTTTTTTAGATATCCTGGTTTTTTGGAGGAGTTACTGCAGCCGTAAAACTGTTGGATGCTGGTTTGCCAAACATTTGGACGTCTCCTGCCAGTTCGGAAGATAGCCAAACTTGAATCCTCAGGTTTGCAATGATTCCAGTTGATTGCCTGGCTTCTGATGTTGTTCGTTCGCATTCAAACTGCCAAGTCTTGCCAAAAGACATGTTTTAAAGCAGCTCTTGGTAGTCTTGTACTTCGGGTCTCCTGGGAAATTCCTTGGTAGGTCACTGCATTTATTGTTCAGTTGTCCTTACCAGCTGCAATTCGCCCAACAGTTTTCCGCGCAACACCATGAATTGACCAACATAGATTGCCATAGAAATCCTGAGAAGGAAAGCAGGTAGAACACATTGCCATCTTGGAATCTAAGGCTAAGGCTAAGGCGGCTAAAGTGGCGTAACACCATGGAAACTCCATGTAACCTAATCGTTTACACTCCTGTAAACAAATATTACATCTACCAATGTTCAACAGGTGAATCATTTACATACGTTGGATTTCTTATTTCTACCATACTATTTTTGATCACTCTAGGGTAGCAATACCCCACCTGCACTTCTCGAGGAAGCGGATGACAACCTCACCCTGCTGGCGGTTGAGCTCGGGGCTGTGGACCACCAAGATACCACTTGCACCATCAGCGCGGGTGGCTTCCTGAAGACCAAGGACAGCGAAGTGTGGCTGGGCTGAACAGTGGGATGGTGAAGGATGGAAGGGAATCATTGTGATCAACCCAAGCACAATATGTATCAATCACCAATTGTTTGAAGGTGTGTGAAATAGCAAAACAAATGGTAAAGTACGGTATGTCAATCCTTCTGACATGGTCGTTTTCAATGAGCAAACGAGCGCAATCATAAGTATGGGTTGCACACCCCAAAATTGGGCCAGCCTTCAAGGCTCACACATTGTAATGGTGTAAAACTGAACATAGGGCTAGGTCTCGTCCCCTTAAGAAACGATGCTTGAGGCACACAACAGCTTGTATTTGGTTGGAGATTGCCAAAACATCACCCTGCTCGTTGCATTCTTTGGGACAGCTTGTGTCTTTCAAAATCCCGGGCAGGTGGGTCAAAAAAAGAAACGCAGCAATGACGTAGAATCAGGGATTGAGAGCTCCAACACAACTGCTGTATATTGTAGTCATATTCGCTTACATGACACACACACACGATTGTGGGTGATGCTGTATAGCTCCTTCCGCTGACTAACACCCACACATGATGATTACTAATTCTAAGCCATCCATGTCATACCCCAAACGAATGAGGTTGGGATTCCCTCTGCAAATTTTAACGCTGATGTAATCATCAAACCTGGATTGAAGTGAGGGTATGCCTTTGGTTTGAGATTTCGTGGTGATTAGGGTAGCCTGGTTGCCGGTTAAGATTTACGTCCCAGACTTGGATTGAAGCTGAGGCTTGAGCAGTGTCTAGACTGCAGATCGGCAGGATTGTGGTGTTTTGTTGACTCAGGGATTTTGGTGAAATTCACTTGTTTTGATGAAGTGTTCTTCGTTTTGCGCACAAAGATTTTCAGTTAATTTTGGTGGATTAAACTTGTATACGGCTTGTTGATGACAACATTTTTTTTATGGCTTGAGAGCAAGACTGAAGTTCTTTGACACTAACACTTGTTTGACCACAGCATCTACTGATGTGTTATTGTACCATCAAGCCATCTTGCAAGTAGATGTTACACATGGTACATTCACAGTGCGAACATTGCCCAATTGGTGGGTTTTATGGGTGACGGAGTATGGACCAACATCCACAACAATCATTGCTGGCTGGTAGGGAAGACATTCACCCACATCTAGAGATGCGCTACAGCCATGTGAGGCCTCATGTTGATTATCAAAATGATTCTAGTTCGATATTACATATATATATATATTATATAGAGTTTCAATACGAATATTCTGTTTGAACTGGGCACGTCCAAGAGTTTTTGGCGAATTTATGCCATTTGCATTGGCCGGTCACAAGTCCCAATCATTGACTCGCTTACTAATTTGGAACATATTTCCTTGACACAGTACTCTTTGTTTTGGTTTTCTTTTGCGAACAGACACCTACTTACATCAACACAATATCATATATGCTGTACATACTGTCATGTTGGTCTAGAGTCTAGATGTTTCGGTATATGAACATGAACATTATACCATACACATGTGACATGTGCTTATGTGATACAATTTCCGCTCGCTAGGTATGCGCTATTCTGCCAACGATTTGGCTACTCCATCCAGAAAGAGATGTCGCTGGTCTTAAATCAGTGGACCCAAGTGACGCAAGTGCCCTTGATACAGCGACCTCATGGCTGACCAAACCCTAAGCGATAATAAAAGTGGGGGAAGCGGGAAGCCTTCAATTTGATGGTGTGAAATTAGTGTGGGATTCAGTGTTGATTATCCAGATTCATGAGCGGTACTCGTACTTACAGTTTTTTAAATTTTGACTTATCGCGAAAGAGCCTGCAACAAATACTGATATGCAAACACTTTCACTGATGTAAGATGTCGAAACGAACAACCTGGCTTCACCTGCAAAACAGCTGTTTTGATCGGCCATGCTAAAAGACTCGTTACAGGAAGAAACCGTTTACATCCCATAGCTTCGGAATCCCATGGTCCTTCCCAGGCGCCCAAAAGGCCCACCCGTCGTGAAGTTGTCGAAGGTGGAGCCTCGCGTCACTCGGCGATCGTTCCAATTTGACAGCCCCAATGAGCAATATGAGCAAGACAGGGATGTGAACCAACAAAATAGCAGGGGCGATAATTTGGAAAGAGTTGGATAATTATCAACCAAAATGATTCAAACATACTTGGGATGGATGTGAGACGTTCGTTTTTCAGTGACTCCCGGTGGCCGGGTGCAATCCCCTCTTTGTGGTAACAGCATGATTCAGATGCTTCATTGGTCCAATATATATGGGCAATATGGATCAATATATCAAGTGGCATATGAGCCAACCTTAATGTGGATAGGGGTTGCAACCAATAAATTTTGTGATAATTACTAACCATGGACATTGATAAGGACTATAATGGCCATGAACAGATGAGGATTGTGCTACCTTGGGGAAAGGTAGACGTATTGAAATATTGAACACACATACTTAGAAGTTTTAGAAGTTTGAATCCTACTGTCCAGCTCCGCATGCCCAGCCGATCGTTTTGGAGACCTGGACCATTCGCCCTGGGTGTTCAAGGCACGAGTTTCCCAAAAGGCCAGAAACCACTGGGTTTTTGCAGCTAAAATCAACCAATTTAGATGAGCAGTTGTAGAGATGTCGTAAAGCACACCCAAGATGTCAAGACTTGGATGGGTTGACCGCGGGATAGACTTCAAGAGTCATTGGATGGTCTTACCAAGAGCATGCATGGAATTAAGCGAGATAATATGACAAGCAAAGACACTCTGGGTTTGTGTTTATCCCAAGTTCTGGTACAAAGTTGAGAATTATGTAGGTATTGCAACTATACACTTTTCACATCTTTTTCATACATAAGATTGTTTGGTACGGGTTTTAAGTCAGTATCATCAAGCTTTGCCAGATCTCAAGTTGGGCCATGTGTGGAATGGGAATCAATTAGAGATCCCAAGACTTCGGAAACACCTCCTGCTAGGATGAGTGGCACCAATTTCCGGCTGCGACCTAAGGAACCGCTACAAGGAGGAGCAGCAGGAGGCTGGGTTAAATAAAAAAAACAAATCAGCAACTGGGTTCGTTAGTTGAGGGCAAAATCATAGGAATATGGAGAGATTGGTCAAAACATGCTCTATATACCATGATACCATGGCCGGGAGGGCCCGGAGGGATGAACATATGTCAGCCCTTTTTTCACAGAGTGTCTTAGTGTTAAAAAAACAACTGGATACCACACTGCCACTGCCGCATTTTTCACACGGCAGGCTACCCTGCAGATCCGGCCCTGACAGATCCTGCAGGATGCCTGGGTGACATATGGTCGTGCTTGGCAGGTAGAAACCATCGGTTAGTATCTGGGTCTGGGGACCACCCTGGTACCTTTTTTTGGGCATAGAGTTGGAAATTAGTGCCTACTTGGTTTTATATGCAATGGTTTAACCACATGATTATGGTGAAAGTTTTAGCATGACACATGGGGATATCTTGCCAACCGTATATTATATACTGGGCACTACACCTGGAAAACATGGGGTTATTGAAGGAACAAACACGCAAGACGTAAGCTTAAATGGGAAGCCGCATGGTGTAGCAGTGCCATTTGTCATGTTGGATAACAAGTAAGAAGGACCTTCACGGGTAACTTCAAGCTATAACCCTGACTTATGTATACTTATGTGGCACTGAGTCAGAAGTCATCTAGTCATTGCCGCAATTGTCACGTCATTGCCACATATTGCCACCCTTACGGTTGCCACCGCAGTAACCGTCCCCGTAACCTGTGGCTCCAATGCCTGGAGCGCCAACGCGCCAAGGAGGCAAGGGATATGGAAAGAAAGGAGTACCTGCTGGGAAAGGCAGGGTTTGCAGTGGCTGCGTGGAATGGATCAAATGTGAATCAAGTGGGAATCAAATGGGTCATTAAGTTTTTTTCATAATTAGGTCATACAGGACGTCTGTGGTATGATACAATGTGTCGCAATGTTGTTTTCCTTGGTGAACCCATTCATGTGTGTAGCTCAGCGATAGCAATCCTTCTCTTGCCAGTTTCCAATGGATGGTGCGGTTGCCCTGCATCCCTGTCGTCCCCAAAGCATCGCCGCCCCGTCAGGGCACCAAAAAGTACCGGCGGCAACGTAGAAACACAGCGAAGGCGCCCTGAAAGCACCTGGTGATTCGCTGTTATTGGTTACGGAATACTCCGAAATGGATCTGGACGATAGTTGAGAATTGGAAAGGACCTCTCTGTTGGGTCCATCTTGGATTTTTTGGGCACACTTTAGAAGTGGATAGGATTAAGAAAGCGTATTCTCATACGATGACGCTACCGCATTTACTGTAATATATGCATATTAGTGGTGGCACCCAGTCACCCACCAATCTTTCATATTGCTGTTGTGTTTAGATGTGGACTAGATCCTGCGCCTGGGCCACCCCGAAACAAGACATGGATCCAATAGCTTTGGATCAAGAATCCAATGGAACAACTTCCAATACCAATGGTCAAAACGTGTCAAAACTATCATGGAATATGATGCAGCTTGTCAACAAAAGATTGCCCAAAAATTAAGTGCTTGAATTTCAAAGAAACATGGAACTTCTTGCTGTCTCTTTTCTCAAAACAGGTATAACATTATATACCTGATATTCCGATATTGAAAATGGTGGCTTTGAGAGCGCCCATGAGGAGGCAAAATCCTGCGGTCAAATCCTGTACGAAGCAGAACCTGGCGGAATCTTGATCTCTAGAAGACACTAGTGTCACCTGGCAGCATTTCGCTGGAGAAGTGGCCACGGGTGTCTTTGCCGCTACATTGATTTGTGTTTTCATCACAATAGCGGGTGGATGATATGGACTCTGTGCTGGGCGAAAATCGAATTTCCAGGGTTCCAAAAAATGTAGCCTTGGAAGATGCTAATCTCACTGGGTTGGGCTGTTTGGGAGACGCTAGTCCAAGTAAAGTCATTGTTCAACTTGTTTTTTGGTGCGTGTGTGTCTGTGTTGAGAACACTCAATTCTTCAAAGTACAAAAGGTTGATTTCTTTGCTCCATTTCATTCCATTTCCTTTGTGCCAGACTTGGCAACATCTAGGCCCAAGGCACCATCCCGGCCATCCCCTCGCAACACCGGCTGCGCGGCTGCGCGGCTGCGTGGCTGCGCGGCTGCGCTTGCGGCGCGGAGGCAGTGTCCTTGGACAGCATTGATCACGCTGTCGCATCAGTTTCTCTCAGCAAGGATGTTGGGAGTCCTATTTTGATCAAAACATTGAACAAGTGAACAATTTCCAAATATTCATTTCCGTTTCTGTGAGTTTGTCTTTTCCCCATTGTTGATGTAATCCGTTTACCCTCTACATCCTACATGGGAACCCCGACTTCGCATTTATTGGCCAGGTGGGCAGCGCTGCACACACTGCGGCTTAGCAAATGCTTGGATTCAGTGCGAGTCTTTGTCGGTGCCAAGAACCTCTCGGAACAGATGCTCAGCGCCGCCTAACCATTGTCGATTCTCTTACTTCGGTTCTCTTCGATTTCCGTGGCTGTGGCATTGACGCGGGCAAGTTCAAAACGTTCGAGACATGTTGCCAGAGGGGCTGAGCGTGCCCTCTGTTATTTCTGACGTTGGAATCTTTGAATGACCAATGATGTTGTACATCGGTGTAATTACGGGTGAGAACATCCTAAAGCCAAGTTAGTGGGGCCTAGTAGGGCACCCATGGGCCCGTCACGAATCCACAAAGTTTCTGCGTGAACATGGCCGGTCCTCTGAGAAAAGGTGGCCGAATCCTGCTTCATTTGGTGTCACATCATGGATCTTCGAGTGATCCTGAGTGATTCCCACCGTCACAGAAACACTGTCATACCTGCCTGCCATGGTTCTGACATCTCTTCTGACATTCTTTCTGGTATTCTATCTGACATTCTATCTGGCCTATCTATGCATATCTTCTGACCGTTTTTCTGGCATTCTATTTGGCCCATCTTCTGACATTCTTTCTGGCAGATATTCTGACATTCTATCTGCCGTTCTATCTGCCGCTGGTGGTTCAAGAAGTGGCTGCAGCCATGGAGGAACGTGACATGTGACATGTGATCAACAGACACTTAAAAAAATGAAACATCGGGCACTTAATAGTGTTGATGGGGATTATACAACCACTGGAACTGAGCACGGAAACAATCAAAGAACTCATGAACCTTTCCTGCACCTTGACCCAGCCAATTAGAATTAGAATTAGAACTGGAATTTGTGGGTTTGACATGGTCCTGAGAATCAGGAGTCAGAGAGTCCATGGTGGCACCCCAATCAACAAAAACAAAGAGGCTTTCAAACCGATAAGCAACGCACCATTTCTTTTGTTTGGCAGCTTGCAGCCTCAGTTTCTTGGAGGTTCAAATACTCTTGCACCGGATTTTTTTAATTCCCATGTTCATTGGTGAACGCTTCATTTTCGGTGAAGGTTTATGTTTCATTTTCAAACCAACTTCAATCAACAAAATCGCCTTCGTCCATGGCAACCGACTTCCCGGTACCCTTGGAACGCGCCCCTGCACCGCTGCTGCTGAGATTCAATACTAGCGGCGCTGGAAGGGCTGAGGCGGAGTATGGTGAGGAGGAACCGCCGGCCAAGAGGTGTTTGACTCGCCTCCTGCGTCACTCGTATGTTATGTGTGCGAAAATGAATGAACATGATCAACAAAACCACCATCAATGGGAATAACATATTTATTAAATGTTGATTGATTTTTTGGGTACGGTACAATTTGACGGGAGCAGAACCAACAAATCTGGCGGTGGAACTCAGGAAATCTTTTGCGCAGGATTTGCACTTGGCCAGTTAGATTGCCAGACGATTCCAATTTTTACGATGATTGACGGTAGAACTGCGAAGTCTAAAACATGTCCAAATGTCATGGTCACAAATGCGGAAAATGACGAACAACAATGTGGAACAAAACGGCAAATTAATTCTGAGATGGGACGCGCTGACTGACAATGTTATTTGGGTTGTTAGGAAAAAACATGCAATGGCAATGGATTGCCAACAAAAAATGATGGTATACCCAGCACGAAACAAGTGGAGAAACCAGTGATCATGGTTCTGCACATGGGGATTGAACCATCAATAGCCGACCATCCAACATGAAGAATGTGACCACTGAGACAAGGGTTATAGTAAGCAGACCACTCAGGTTATTGATGTTCCATTCCTGCATGGGATGGGTCCTGCTGGCTAACTATGTGTGAGACAGTTCAAGCCCTCAATTGATACCTAGAATTGTGGACAAGCAAAGTAGAAAGGCAAAAAACAAAGATAAGATGCATTAATCCCAACACAATGTCCTAGTTTGGGCGGCACGGACACAAGGGTACCAGTTTGTCTTTTCTGTGGGCTGCATGAGAGATTGACCTGCCCACAGATACTACAACTATGTTGTAGTGTAATTTAATAATTGGGGTATCAACATGTTTTTTTGGCGAAACACCCCTGAGTTCCGCATTTCGAACGTTTTTTTATTTCCATCTCCGGTGAGCATGCAGTGGTCAGCTTGCATGGCTAGAATGTCCCCGATCAATTAGATTTGCTTCCTTCTGGAGATGTACTGAGTGCTGGCGCGAGCACTCGCCTTGCCCGAGGTGAAGACGCCACCTCCAAACGCCCACGGGCGGACGCGGCGGATGAGGAGGAGCGGCTGCGGGTGCTTCGAGAGGCGCAGGAGGCAGCGCTGGAAGGGGCGCGGAAAATGACGCAGGTGGCGACGCTGTTGGGCGTCCCCTGGGGGGAGCCACTGGGCGTAAAAGGTGTTGAAGGGGGAACGGGTTGAACCCAACGTTAACTAGGATATTGCAGTGGATTTTTTGGAAACCAAAGTGGCATGCGAGAAGATGGCAAAACATGATTTTACTGTTGGATAGTGACTGAGAGGATTATGGGCTAGATTTGAAACAAGATGGGAAGAGGGATTAAGAAGGGTATATCGATATATTGCAGAAATTGGGATTCGCAGCAAACATGGGATATCAGAAGCTGACGTTAACATGGATATCAATTGAATCTTCAAAGGAAAAGGTGCAATATTTAGTGAAAAGTGGTGTCTTGGACAGTAGAGGCTCTGGGTCAACCGTGCCCAAGGTTGATTCATGGATTCATGGGTTTATTTTGAACTATACTTTGTATGGGTTCTGCAAAGTTAGCCATTTAAGATGGATGAAGTTGAGGGAACCAAGCCAAGTACCAAAAATTGGAGGGACCAGTGTATAGCCTGGCGGCGACATCTTGTTAGTTTCCGGATGCCGGGATTACATGACTGGCCTGCAGATGTTCCCCGCAAAGAAATATATTTTACCGTTTTACCCTGTGCTGCTTCCCGAGGCACCCGTTGTTTATGAATGATATGGCCCCTGATTCAGAGAATCCGGGTGGTGTTGGACCACCTCAGATTAAATCCGCCTATCAATTATATAATTTATCAAAGTTTAAGATAGGTGTAAATGCGTTTTGGGATGTATGATGGATGTTGGGTACGTACGATGGTTGGGTGCGGTGGTGCGATGGTACGGTGCGATGGTACGATGCGAGGTGCGATGGTACGGTGCGATGGTACGATTCGAGGTGCGATGGTACGGTGCGATGGTACGGTGCGATGGTACGATGGTACGATGTGAGGTGCGATGGTACGGTGCGATGGTACGATGGTACGGTGCGATGGTACGATGGAAGGTGCGATGATAGGATGTGAGGTGCGATGGTGTGGTGCGATGGTACGGTTGCAGGTGCGGTGGAATGATACAGTGGCAGGTGCGATGGTAGCATGGGAGGTGCGATGGTACGGTAGTAGGAGGTGATGGTGCGATGGTGTAGTGCGATAATATATATATATATACATATATAATATATATATATATATAAATAATGTCCTGGTGAGAAAGGACATTTGATAAGCTAAAGATATTTATCACCTATTTGATGACTGATAGTGGGTTCGGAGGCCACTTGAAGTTACGTGATGTTTAATGTTTTTCATCTATCTGTACTGCGCGTCTATATGCTATTCTCATCTGATACCTTATATCATTGTTTAGAGTGATGATTGTGTTTTTTAGGGTATATATGGGATTTAGTTTGGTATATGATGATGGTGATGTACAGCATGCTGTATGTTGATTGAATTTGGTGCCATAATGTAATATTGTTGGTACTCAGCGGCAAAGGAAGGAAACCAAGGCAAATTGAAGGGAACTGTTGTTATGAATGTTCCAGTTCTTGGTTTGTACTGTAATTATGTGTATTAGCTTGATGCATTCAAGATGATGTGATTTTGTTTGTCAAGGGTGACACCGTTGATGACAATCGATTTTGGGATCAAACCGATAAATCCTGAGTGGTGTGGTTGTTAGCTATTATATATGGGTTGTTGACTCCAAGGATGATGAGAATTTTCAAACCTGTTAATTTTCATTCAGATAAGATGGTGGGTGATATATTTTTTGGCAGAACACCGGCACACAACTGTACGAACAGCTGATACAAATATTTTTGGATATCTTATGTTCTTTACATTTTTTTACCATGTCGACTGCTTCCCGTTGCAGTGGTTGCAGGGGCAGTTTGATTGAACATACATGAAAATATGTGTTCAAACGTTTTTGGTTCTGAATTATGCTAGCGAATTTCGTTACATTGTCCTGATCAGATTTTCCGGCAGCCTACTATAGAAATTTGTTTTTGCCAAATTATGTTTGAGTTTTCGTTTGATATTTGATGTACTATTAACCATTCGAATCAGTTTTATTGCTTCACACTGTGGATTAAACGCATGTAGTCGAGAGCTTGGTCATGGTGAGATTTGTGTCAAGTTGTGTTTTGCCCGGGCCACGGGGCGTGGCTTGAGGACAAACTGACAAACGTAAGAATATTGAAATTATTTGGACGTTTAACATTTTCAAAAACCCATGTAAACGATTTGAAGGACACTTGGCTTGTTTTGTCTCAACAACACCATCAACATTTGATATCAAGTGATATCGAGTGAGCAAAGAAAAGAAAGGTAAAAATCAACCTGTTGCATTGCATGTGCAAATAGTTTTAGGGGTGAGTTTCAGGGCAACCACCAACTCTGATGTTTTGTAATTGCACCATGTGTAGAGACTGTATTGCTGAGGTGGTGGTACCGGTGATGTCAGGGGATGGTTTCAAAATATCCTAGTTCCTTTGAGGGTGGCAAATCACGTCCACAATCTTCCCCGAGTAGCGAGGAGACAGCACTCATCACCAAAATTTTCATTGTCAACCTTAAAAGGAAACATGTTCATCTGAATCGGATTACTGGCTGACAGCATCCATCGAGCAGCCAAAGGACATGTAATCAGCAAGAAAGCAAACGAAGGTTTAAACACAAGACGCTACGATACAAGACGCACATTTTCACAGAGGCATGCTCGGTGTACCCCCATGATGCATGCTTTGGGTTGAGTGGTCGTTACAACCAATATTTTCAAATATTAGACACCAACACCAAGCATGTGAGTCAACAACTCTAGCTTTGCCCCGACAAGACTCTGCAAGAAAATGTTTGGGTGTGGGTGGCGGCCCCGCGTTCTCAGGGGGGTGGGTCCGATAGATGCTTCAAAGATTTTGGAAGCATATGGAAGCATATTTTACATGGGACCATTATCTCAGAAAATTAGTCAGAATCCATCAATCACGGCACACTTCGCCCATAAGGACCTTCTCACATCCTAGAATTCCTTGAGCAAACGCTCATGGATTAGACCCCTGGCAGTGCCCAAGTGACACTCTTATCCTCTGCATGGATCCACAGGGACCAGTGAAATTGCAGTTGTGCCCACCATTTGCATCCATTTGTGCAGTGAGTTTGGTTCCACACCCCCTAAATTTGGCCCTAAATCCCCCAACAAATAAAAGGTTAAAGTTTGATTCAGTTATTATTTTGCTCAATGTTCTTGTGATTCCGTGCCGTGCTATATATTGTGTACATCTTATACTGCATCATCACTCTGCCATTCCATCGTATGTCGTACCATATTATTGTAGCATCATGTATACCATTGCACCATAAAACCGTACCACCATAAAACCGAACCACCGTACCACCATTCCACCTTACCACCGCAAACTCGGACCGGACCACCGTACCCTTGGACCGTACCACCGTACCGTACCACCGTACCCTCGTACCGTACCACCGTACCGTACCTCATTAGCGTCGTGTAGGGTCGTGCCGTTTTGAGTGTACCTAAGCTTAGAATGAATAGGTACACTCAAAACGGCACGACCCTACACGACGCTAATGAGGTACGGTACGGTGGTACGGTACGAGGGTACGGTGGTACGGTACGGTGGTACGCTGGTACACTCAAAACGGCACGGCCCTACACGACGCTAATGAGGTACAGTACGGTGGTACAGTACGAGGGTACGGTGGTACGGTACGGTGGTACGCTGGTACACTCAGAACGGCACGACGCTAATGAGGTACGGTACGGTGGTACGGTTCGAGGGTAGGGTGGTACGGTCCAAGGGTACGGTGGTACGGTCCGAGCGTATGGTGGTACAGTGGCATGGTGGTACGGTGGTACAGTGGCTTGCCGGTGGCTAAGTTGGAGATGTTGCTTGCTTTCGTGCGTGAACATTGGACAACAAGTTACAAGCTACAACCCTCTATTCAGAGCCGGGGCTATCAAATAGGAAAGACAAATATTGCCTATCCCAGGGTGTTGTTTGATACCATGGCTTGAAAGATCCTTGCTACTTGCTACATCTTGTTGCATGTGATTAGCTGTAAACTGCAGGCTATACTATGTAGTGGCACCTTATCCAAACCAAAGACCCTGAACTTCAACCAACTATCCTTGCACCGACGGAATTTTTCTTGTCAAGATCCATGAACAAGTCCGGCGAAGTAGATCGGCCCAGGGCCCTCAGAATGTCTTTTTTTTCTTCCTTGTGTGCACCCTATAGCTCAGTATTGCAAAAAAAAAACGCAGTTTGGGTTATGCCAACTTGATTACATAAAATGATTAGTTTGGCATGGTTTTCTCAAAGTGAGAGTCACTGTAAAAAGTTTTTGAGGCACACAGCATGCTTACTTATAATACATATCTTACTTTTGATGTGCAATCAGGGCAAATGGGAGACTTATTTTAACAATGCTGCGGTGTACTGCTAGATCTTGTCCTGGTTGTTTTTTATTTGTTTCTTATGTTTCTTGATTTCTGATTTCGTGATCTTTTGATCACGTAATTTGTTTATTTTTCTATATTTGCTAAGAATGTGTAGCAGGTTTCGATCCCAAAAATCTATTGTCAGCTGCCTCACACATGTTACACATTGGGAAGGTTGGCAACGAACACGCTGCAAAATATTGTTTCAATAAACTGGACAAGCGCAGACCACGAACGATGGCAACATAAGTTTGGCACGTCACAACAGCGGAATGGACAAAATAGATAGTGTTGAAACAGTCTCGTTTGAGACAAGGCAAGTCACAACAATTAGAGGCCTCCCCAGTTGAAAATAGCACAGCAAAAAAATAAAACAAACAATACAAGACAACAATGTGCATCAACACTGATCAAACCTTGATGCGTTCATGTTTTCCTTGATTTCAGTTTGATTGCATGCTGGCATGTGCATATTTTTTGATATACCGCCGAAAAACGACAGCACCAAAGCAGCCGGTTTGCCCAAACGCCTTGTTCTCAGGGCTCATGGATTTTCTCTACCGTTGAGATTTTGGATGTAGTTTCAAAAACAATAGGGCGTGCACTGCCCACACACCAGCTCAACATGATGGAAATCAATAATTCTAATAATGCCCAAACAATACCAAAGGGACCGGCCCGAAGTCAGAAGGCAAAAAATAACCCGAAGAAACAAAAACTCTTCAGAAACAAAGCAAACTATCTCATTGATTGGTTGGAGGCTTGACCCCTTTAATTCTATTCCATGTAGCATTTTTTTGGCTACTTGGTCAACCCTTGAGATAAAATCAAACAGTTAGCAGAGTGCCCCTAGCAAAAGGCCTCGGTACTACAACTACATGTACATGAAGTTGGTCCTCAATAGAGCAAAACTAGGAAACCATGGGATTCTGAAACAACAGAAGTGATTTTCGCCGAATAGGCTGGCTACAAGAAGCATATGTAGTGAACGTGAAAAAAAGCAAACCTGCTAAAAAGATCCAAAAAGCGCTTGCTGACTTTCGTGTATGTGCATGCATGGGGAAAAACAAATCAACAAGCCGACGCAACAGTTGTACCACGTGGATCAATATAGGGGCCATAAGTCTAATTCCTTTTTTTTGCGGCAGAGGAGGTTTCATGAATTGTTTTAGACATCAGTATTGTGGCACTTCATAGCCGTGATCACAGAGCAACACAACGTATCTCATCTACGTTGCAATGCAGTGCTGGAACACATCCCACCAATGTAAAACAGTATACAACCACTGCTTGAGCATGGCAGGACAATATCCATCCAAATTGATGTTCTGTAGTTATCAGTGATCGGTATGTTTGTTTTTTCCTTGTGTTTGGGATAGTTTGTGATGTATATGATTGGACACCTATTTATTTGATCAAACAACCCAACACAGCCAACTGACAGCAACTATGGTGTGACACACTATTACCGCAGTATGAGATATCCAACCACTCATCCATCTACTATGCAACCATACCATGTATTCCTTGCATCATATACCATATGATCCCATATCAGCCCATAGCATGCACATTTGTCACTATTTACTTTTACAACAATAATAATATTGCACCATGAAGATGCAACACAGCACCATTCAACTGTAACACCGTAATTACCACTCCACCTTCAAAACCGTACCATGTACCCTCAGACCGTACCCCACACCGTACCCTCAGACCGTACCCCACACCGTACCACCGTACCTTTCGTACCCTGGTTTGAACGTACCTGATTTAACCTTACTATTTCACACCTATCTTGAACTTTCATAATATATAATTCCTCTTTCAGAAACAAATTTCCCTGCCAAGGCAACAGGTGCGCTTTTTGAAGCTCCACCCAGTGGTGCCCAAGAAAATCGACCTGGAGGAGATCCTGAAGAACTGCTTTGCCAGCTCTGAGGCGTCCGAGGAGCGACGCCAGGAATTGCTGGAGGTGGCCGGGAAACGATTGACGGATGCTGGGCATGTGGTTAGTGGACCATAACTGTATCACCCATTGTATATTTCAAAAATTGGATGCCCCTGAATTGGATGCCCCTGAATTACATTTCTAGCGCAAATCTCTTGGTCTAGGGAATTATGTGTTTTTCCGTTTAGTTTTTCTTTTTTGGATTCTGGTTTCCAGCTTCTCTGTTTCTCTGCTTTTCCCTGCTTGCCCGCTTCTCTGCTTTTCTGCCTTTCCTGTTCTACCTTTCTATACCTTTCTGCTTCTTTGCTTCCTTGCTTCCTTGCTTCTCAGCTTCTTTGGTTTGCTTTTCTGCTTCTCCGCTTTTCTGCTTTTCCCATGAACCCTAAACCGACCCTAAATAGATAAACCCTAAACCAACCCTAAAACAAGCTAAAACCAACCAAAAAAAAAACACAACATAAACCCTAACTCTAGAACCAACCATTAAAGAAACCTTAAAACCAACCTTACAATCAGAAAACCCTAAACCAACCTTTAAACGAACCCTAAATGAACCCCAGTTGCAAACGACCAATTGCATGAGCATTTCGAGCACTAAAATGTTTTAAATACATGTGGATAACCTGGTAAATAAGAGGTTCGAGCTCATAAATGTTGCAATTAATGTTGAAATGGCAGCTTCCAGCTCCAAAATGCTGCAAATAGCAAGGACAATCGACAGAACAGGAAATCAACGAAAAACCAACGGAACAAAATAAATTCCCAAAACAATTCCGGACCCGTTTCTAGAGCCCATTTCGTGCACCTCACAGGCATAACTTTATTATTCTTGCGGGTACCCATATGAATCAAAAAGGGCTTAAATGATTCGACGGTCAACATCTCCTGAGATTCTGGGCTCAGGATGCCATGTCGCAACAACACACCCAGATGGAAGAGGCCGTTTTGTTCCTGGGCCACCGCTGGCCACTGCTTTCCTCCGCTGGGCAATGTGCGGTGGAAGTAGCCCCGGCGGAATGGATTCAAGACCTCCTGCCAAGGGCGTTGGTGCGAGTGGCAACTAATCCTAAGAGAGGGGTTTCTCAGCAATTTATGTTTCCATTTTTGGTGCTCCACTTTGCACGTTGAATCACTATCTGGAAAGATGACCTCCATTTCATATAGTTTTGTTTTTGTTGGATCAGCACACAGCAAGCCAGGTTTGCTTGAGTTTTCCCTCAGAGATGTCTCGGCTCATTCAACCTCGCAGAGAACTCTTTCTGACCTTCTCTTCAAAAAAATTGGGAGCTGGCGGAGCCGGCAGCAGTCACGGCAGTCAGCAGGTCCCTGCCAGTGACTATGATTCCCTGCCTCGGCCGGAAGCCCTGCACGAAGCGTTACTGGCCTGAATTTTGTTAAAACGATGATGTTCAAACATTTCTTGATGATCCGTTTGTTCATTTCTCAAATCACTAGCAGATGTTGGGATACCTTTTAGATTGTGAATCGCTAGTGTTGGGCGATATTCTAAATCACCTGCCAGGCTACTTGAAGCACAGCGCTTTCTTTTGGACGCGGCAATCTTTCAGCGCTTCCGACAAGGACTGGCTGGTGGATCACATGTTTGCAGTTGATATTCACCAAGTGCAAAACTGAAGGAATTGAATTGACAAATTGATATATCCATGTAATCATATTTACACCGTGCAAACTCATCTTGACACTAACTTTGCCATGAGCGTGTCTGGTGGACAAATTTCGGTATATGCCGGAAAAGAGTTGGCCGAATATTTGGTCCCCATGACGCATGAGCCACCCGAAAACGGCCAGGTTCTTAAACATTGTCCATTCGTGCTCGACTGAAACCCTGACGTTGGGTTTTCAAATTCCCAAGCATCAAGAAAGTTAAAGAGAATTCTACATCCAAAGAGTTTGTTTATCACGATTGAATGAATGGGGACTGGTTGCCTGCTTGAGACTCTTGCTTTCCTTCCCTCTGGATAATTTGCTGCACGTTCAAGTGACTGTACACCCATTTATGTGGTTCATACTTGGGGAAACCATCACAGATGTGCTTAAATTCATGTTCAATAAGGTTTGTTAACCAGTGAGATTCCTAGAACCAATTTGTGCTAAAGTTCAGGAAACCCTCCATATTTGATGGTAGATTCCACTGTTCAAAGATCTTCTTTTCGTTATTACGCCCATTGTTTTCAACAAATGTCATCACATTCGAGGATTGCAATGCCTATTGATCAGTCATGGGCACTGTTTGCATGAACTGCATTCAGCTGCATTCATACTAATTCACCAGTGACTGAATGCTCTAATTACTAATTTCAGTAATTTTCAGTAATTTTCAGTACTTCACGAAGTGTGATGCACAGCCCATGAAGTTCTTACTTCCACCGTTTTCCCTTCGGAGGAGTTCTTTCAACCGCTGCGTTGGGCACCTGGACGCTTCGGAGGGTCGGCTTGAGTGAGGTCAGCTTCATGGTTCCTCGGCGCCTCAGTTGGTGGATCTGGAAATGCGGGTCTAATAATGGCCATATTGGGGCTGGGGTTGAAATGGTGGATGATTTGGGAAATGAAAGATCTAAACAATCAAAATTCAGCAGCCAAGAGATACAAGGTGGAGAATCACACAAGACAAATACAGCCTGTAATCATAAATCTGTACGCTTTCAGTCCCAAACGGTTAATGCCAGAACCGCATGGTGACAGCCATATGTTTGGGTTAGCAAGATTGAATATCCTAATATAGTCAGTTTTCTGCTTAAAGTTGACCAACATCGACAGAATAACATCTTTGGGCCCTTGCTATGTATTTGTTCTTGACAGCGGCAATGGATATTTGCTGTGACTATGAAGACTTTGGAGTATTCCGTTGATTATTTTTCGCACCAATTGCCAGAAGTCCATGCGGAGGTTTGGGCCGAATGCCCCCACAATAATCACCAAACATGGATGGTTGGAGGCTATAAAGATGAGCAATATTGATCAACTGCCTCTCGATCTCTTTGTGGTGTGGTCTCACCCCCGGTAAGAAAGATCACACTTCACGTGTTTGTTTCCCACCCCAATCCCTCTGGGTGGAAAAGATCAACCAACTCTACTTTCCAGTACTTTTCCGTACTTTTCATCCTTATCCCTCGGGGTTGAAAGCAAGAGAATCGTTTGAAGATCCTGTTGGACGCTATGGTTTCTGCTCCCCCTGGACATTTGGTTTGGGTAATTAAAATATATAGATAGTGGCATCATTTTCAGTATAGCTACCTTGCTGATGACAGGTGTGTGCCCATGCCCTCCATCTGAGAACCATACAGCAACGTAACCTCACCAGGAATGACGGCCAACATATCTCGCTCTTGAACGTTACTGGTTTTTAATCTTGCAATATTGTGTACAGAGAGGTATCTACATGCATATTCAAATATACATTAGACTCATTAGATTATAAAAATTATTAATATGGATTTTGTACTATGTCACTAATATAGACTACTATAACAACTCGTCCATTGACGCCGGATGTCCAGGTCGTGCTAGATGCCGATGAGGTGGTCGAGCTTACCCTGGGCCTCCAAAAGAAAGTGCAGGCAGAGTGTCCCGGGATCTCCCTGGCCAAACGAGGTTGAAAGATGCCGAAAGTATGGCCAAACCCAGTAAACCAACCTAGTAATTATCACTAGGGGTTATTTTCTAGACTGGCAATTGAATGCCTTGGTTGTTTGGTTGTGGAGTTGTTCTTACTTATTATGGTTTTTACTTGAATAATTATAATCACAACCCCGAATGGGCTAATTTTGGAATTTGAAGGCTCCCAATATTCACCATTTGATAGTTTGATGCTATATCCCATAGAAGAAACAGATGGGTGTGTTTTTTCGTTTGAGGGCATACCGCATACCCATGTCATTCCAGACACGTATCATGCGAATGTGAGAATGGTGCTGGTCGTCATTCCTGTTTGGCTTGGTTTCCTGAACCAACCGTAACAAGCCATATGTTATTCATGTAAGTTGTTAAAAGTCAATGCCTCCTGGGTGCATTGTTTCCCGTTTTTAATGACATCCCGCAATCGATAACACATTATCCCAAAACCTTTGCTTGTATCAGCTTTGTTTCCCCATGTGTTGATGCCATCCGTAAGCTTTTGCACTATATCCAATGCGTGCGGCACCCATGTGTTCTCGACGTTTTTCTAATCCACAATTGTTGCTTGCTGTTTGAGTCATGAAGCTACCATCCCAATGTTTCACATTGTTTTGACCAACCAACTGAGTAGGTTTTCATTTTGGCAAGATCATATCTCTTGAACATCTCATTTTCAACATCCCAGAATTAAATCGAGGAAAGTGGTAAAACAGCCGTTCCTATCTTTCCTGCATTTCGCCCCTCAAACAACCCATCCATAATAGCCTTTGTTCCCATGCCGCTTTCCGCAGTTTCCTAACGAGCCTGAGAGTTCAGCCATAGGCGGAGGCCTCAACGTCCTTGTGGAGTTGGCTGGCGGAGTGTTGCTTGCTACAGCTGCGAGAGAGCCTTGGTGACAAGTGACATGGGGATTTCAAGGACCAATATCCACAAGGAAATCAAAAAAAATCACAGATTTCACAGAGGAGATGGGGATGGAATATTTCATCCACGGGAAATCAGGACACAGGCGGTGAGCAGATGTGAGCAAGGGCATCTAGCTAGCGAAAATGTGTTTGGGGATGCATCTCGCAAAATCCGGTGGTATGCTGACGGACCAAATATGAACTTCAATGGAAACTGGTATCAAAGCTTTCAAATAATCCTTACATATGATACCGGAAGATAGTCAGTTGCAATAGGTTTTAAGCAGTCAGGACTGATGGATTTTGAATGTCAATATCCGAACCAATTGGGTGTCTGAATCAACAATTGTTATGTGCCTGACCCTGGGAACCACGCATAGGTGGTTATTTTGAAGGAGGCCCACAGATTGGTGATGTTGTCGGTTTGTCCAGCCATTTCTAGGGTTTTGGCAAACCCCCAATGAGCGATTCCGAGCATGAGCTACCGATCTATAACGATACATTAAAGAAGTATAGACAGAAATGAACCTGTGCTACTAAGTTCCTTTAGTGCAAACCTGTTACGCAACCCAGGTCTATACCCATCTCCCTTCACATAAGTGACGATCAAAACCCCCGCAGAGGAGTTTTATACAAACGTATGATTGGAGTATGTTGTTGTAAATGTGTAGTGCGTTTTGCCTGGGAGGCGCAAGAAAGCGCAAGGGCGGGCGCAAGATATATTAATATCGTTGTTCTTTTCTGTATCAGTGAATATCTGCTGCTGTAGCGGCTCAGAGCTGGTAGGCAGGACAGACGGAACCATACCTACCAAAACGGAATCAAATTCCAAGAGGTATGGTAGAAGCAGAGTATATACACAATTATACACTTATAAAATTTGATTCCTAAAACGGCCATTTCGAGCCGAAAAGCAGCTTTACGGGAATCAAATTTCAACAGGTATGGTAGAAGGAGAGTGTATATACAGAGAAAATTTGATTCAGAAAACGGCCATTTTGAGCCGGAAAGAAGCTTTACGGGAATCAAATTTCCAGAGGTATGGTAGAAGGAGAATGTATACACATAGAAGGTTTGGTTGGATTTAGTGAATTTTTTTTTTTGCCTTTGCAATGCCTGCTTTGAACCCAAGTCTGGCGTAAGGTAAGCACAAGTTTCTCTTTAGGTTGTTTTGCCAAGTTGGACAGGCATCGCTACAAGGCTCCGGAAAAAACATTTTAACAGCTCCGTAGCTTCTGGTATCTTTTTGAAATTTGATTCCCGTAAAGTTGCTTTCTGGCTCGAAAGGGCCGTTTTGGGAATCAAACCTTCTATGTGTTTACATTCTCCTTCTACCATACCTCTTGAAATTTGATTCCCGTAAAGCTTCTTTCTGGCTCAAAAGAATCGTTTTGGGAATCAAATTTCCTATGTGTATATATTTGCCTTCTACAATACTTCTTGAAATTTGATTCCCGTAAAGCTGCTTTCTGGCTCGAAAGGGCCGTTTTGGGAATCAAAATTTATAAGTGTAGAATTGTGTATACATTCTGCTTCTACCATACCTCTTGAAATTTGATTCCCGTAAAGCTGCTTTTCGGCTCCAAAGGGCCGTTTTGGGAATCACAATTTCTATGTGTATATATTTGCCTTCTACCATACCTCTTGAGATTTGATTCCCGTAAAGCTGCTTTCTGGCTCGAAAGGGCCGTTTTGGGAATCAAATTTCCTATGTGTATACATTCTCCTTCTACATACCTCTTGAAATTTGATCCCCGTAAAGCTTCTTTCTGGCTCAAAAGGGCGGTTTTGGGAGTCAAATTTCCTCTGTAGGTAGAGCTCTCAGAATCTTCAACTTCTGAGAATTCGAGCTCCGAATCATCAGATTTTGCTTCCGAAGGCTAAAAACGTCTGTGTTGCACAGCGTACTGGATCAGTGAACACCCCCTTGAATTGAGTAACTTTTTGCGGCAATCAATTCTTAAATATATATGTTAATCTATGTACTGTAATGGAACACAATAAAAACCCTGAAGAGCGCAAGGAAGCGCAAGGGCGGGCGCAAGGTCATTTCTAATAACACACCGGCAACTATGTTTTGATCAACCCCCACATACAAATTTGATTTTCGTTGAATTGAAAAACACAGCAAAATCTCAGAAGCTTTGACTCAACCTGTAGCCACAGCGGCATTTCAATGTCCCAAGGAGACATGTGGCGCCAAAGACTGCGTCAACAGATCTGGTTGAAGAAGCTGCTCGCAGGTTTTAGAGACGCGTCTAGACTTTGGTTCATTGGTGGTTTCCAATGTCTCGGTGCATCATAGTCTTATTCGACTTATGATGATAGTTGATGTTTGGCAAATCATCCAAAAAACGGTTTGTTTCTGATTGGGGAATTGTAGATTGCAATTTACTCAGACCCATAACCCGTGGACATATGACCAACAAATAAGCAATACCATGCAGTTTGGAAGTTTTTGTGGGGTAAAACCAGTGACCAACAATAAACCACAAATGAAGCGGAGGATAATGGAGGTATATGCTAATACAATGCAAATGTAATCACTTAACATGGGATATGCAACCAGTATGCGGGATCTCAAATAATTACATGTTTTCTTGTTTCTTCCAGTATTGGATACTTCAACGTGTGTAATAAATACCAACATTTAGTTCCAGAATTGTTGAACTTGCAGTAAGCAAATCATTCATGTTGCATCCTACACCAAATTCACACGAAACAACACTTTTTCAGGTACATGTTCCGAAGACCCCCTGATCGACTGAGATTGTGATTGGGACCCCACTGAAAGCCAAACTACTTGCATATTTGTCAAATAGTTTGCCTGCCGCACAATCAGGCTACGCCTTCGCCTGCAGAACTCGTCGCTTTGCCTTGCATTGTTTCAGTCGTTTCTTCCATAGTCCATCTCCACTTGGAACTGCGATCATGATCCCAGCAACTTGCACAGAACTGGGTAGTATCCGTACATGCTCAGGTCAAGCATGGATTACAAATATAGGATCAAATAGGACACATGGTGATACCCGGCTTGCGGAAAATATCTACCGTATCAGTGGTATCAGTGGTAGGTGGTATCAGGTGGTGCCAAGAATCCCAGTTTTCTTTGAGGATCCGGCGGCAGCTTTTCAATTGTGGCTACAACCACGCCTGCAAGGGGCCGTGTGCTACTTGAAGCAAAAAGGCACACTGATTCTCCACAACATGTGGACATCATGTGAATACATGTGTAAAGCAGTAATGGTGTGGTCAAACTTCCTCAGACGGTCAAGAGTTTGTCACTGGGTACCTCTCGATACGATTGCTTTTAGAACTGACCAGTCAATTTCTTGTTTCCATGTTACAACATTAGTGGCGGACCCAAGTGTGGAAGTATGCCAATACCAAGTCAGCTGTATAGATCACATGGGTTCTACCGTAGGCCCATATTTTGCCGGTAGGAAAACATGTTTGCAGAGATCGATCCGCTTTTCTGTTGCTTAACTCCCTCCAGCTTGATGTGGGGCAGCGGAAGCCAACTTCTGATTTGCCGCGTGGAATTTTGGTTTAAAGGCTTTCGCAAATTCCCTTCTTGAAGGGTAACAATATCACCACCTAAAGTTGGAGAGAAACGGCAAAACCCAAGTCAGTGTGCTGCTCGGGTTCTGAAGCTGGAAGGATTTCCAACCCGGTTTGATGAAACGTTTTGTTTATTCAGCATTCCCCTTAGTGTTTTTTGCAAACTTTTTTTCACCAGCGCTGCCCTGATTCACTAAAACTGGTGAGCGGTTAATCCCTCCACAATAGCATCTACGGCACATATTGGTGTGGCGACTGACACAGGAGCTAAGGAGCAAAGAACGGTGCATGCCCTTACCCCGCGGGGAGCTAAACAGGTTTGCCGAGCATTTGTCTTTGAATAGCATCAATGGCAAGTCATACCACAACCCGGATTCATTTTCTCCCATGCAGCATTCCACAATAAAGCTGTTCTTGTTCCCATTTCTTGATGATGTATACCAGTATACTGTTCTTTGTTCTGCAAACAGGTGTAAATCCAGTATTTTCAAGCAACCAGCCTTGCGAATCATCAAACCAACCCAGATCAACCCCGCTTCTCCGATTTTCTCCGCCGCGCCGTGGCCTTGACGTTGCTGCGCACTGCTGAGCGCAACACGTCGCCATGGAGGCCATTCGCGCCCTACAGCAGCAGCTCATGGAGGTGCTGATTGGTGGTTAACCAACGGTTCAACGGTCAACAAAACCTGTGATTATACTTGGATGATAGGCACTTACCCCAATGAGAATATTATATATAATTATATATATATATAATGGAAGATACCGTGATTTGCAAAGTACAGATTAATTATTGGGGGTTCAGCCATAAAGAACCGGATTTAACCAATTTGGATTTGCCCAGACAGAGAAATGTGGGATTAAACCAAGGAAAATTAATGTTGGGAATGGATTATGTTGGAGATTGAAACATGGGATTTATGTTGGAGAAACGGAGATTAAACCAACTGATATTGATATGGTGCTCCCATTTGCCAAACATGTGCTTGGAGCGATTTACCGATGGTTGGTTGGTTAGTGGATTGGTTTCATCGATGATTGTGGAGATTTTGGCACGTCTCTTCAGATGGTATAGTTTCAAGGCAGGAACTCCTAGTCTAGGACAACTGATCGTTGACAACTATTTTTGAGGATATTTAGGCTAACTGAGATGAGGATCTGCAAACGACTCATATGTTTTGAAAGAGGTGCAACTGGTTGGAACCACCAACTAGCTATGTGATCAGAGTTTGTTCGAACATTTTCATGAGATTACCACTGGCATTGGTCAAAATAGTGACTGACGCAGGCCCAGAGGGCCTCCAATGCACGGAAAATCTCAGAGCGCAACTGTTGCTGGGCCGACAACTGAATCGGGGCGGGGTGGGGTAGGTGGGGCATCGTAATATGCCAGCAGTGTGTAGATTTTTTGCACGCGTTTACCAACATCAAGTGGATGCTTGACCAAAATAATGAAGATGTTTCTACAACTAAACATCTTTGCTCACAATGACAAGTGATTTGGGATACATATTGTGTATTAGCGGGCTACTTGCTATAGGCTTCACCATAGTGCAGATAAATTAATTGAGTCTTAGAGGCTAGGGGCCCAGAGAACCCTAAGTTCTAAGTCTCTAAGTGGGAGTAAATGCATGTAGATGGGTTCACCATTCAGCCAACCTAGTTGCCCTATCAATAACCGACCAGCCCCATCAACAATGTTAGCCTGATCAAAGTTCGGTTCTGCACCAGCGCGCTAGATCCCAGTGAATAGCAAGTGCAGGATTCGCGGGACCCTTGAAAAGTGACCATGCAGGTGCTGATGATGCTGCTGCTTATGGTAACCTGGGTTTGTGATAACCCAAAATACAACTCACAATTTATTGTATTGGTGGCCAGCATTTGTGGTGTAAACTGTAAACATGTGTGTGTGTGTGTTTATGTTTGCGTCTCAGTTTTATCCGGATCGCTCGAGGGATTATCAGAGCAACCAGGCAGGCGTGATTTATTCAACAGTTTGTTTTGAAAATGCAATCCAGCTGGAAGGAACAAGAAGTGCTTCATTTGGATAAGCTTTGTGGTTCTGGACAGTTTTAGCTTGATCACCAAACGAAAGCAACTAAATGGAGATTGGTTCCATTGTGCAATAATGTGTTGAGACTGCTACCCAAACTTCTGTGTTCTAATCCTCAAAGCATACTTGTCCTATCCAAATCTGTATCATTGTTAGTTATATCATTATTTGTTTGTGTATATATAATATATAATATGTATACTATACGATTGTATACGTATCTAAACATATCTAAGCATATATAAATATATTATATATATATGGTAACGACATTGAGATATGTGGAGGGCGGGCCAGACCGTGAGGCCCCGGAGGTAGTATGAAATACCAGTTCGTATATTTAAATGTAGTTACCGTATGTTTAAATGAATTGGATTCCGTATGTTTAAATAGCCGGGCGGGCCAAGGAAAACCTTCCCGGAGGTAGTCTAAAATATTCTAAAATACCTGTTCGTATATTAAAAGTCCGTATATTTAAATGTAGTTACCATATATATATATACATGCACTTGATTAACTTTATTAGATACGTGTGTATACATATTATATAGATATACGTTATATACCCACTTTAATCCCACACTTCCAGCATGGCAATTCACCCCCGTTCCCAGGCATCGACCTGGTGCAGAAACTCATCCAGACGCAACAGGTGAAGCTCTTCCACACGTCCAATGGCAAGGACGCCATGCCATGTCCACAACAAAAAACATGTGTTGTTGCGAATGGAAAATGACCCTTCGACACCATGAGAACCAGTATCTCTACACTTACACTTAACAAATTATCATGTAACAAGTCACATGATAGTTTCAGGCTCTTCAACAACTTGAAATTACAGATGCCCCAGGAAATCATAGTAGCACACAATGTCTTGCAAACATTGGTGTAGTTGGTTCCTGGGATCATTTCCGATGCACCTCACACATCTTACCAATGAATATGACCCCCAATGAGGATTGGGCCTCCCTGGAAATTCCACCAGATTTACATCCCCAGATTGGCCACTTCTTCCATCTTCCATGGTTGTTCTTTCACATCCCCATCTTGGTCGGTTTTCCAAAGAAGTTAAGTTGAGATGGTGATGGGTCAATCCACACATGATGTTCAGACATTTCCAGGGGTTGTGAAATTTCTTCCCTGATCCTGGCTGAATTGCAGGAGTACCTCACCCCGGAGCAGCTGGACAATGCCACTGGGCAAGCCATCCAGGGCCAGCAATGAGTGAAGATGGGTTTTGGAAGCCGTAAAACCTGGTGGAAATGTTTAACTAGCCAGATATGTGCTGATAAAGATAGATAGACAAACTGGATACAAGCCAAAAAATGAGTGTTCAGTATCAAGTCTAGCCAACCAACAGCGACCACGTTGGTCAAACGGTCAAGAAACAAGGTCAACCAGAAACCACCAGGCTTCAACAAACATGCGGATGAAGCCGTGGCTCAAATGGACCCGAAGATGGATGTTTTTGGCGGCAAGAACTGGCCATTTGCCGGTCCATGTGTACCACCTTTGCCGGTAGACACATCCTACAGTCCCTCAACCAAACAAATAAAAACACAACCCAAATAGTTGAAATACCATAGGCTTGCAGCTATTAAAGAAAGGTCTGAAAACCAAGATATTCTGTTGAGCTTGGTTGTTGAATTCTGATGTCAGTGAATATTCATGTGCAAATTTGGATTGTTCTGGAAGTTGGAGGGAATATGAATCAGGAAAAAATGTCAATGGTGACTAGATCAGTAAGCCAATCGAGATATAGTGTCAGCAGATCGTAACTCAGATGTACATATCCCATGATGATTATGATGATGATGATGAATCCATTTTACAGACATTTTTTTAAAGGTGGCTCCAAGCAACCCCCGGCAATGTTGGTTTGGCATCACCATGGCTACATCAATAACAATAGGTTGCTTGCACCCCTGAAAGCCAACAGAGCCGGGAATTGTCGCTTTTGATTCTTGGAGCTCCTGGCGATAGCCGCTAGCCTAGTAAAAACCTCAAACCATCTTTAAGTCTTAAACCATCATTTTCGACAAACATACATGTTTATGATTGTTCATGGCCATGTTTACGCTGTTTATGTTTCGACATCTCCATCAACAGGGCCTCTTCTGGAGGTTTCCAATCATCCAATTTCCCATTTCCATCGCCCTGAGGAGATCCGAGATTGTCTTGAGGCACGGGGGGAATGGAAATGGAAATGCTATGAGATGCTATGAGTACATGGATATTGATGGGATATAGTGATGTAGAACCAACTTGTTATTCCATGTTCTCCCAATTTCTGCTGTTTTGATATGGAATGTAAGCAATGCAAAGATGTGAATAGATTCAACATATAGCACCTGATGTATCCAACCATATAAGTGGATGGTGCACCAACCAACAGTGGCAAAACAAGACAAAATGGGAATGAAGTTACATGAAGCTACAGCAAACATGGGATGAAAGGAAGAACTCCATATTTGCCCAGGAAGATGTATTAAACATGGTCACCAGTATGTGTCTGTGGATCTATGTTGGTGAATGAACTGGAATCTTGGTGAACCATGTCCAATCACTTTCTTTTGTCCCCTCGTTCGTTGTGTACATAACATGTTTGGCGATACCCCTTTTAGGTGTTCCTTGATATTCATTTAGTTTGGGCTTGACCCGTGACCCCTTCTATAGTGACTACAACCTAGTAGTCTGGTGACTAGCACCCTGGCGTTGGTCTATGTAGCACTGTTGCTGAAATCATATGAAAGGGTCGCAGGATACAGACAAAGCAGGCTGCAAGTGATCGCGGCAAGCTGCGTGGACAAAAGAACCATTTCACAAAGATGCCCAAGCCTTTGCAAGGCTTGATGCCAAAAACTTTAGAGGGCGAATCTCTGTGTTTCAACTTCAACTTGGTCCTTGGGTTCAAAGAAGGCGCAAAAGGGAATTCATCAGAGTGCTCCCGTGGTCTGCATCTTTGCAGTGCGGGCGTGCACACGAGCAGCACCAAAGAAAGAAGCATCCCCTGCAGCAGTTACAGTGCAAATAGCTGGTTTTCACCACGTCGAGCCAATTACAACCGGTTGGGCCCGGTTGGGTGGTTTTAGAGATTTCATGTTGCATCCCTAGAACATGGGATAAAGGCACCAACTGACAAAAACAACTAGTCATGGACTCATTGATGGAACGTGTTCCCTTTTGAGCTGAATTGCTTTATTATTTACATTTATTTACCTATTTGTATATTTGTATCCCATTGTATCCCCACTATTACCACCCTTTTATGAATCGAATCCACGAACTAGATGAACATTACAGAATCATCATCGATGAAAGTGGAGCGGAACAGGTAGTTTTGTGACTTTGCCACTTTCAGATGAACCAACCATATCAATTTCTGATTATCTCGTTGATTCCAACGTCACACCCGGTTCAAAACCGGATTACTCATTATGGCTATCTAAACATTGATTATTCAAAACCGGTTGTTCTAAACATAGCCATGGCATTTCAACAACCCATTTCCCCATAGTCCTTTCATATTGTATGCACTTTCCAAAGATTTATCCATGATATTCTTCGCCCCCCTCCCAGCGCCACTTGTGATCCCTTCCCTTCTGGGATGATATCTAGGCAGTCTTAATACTTAACGCAGCAACAAATCCATCTATTGCCCATGTTCTTGCTCCCAAGTTAAAAAAACATATTCCCGCAAAGGTACGGTTCCCAAATCTATATCTCCATAGTAATATTATATATACGTATATAGACATACACATGTACATCTATGATATATATTGTAATTCTTATATATTATAGAAACATTGAAAAATATGTCATATCGTTGATACCAATGCCACGCATCCCAAAAAGGCCTGTGGTGGTCGCATCTCGGTGACGGAGCTGCCCAATGAGATGGGTATCGGCATGGAACACCTGGAAGCACGCGTGGAGGCGAGGCTCCGGGTCGGCTCCCGAACTGGGGAAAACTGGGCAATGATTCTCTGGCTTAATGGGTTTAATGGACAATGGGATGTAAATGGGATTTAAATGGGAGACCACCAAAAGACTGTGATTCAATTGGAATTCACCATTGTTTAGGCTATACATGTATATGATATGTTTTTTCTTAGCTATCAAACATGTGGGGATAACATTGATAGGCTAATTTATAAGTGATGGTTGATGATCATAAGAAAGTATACTATTAATTCTTATTAGTTATTATCATGACCGATGAAATCCGAACCGCATTCAACAACAAAAATAGTTTGGATTTTCCAGTAGGTCCTTGACACTGCTCAAATGGGTTTGTCCAAAGATTGAGTGTACCCCAAAATCACCTGGTTGATAGTTGATGGCAATCTTTTCCCCCATAATAGTGGCATTTTTTTGGGTATACCCAGTTCAGGATAAATTAAACAATCAAGATATTGGTTATTGAATATTGATGATGTCATCCATGAAAAGTAATCACAAAATTGGATGGAAAGCAACAATCATGTGGGGTCTAAGCAGCAAAAAGTGTTTGCAATGAGACTAATGGTCGAATCAGTTGAAACCTGTGTTAAGCATTTGTTGAACGGGACGTTAAACCACCAACCGCGGGATGTGAAGCAATGAAGTTGGGAGGTGAAAAAAAAACGGTAGAAAAATACGGTAGAAAAACACATTTACAGTACTAATCAAATCCAATCGTTGCCCAACAAGGTCCTGCGCAAGCGGGACAGCTCCCTCCACAAGTTGAACAACGACTTGCCTTTGCCCCAGTTGCGGAGGGCAGATCTGCCAGTGGACCAGATGAGATGTGTGTTGTGGGAAGCTGTGACCACTATGAGGAATCCTAGTTTGATAAGGAGATCATGTTCACAGATTATGGGTAATGTTGGTATGATTTATTTTCACAAACCCGACATGGGCTTAGCGGTTTCCACCTGGAGAGCTCATGGTCAAGGGGTGCAAAGTTGTGTAATTGGCCATCAGTGGGAAACTTGATCGGTGGGCCCACCCACAGACACCTGTCTGTTGATTGATGCTTTTACCAAAGGTGTGCCCAAGAAAATACCTCGAGTGGTTGCATCCCCGTGGTTTGGAATGCTGGTTTGTGAAACCCTCTAGGGTTTTCGGGATTTGATCCCAGAAGTATACCATCACGGCTCTCACGATAAGGTTTGCCCTATATAGAAACCCAGAAACCCTATATCCTCAGCAAGAGTTTGCTATTGGCCCAGACGCTCATGGGATAACCCAGGTCCTCATCATTAATGTATGACATTGAGATATGTGGAGGGCGGGCCAGGCCGTGAGGCCCCAGAGGTAGTATGAAATACTAGTTCATATATTTAAATGTAGTTACCGTATGTTTCAATGAATTGGATTCCGTATGTTTTAATGGCCGGGCGGGCCAAGGGAAACCTTCCCGAGGTAGTCCAAAATACATGTTCGTATATTTCAATGTAGCTACAGTATACTTACATATACCTACATATATGAGATAAGTACATACATAAAATTTAATTAGTAACATTTAACCATGTTTGATAACATTTGATATATTTCACTACTTTTAGAAATGTCTAAACATGTTCCATCCATTTGTACATTTTTTTGTCGTTGCTCAGGTTCTCGCAGCAATACCTGCAGCAGTTGGCGCAAGACGTCGAGGAATCCCTGGAGGAGAGCGGTTCGCTGCAGGTGGCCGACCTGGCGAGTGCCCCGGCCGGCCCGGCCGGTGCTCGGTGTTCGGTGCCGGTGGGTTCTGAAGGGGGAAAGGTGGGAAACTTGGAACATTTCCAAATTTATCATGTTTTATCATCACATGATATAAACATATATTACAAATATAAATTGACTTGAACATACTTGAACATAACTTGAACATGGATACATTGGATAAAGTTTGTTTTTCCTGAGTTTGTCTTTAAATGGAGGTGAAGACCACCAAGAAATGGTTGGGAAATGTCCCATTGTGAGCATTTTAAGCAGAATCATGGAAACTTTGAGCAGAATCATTGTGATTCCTGGGATGAACAGGATTGAGCCGATATGCCGCTTCCGCATCGCTGGGAACATAACATATCTCAGGGTGGGCTCGTGTCAATACCCATGGTATGCGGAGATAAGCCATTGCTTTATGGGTTCAAACTTGAAGATAACTGAAGACATTGGAGGTTCGCGGAAATGATTGAACAACCAACCAACTTTATGGTTTTTCCAAGATCTTCAAGATGTTTGATGGTTTCCGCTGCAGAAAAGTCCTGAACACGTGGCTCACCACCAAATGAACAGTTTCAGGTCTTTGAGATACCAATGAATTGGGGATGATCCTGACATTGCGGGTTTGGAATGCTCATTGGAAATTGATGGAATACAATGTGTGTATCCCACTTTCAAGATCTTTCAAGAAATCTGCAGTTCCAATCGAATCACAACCCCTTGCAGCAACATGTTGTTCGTCTGCGAAGGTCGTTACAACCTGCCCTCCGAGTACATCCGAAATTCGGTACTGGTCCTGCTGAGTTCACAGGCGGTGGTGAGACAGAATACGGTACACACCAGTTCCTATGCTGCTCGTTTCGAGGTGCAGTTGGGCTTAGGATTGGGTATTGGAAGCAGAAAGCAGAATAAAGCAATGGAAGAGAAGCATCAATTCAGCTTCTGTCCAAAAAAGTTGGTGAAAATTATACGCAAATCCATGAATCCTTTGTCACTACGCTCAGGATCGGGTGGGTCAACGTCCCAAAATTTGGAGATGTTGAATCAGCGGACTGGATTGCGTTGTGTTACATCATCCAGTTCCGTTCCATTCATTCTTGTGCTTTTTTGTTTAATGTCCAGCTATATTATACCCACGTTGTATCCCCCAGATATTCCAAGGATTCATTCCAATACTTCCAGATTGTTGCAGAGTTAGGTCAATGTCCTAAAGCTTGACAATGCTCTTGCCATCACGTTCATGTATGGTTGGAGCTTAAGTCCCTTCATGGGCCCTTGCAACAATTCGCCCTACCACTTGTCAATTGGCAGATCAGCTGCAGGCAAACCCCCCAACGATGAGAAGAATAAACACAGCAAAAAAATGAAAGTTGCAACCATCGCTCTCTATTTAAACAATTGATTATAATTCTAATTGTTGTTGGTTCAACCCCACTAAGTGGTGTAGAGGTCATCATTTGTGTAGTGAAAACGCATGTACCCCCAAGCATACAACCACATGTCCAATGGTCACTTCCCACACTACTCCCGTGTTAGAAATGCTGTTTTTGTGTGCGAATTTGATGGGAACGCATTTGGGAACGGGGTCCCATACATATTGTTTGATGAAAACCCTACACTTTTGCTACTCAAAGTTTAGTTCCCGATCAAAAGATATCAAAGCCAGCATTTTATAGACTGATAGGCTACTAGGGTAATAAATGGGAAGAATATGAAGAACAATGAAGAACCTCATTAGATAATGACCTGGACCTTTTTATGGCACCTGCCAGGCTCGTGTCCGTGGCTGCCTCCGTGGCTGCTTGCAGCCGGTGATTTTGTCGCAGCTGGCCACGAGGCTGGAGGGCACCGGCACCCGGCTTGTCCATGGGGACCCCACCATGGCTGTTTTGATTGGGAAAATATGGGAAGATCATGATGAATCATGCTAGAAACATCTATTTGTTTTGGAGATACCGCATTTTCAGACAACATATGGTTTAATTGGCCTATGAATGTATAGGTGGTAATATCGATATGAACTGGCCGGCAAATGGGGATTAGCCAACAGCATACTGGATAGTTAAAGTACATAGTAGCACATAGTATTGCATGATTTTACCATAGTTGTTGCAGATTGTAATGTGGATGTGAGTCCATATGTGCATACACAAATACTCGTCAACAAACTCTGAATTGTTTGCTGGATGATGATCCCATGGACGTGGCGTATTAATTCATTAAAAACATGGATATCAAACAATCAGTTGAGGTTGAAGATGGAGACCTAGTAGATGGAGACTTTAATGACAATATGATGGGCATTGATCCTAGATATGTCTTCTGGGCATGCGTTTGAGTTGCTTAGGGGTGTTTGGTCCACTGAGCTGAAGGCTAATCTTGTTCATAGCGCTGTGGTATTTTCAGGTTCAGACGTTCAGACCGTCAGAAGGTCTTTACAATTTACAAGTCCTCCATGGATTGTTGCACTTTGGACTGCTTTTAGAAGAAATACAACTACGGGAAACAAAACAAAAAAATCGTTGCCCAGACAACCACATCCATAGCCAGCACAAAAGCCAAGCTGGTATCAAATCCAACATATTATGGTCCATGGTTGTTTCTAAAAATACGGGAACCCTAGCCACGCGACGCGGGCTACCTACAGTTAGAGGTTGTGCGAGATTATTGTGGTCTTTGGACCCATGAGGCTAGCCAAATGGCAGACGCAACAAAACATGTGAAATACACTCTATTGTTGGTGGAAGTTAGTGAATGAGAGTCAATTGCAACCATCATTGGCAACCCCAAAGAAATCCAACCATATATGAGCAACCAACTGACCACGCAAAAAAGGATTCCCTTCCCTAGTATATAGAATTGCTGTGGGTAAAGTCCAATCGTTATGGTTCCATATGGTTTGTTTGTTTAAAATATTCTCAAGTTTGTGTGTGTGGGTGAAACTAATTGATGTGTCTTAATGATTGCCCGATATTGCTCAATGATATCAATCATGTCCAATAAGAACCACAATAGTTATCAATAAAAACCAATCCCTATGGATCCCAGTACTTCTGAGAACAAAATGAACCCCCAAATCATAGCCCAGTCATACTCCCTCAGGTACGGCTGGATCCATAGGGAATACTAAACAATTGGATTATGGTTATAGACTGCTTTCAATATGTTTTGATATCAATTACCATCAATTAGTCATTAAGATCATTAAGGACTAATTACTCTGATATCATAAACTAGTTGGCTTATACTACTATATCAATTATTAATTACCATTATATAATTACCATAAAAACCAATGGTGTTCTCATTACCAGGCATGGCTTCGACCCCGACTTGCTGAACAGCACCGTGCAGAAGATGATCCGTGAGGAGGCAGGCTTGCAACTGGGTAAACGCACAGGGGAACGGGAGGTTTTGTTTTTTTCATAAAGGGCTTCAATGTGTTTCATGGTTATCTTATTATATCTTATTATTTTTTGTTTATATATATATATATATATTGATTTACTTTTTTTAATGGTGTTTAGTGTGTCTTTGAAGGTGTTTATTGAATTTATTGTTCCCCACCTGCCAGGTGAGGGTTGTTAGATTTTATCAGAGCTGTTCTCCTCCTCCGCCTCCGCATCCTCCTCCTCCATCTCCTCCGCATCCTCCTCCTCCATCTCCTCCGCCTCCTCCTCCTCGCAGTCCAGATCCCAGTGGGCACAGCCGGACCTCCACCGCGAGCGCCAGATCCCAGTGGGCACTGCCGGACCTCCACCGCGAGCTCCAGATCCCAGTGGGCACTGCCGGACCTAAACCGCGACTTCCAGGTCGCAGTGGGCCGGACCTCAACCGCGACTTCCAGATCGCAGTGGGCACTGCCGGACCTCAACCGCGACTTCCAGATCGCAGTGGGCACTGCCGGACCTCAACCGCGAGCTCCAGATCCCAGTGGGCACTGCCGGACCTCAACGGCCAGATAGAATGCCAGAAGATATGCCAGAACATATGCCAGAAGATATGCCAGATAGAATGCCAGAAGATATGCCAGATAGAATGCCAGAAGATATGCCAGAAGATTTGCGAGATAGAATGCCAGAAGATATGCCAGATAGAATGCCAGAAGATATGCCAGAACATATGCCAGAAGATATGCCAGATAGAATGCCAGAAGATATGTCAGATAGAATGCCAGAAGATATGTCAGATAGAATGCCAGAAGATTTGCCAGATAGAATGCCAGAAGATATGTCAGATAGAATGCCAGAAGATATGCCAGAAGATATGCCAGATAGAACTGCCAGAAGATTTGCCAGAAGATTTGCCAGTAAGAAAATGTAAAAATGCCATGGTGGGGATCATTCGAAGTGAAGTAATTTTTTGTGTTTGCCATCAATGGGTCAATGTGTTGGTACGAAGGCAAAAACTGTTCGAATGGACTTCCATTATTTCATTGGATCATCACCGAACGATTTTTTATAATGTCACTGGGTCACATGATTTCGAGTGTCAGATGATCCGAGTAAGCACTGCGCGCCCATGGGCTAACCGGGGTAGTATGGTTCATCTCACAATTCGCCAGGTAGAGGAACACTGGTGAAACAGGGTGCCAAGTCCCCAGGATCTGTATGGGAAATTGGCAAAACACAACATTTACAATACACAAATTCTCCGTGTATGGTATATTGAGTATATTGTATATTCACCCTAAACATGACCCTACTGTCGGTAGATGATCCCCTGAAGACCTGGACCTGTGGTGAATGGGGGTGGTGCCATGACAATCCTTTGGTGAAAACTGACTGGTGACTGGGGTCATGGCAACGTTTGTTGAGAGGTGATCCTTGGAAAGTTTCAAGGAGGAGCCTTCACGCCCAAAGCCTACACCGATGCAGAGGCTAAGAAAATGGACAGCCACTTTGACCCAACATGGAAACTGGGAAATCAGGAAAAGAGGTGGAACATGATGGATCTTCAAAAATTGGACGGTGCTTTCAAATTTTCCTTTTTCAAGTATAGAACGGCGCGACTCTGCAGTTTTTGTTCAAGGAATATCAGGCGATCCAATCTACTGAGAACTACAACCAGCAGAGGTTCTGCGATATTTTTGAACGTAGATTTGATGGGCACCAGAGGGTTTGAGTTTTTGCCATGATTGCATTTTGTCACGCCAGAAATTGAATCTTGAACCGCCAACAGCTTGTTGTTTTGGGATATCAAGCAACAACCATTGGATTTCAGGGGCCAAGACCGGGGTGACAATGCTGGTGGCTAATTGATAGCGAGGTTTTGATGGTATCGCCAGGTATCATCAGGTATCTCTATCATTGACTGGTTTCAAACATGTGTGGTCGTCCTTCCCTTCTTTGAATGGCATCTGCGGCTTCATGTCCGGCTGGTCCCTTGCTGGATTTCATGGGACAATATAAGTGTGATTAAATTTGCGTTTTTGCACATCTGAATTTTGAGGTCCAAAACCTGGTCCCACATAGCTCCATGATGTTCCATGATAGTTTCGATTTTCAGTGGAAGTCGTTGAGTTGTGAAACCATAACAGAGCTCTCAGCCGAGCTCAGCACGCTTAGCTGAGCGGAGCCCAGGTTTCTTTGAGTCCAACGGGTTCCTCACCGCGGCCATGGCCAAAACCTGCAATTTGACCCTCAAAGAGTGGGTGGCACAACGCAAGGCTTGGCCGCCGCGGGGCCTTCAAATTCGGAGTGCTGGTACTCAAAGTGTTGAGTGTTGGATCAATCTCTTGGTCTTTTCCGTCGTTCCCCAATACGAACATCATAGTCTATAGGTATGTCTAGGTCTTGATCAAATATCATTTGAACCTGAGCTCACCAGTCTCCACCTTGAAAATGAGACTGCTTTTGCTGGTGAAGTTGCCACTCGGGTCAAAATTCAGGGCAACATAGGGACCACAGATTCGCAGCTGGTAATGCTTCCTCGCAAGCCAATCTTTCACTGTGCCATATTCCCATTAGAAAAATAGATAGGTCGATCATGGTCGATCGATCTATAGATAGACGGAACATGACAAAACTTCCATGTTGCCCCCAAGTTTGATGTTCTACTAGACCAACGTAGAGGGGTTCATACTTTTCAGATCTTCCACCTCAATACCGCCCTGAAAATTATGTTCGGGGCTTGGCAGTAGTGCATTTGGATGCTTGCTGATGGTAGATGAGCCACTTGGGGTGGGTGCGGAAGTGCAGCGAAGGTCAGCAAAGTGTTGAAGAAAAATCGCCTTTGTTTGCTGTACTTTGATTACAAGTCTGATGGCCGTGAAATGAAACATTGAAATACGATGTGATGTTTGTAGGTTCATTCAATTCATCCAAGGAACTGCTGAAATACCCTTCAGACCGCAGAACCCATTACTTCATTAGTGTCCAGCAAGGCTATCCAGTCACATTGGTGATGCGGGTACCCATATAGATGGCAGATGTGATGGTCCTTTGGAATTGGCTGTACCCCATTTCGGAGGAACCCCAAATGCCTGTGTCCGAAAATGAACTTAGGCCTAAAGCCTAAAACCCATAGTTGATCATAATACAAACTTTGGACACCCAAACTGAGTCATATCTACATTTTATCAGTATCCATTGAATTGCAAAAATGGATATAAGATGATATACCCAAAAAAGCAACATATCATCTTATATCCCTTAACATGTGTATTCCTCAAAGGATACAACAAGAGATACATTGAGATCCTCATCGCAGGTGGAGGGCCACACCTTGCTGAGTGCCTTCGTCTCACAGCACGTGGTGGAGGAAGTTCAGGCGGCTGTGGCGGAGGCGCGGGGCGCGTGGCGCGGGATGATGTACAGGATTTTATGTGTTTGAAGATACAGAATAATATTTATATATATATAATATGAATTAATAGTTATAAAATTGGTTTTAGCCATATTAACCTTAAGTGATTATGTTAAGAGTAAATCATGTATTTCCGCATACATTTATACATTTATTGGTTGGTGGTGTCATTTCTTTTTCAGGTTGGACGAGCGCCGCATCGCGTTTTCATGGGCTTGAGGGAGCATTTCCAGGAACCTGCCAGGTATCATACTGTGTCCATTCATCCCAACATTGATTAATTCCATGGGTGAATTCCAGTGGTTAATTAATTAACCGTTGTCCATGGATTTCAATGGTTAATGGGTGAACTCCATTGTAGTTAATCAGTAAATATCATATTAAATATCATATTAAATATCATATTAAATCCCCATTGGTGAATCATTTAACCCCCATTAAATCCCACTGGAAAAAACCATGGAGATTCCCCATGCCATTGCTTATCCCTCCAGGCCCTGGCAGCGGGCGCCTGGATCGATGTGCAACCGCTGCTGCCTCCATCTTTGCCGGTGCCTTGAGAACATGGGACTAACATGGTGAGAGTTATAATAGGATTTGATAGGATTAAATAGGCTTTAATAGGGTTTAATAGGGACTAACCAATCTCAAAAATGGTGGTTACTGGAATGGTATGGAATGATCAATCTCAATTCAAATGTTCTAAGACATTCTAAGACCATCTGATGATTTATGGGTCGAACCTATTGGACAATTAAATCACGGGGATAAACCAATTGGTTCGATGGGGGTAAAGTCCATTGATTAGTGGGTGAAATGGGGATAAACCAATGATGAGATATATGATATACATACCATTAATAGAGATCCATTGGGATATGGCTTATGAGCTAATGGGATTAAGCGGGATTTAATTGGCATGTATATACTGGGGATTGCATGGGAGAGAGCCAACATCTAACATGGTGATATAGCCAACGTGGGATAACAATATTATGATATCATGGAATATATGATTGTGATATGATTCCATGTTTACTAGGGAAATGGTGGTATAACCAGCAATAAAATGGGGTTGTAGCGGTGATTTGCCCAGTCTCTTATGCGCCTTATAGGGGATTTACTTTAAAGGTGTTGGGAAAATACCTGCCACCTTGGGGATAGAATGGGGTATGTAACGGACACTATTGCTCAGAATTAGTTGCTCCTGAAATGGATTGTCTAATAATAAAGTGATATATGTTGTGGGTCCATTGGTAAACCATGTTTGAACCGTACCTATATTAGGTTGTCTCAAGTTTTGGGACCCAAAATGTGCATGTTTCATGATCAAGTGCACCGTTCACCATTCAAATGCTTCTAAAATTGGGTATTCAACATTTCTGGAGACCAACCCACATTGAGCAGCAAAATTAGGACATGCACCTTCAAAGGCGTTTCACATGTCAGTCGTTGGAATCATCACTTCTTTATGTGACATGTCCGTTTTGCAGGTTAAATCCATATTTTTGCTGTGTGTGATATCGCAATAGTATGTATTGTCCAGTTTCCATTTCAAGTAGACTAAGAAAACAAGGTTCACGCCCCAATTTGCTGCTCGATATCTTGGGTGTGTTTGTAGCTTGACATCTTGGCTTGTTTGCTTGTTGATGTTCCGCATGTTCTGTCCCCACCTCACCAGCAGGCAGCTCTTTACAGCTCATTTTTCGTCAAGTGATCTCCCGATTTTGCTGGTGAAGAAGTTCTTGTTGTGTTGGTCAAGAATGGTCTCAAGATCACCATTTTCAGCTGCTGAAAAATATGCAACGGCTATCCCCAGTGTCATCAAGAAAACAAACATGTTGAATTCTCTCATCTATTGCCCATCCATGTTCTGGCACTTTGGATGTGCTTCCACCATTTTGGTGAGTTGATCTCATGATCCCTGCCGCCACTGTTGCATATGTTAGGCCTCGGATGCTGCAGAGCTGCTGTTGCAGCTGTCCAAGCAGTTTCCGAGCGCGGTGCTGTTGGAACATGTGGCGGTCAGCGGTAGCTTTGTCCAAGGCTTGGGAGTCGATGAGTGGTCTACCATTTGGAGATGGTGAAATGAAGTTTACCAGCAAAATATGTTTGGAGGATTTTGGAGAGGTGAAACGGAATATAACCGGTATAACATAACATAGTATATATATAATATATACTATATCATGTTTTCCGGTATTTACATACCAAAAAAGCAAACTGGTTGGCCTGAACATGAGCGACACCCTTAAAAAAAATAAAACAAAAACAATTATTTGTTTATAATTCATGTTCCTGTCAAAATCACGGTATGTTGGGTATATCTATCTCGTTTTGAGGCAAGCCCACATTCTGATAAACTCTCATGGGTTTTATCGTTTCCACTAAGTGGGGGTATATACTTCCAAGCTAAATCAGCTAAAAACATGGCACTGCTAACATTGGCTATGTGAAGAGTATATTTCATGGGAGGAATAAGCGTATTACTTGCACTCATTGTGATGTAACCTTTAAAAATAGAGAGAGAGAAATAGATGTTAATTGCAACAGTGCGTTGCGGTCTTCCTGGTGCTCTACGGTCTTCACCATCACTTGGCATCCAACTCTCGTATTCTGGTCATTCATATGTCGCTGTTTTGTTCCATCTAGGTACCTCAACGTCACATGTTAGCAACGTCGTATGTTTTGTGAGAGCGATGAAAAACCTCAATATTAAATTTTCTACTTTCTCCATCGTTCTCCCAAAGCCTCATGGAATCGATCAGCAAGGTTTGCCGGTTTTCCGGTTTTCCAGTGGTTTTCCATCGTTGACCCAGAAACTCCCAAGCAAAAAACCCAGCTTTGGCTCCATTGGCCAGGCATCGCCACAGCCTTGGAGGGGGAAGTGCAGCAGGCGGCAGAGAAATCAATGAAGCCGCGGGCCAAGAAAGATGATGAGGACTGCTGCAGAGATGACAAAGATTCAGAAACTACCTGAGAGTCAGACATTACACGGTGATGATGATGATGATGATGATGATGATGATGATGATATAGATGATAGATGATAGATGATAGATGATAGATGATAGATGATAGATGATGCTGGTGATGCTGGTGATGCTGGTGATGCTGGTGATGCTGGTGATGCTGGTGATGCTGGTGATGCTGGTGATGCTGGTGATGCTGGTGATGCTGGTGGTGCTGGTGGTGCTGGTGATGCTGGTGGTGCTGGTGGTGCTGGTGGTGCTGGTGGTGGAAATCACTGCATGTAATTCATTTTTTTAAGACGAGAATAGTTATGGTGGATGTATGATATCATATGATAATTAGAAGGGGGGACAATTTGCATGAAATCCGGTGATGGGATGAACTGTTCTAACACGTTGTATCCCATATACAGGATATGTTGCATTAAATTATATGGACATTGCCGTGAAATCAGCATATAATCCCAGTTGTCCCAGTTATGATAAGTATACGAATGTATATATATATATTATATTATATTATATTATATTATATTATATTATATTATTATATTGTTATATTATATTATATTATATTATATTATATATTATATTATATTATATATTATATTATATGTTATATTATATATTATATTATATATTATATTATATATTATATTATATATTATATTATATATTATTATATATTATATTATATTATATTATATTATTTTGTTTTTAATATATTATATTATATTATATTATATTTTATTTTATTATATTATATTATACTATATTATATTATATTATGGCATATCAATCTCCTGAATTGTCCGTGACATGTGGATGCGATTCCCAGGAAATCAGCATATCATGCAAACAAATATCTAAACAAATGTAATTGTTTGTTCTCTGGTAGTCAAGCATTGCTGCCAAAGAAATCAAAAGAACAACAATAACTTTAGGCTATGGCCCACTTAGTTGGTACCCGGGATGGTGCCTGAAAGTAGGATCATGTGGAATCCGGAGTGAGTAATTGATAAAATCTCCAATGGCAATGGTGGCTCCACACCCCACAGCTAGTGATTTAATTGTAAGTTATTTTTGGACTTGTAACATCGTGTAACCGCATCGACTCACACGGCTACGGGGGATCCCAGTTGGGATCCCCAGTGACCCCCGGAATGGCTGGTTCAGGGAGGCTGTTGTTGGTTTGGGTTCGCATCGCAAATAAAACATACTCAATTCATTCCAATTCTAATAGGCGTGGTTCCGCTTTAAGTTTCTGAGGTGCATAGACTTATACCCGTAGTAGTCTGGTTCTAGCATGTTTAATCCCAACATGACCGGTTCAGCAATTCACCACCAGCACGTGTTGTTAAAGGAATCCTGGTTAGAAATTCACCACATATCAATTAAATAACTCAAATGCCGGCTGCCTTTGGTACGTTGCCACATTCCGTGTTTTGTGGTTTTGGTCTTGGGGCCGGTGCAGGAAGTGGATTCGAAAAAGCGTAAAGCCAAAGGAAAGAGTCAGAAGAAGAAAGGCTGGCAATGCGTTCCTCTCATCGTGTTCATGTGTCCACTTTCACGACATGGGGATGACGGAAATAAACGAAGGAGTGCAAGTAGAGGTACGGAAGAAGCCAAGGGAACACCGTTTGAAAGCACTTTGCAGCTACGTAGATGTTTTCCACAGTCCAAACCATTTTCACATTTGAGGAATCTACCCTAAATCGGAGCCAGCTGGCTGTCGTGCTTGAACTGTGAGCAATTCGCAGTGTGGTTGGCCATAGGGTATATGAATGTATAGTGCTTGGATTGGCCCCATGCCGTGGTTGCCATACGTGTGTTCATTTACACAGAGGTTGAGCCAAAGTTTTTCCATCCACTTGTTGAATGTCAAGGCCTATTTATTGGAGTGAAGACATTTTGATTGAGATGCATGATTTTAGGTCATTTTGACCCGCATCTTTGATATAACATGCTCCATTTTTTCTCTGCATATCTCATCAGGTGATGATGATGACGACAGTGCTGTGCGCACTAGCGAATCAGGCGATTGGGGACGCATGCTTTAGCGAATGGACTGGGGATATTGAACCAGTATTGGCCAGTATGACTTCGATTTGTCACATTCATCAACCCAGGTGGGAGGGTTAAATATCCCCAAGAGTAGTTGGTTTCTGAAGCTGATTCTACCAGGTGGGATCTCACAGATCTGGGGGGGCTCTCAAGTTCCACAAAAGCTCATTAATGCGGTGCTGATGCAAATTGGTTTGGAGGTTGTTCTTTTGATTTCCAGAAATCTGTTTGGGCAAAAAGTTTGGCAGTAATTGTCCTTGTTTTGGAGGGTTTGTTTCTTGAGTATGCCCGTTTTGTGACCACCATTCAGAACGGCGGACTTTCACAAACCGTTGACTTTTGTGGGCAGACAGACGTTGACATCGCATTTTGATTTTGACTGTACGTTTAAGTTCTCGGCCGCAAGACCAAAGGCGTCAGCAATGAAGCCATTCTAAATCACCTGGAAGAATCTCGTCAGAATGGTGTTGAATCTCTCCTGCTCGGACCTGGGTGTTTCGAGAGCCTCCAAAAAGCTATGCCAAGAAATGATTATCTCGCTCCGTCCAAGAAAATGTGCAGGTTTTTTTTCTGCCAGTGTCAGTTTACCAGCAGTTTCGCTGCTTCACAATCACAACGTCTATTTGCGGTCGTGCCCCAGTTATGTCCATTGTCTCCCTTTCTCCTATCCCCATGATGCCTGGTGAAAATTTTCTCGATGAGCATCCAAGTTGTGTAGTTGACAAGTGATGAGCTGGATAATATAGGCCTGAAACATAGACATACTTTGGTGATTTTTGATGTTACCATTTTGATGTAATTACGTATTCTTGAGCCATGCGGAATTGGTGTTTGAATATTCAGTGAGATGCGCAATGTTTGTGTGGTGAAACCCTGATGTTTACTGGTTCTGTCTCCATTTATATGGAAAGGCATCCGGATCTATCCCAAGTCCCAATTGTTGTCATTATCCACCTTAGCCGTCCATGCCTGACCGATTTGGTTCCCTTTTTTTGGCTTGGTTAAACACACAAATGGCCCCGCATGTTTTACCCATTCAATGGGTGACGCCCCTGTTTTGTATCTTTAAGCACCTATGTAATGAATGTACCAGTATGGTCCGGTCCTACAATTTCTTGTTAGTTCACCTCCCCCGAGTTTGCATCGTATTATATCCCTACAATCCCAAGTTTGTTTGGTGAAAACCTACATTCTCACAGGCTCCTCTTCAAATCCCAACATGCAGCCACAATCATCAATCAATCCCAACATTTACTTACCATGTAGTTTCCCAAAAGATATCATGGAGTAAGGGGGTTTGATTATGTATGATGGGGGCGTTGCGCTTATTATGTAAGCTCCTGATAATAAGGCTGGGAAATAATAAACCCCTATTAAGGCCTTCTTGAGGTCTTATTAACCCTTATGATGGGTTTATTAACCCTTATCAAGGCCTTATTAATGTCTGATTCCCTATGGATAGCTGATTTTCCTTATCCACTGCTTATCCAAAGCAATGGTTGATTTTTAAGCCACAACCCACAAAGGGCATTAGGATTTTTGCAGAGATTTCGATGTGTGTTCACCATGTTTCCTCAATTTCGGCAATTTTGGGGATCTGGGGTCCTGAGGGGTCATTCTTTTTGGGGGTGATATAGAATAGCTTGCTGATTCCGGCGCTTATCATTTGAGCCTTGGATAAGTCCTTAAAAAGCCCTTATTAAGCTTTTAGCCACCCAACCCCCACCCCAAAATCCAGGTCAAATCATTCTTGGACCTCCCAAACTTGCAATGGATATCCAGAAGCTCACCTTTCTTTCTGACAATGATCATCCTTGCTTATCCATGGCTTATCCAACCCCCCCCAAATAGCTCCCCATGGACGGCTAGTATTTTATAGTTTAGGTATCATCTGTGATTGTGAAATGTATGCTACTTGTTTATATGTTTTTTTTCCCGGTGCATTGTGAAATTTCGATGCATCACATGATCATCCCATTGTTCCCGCGTCCGTTGTGCCCGTGCCCCGAGGATCAGCACCCAGACCTGCCGGAGATGGCCCTGCGGGAGCTGTGCGTCGAGGTGCAGCGGCACCTGACGCAGATGGTCGCGGAGGCAGCGGAGAAGCTGCTCGATGATGCGGATGTCCTGCTGGGGTCCGGGATGGTCAGGGATGGTAGATTCATCTGATAGATTCATTTGATTGATGTTGATAATGTTGATAGTTCACACCAAAATTTCGATCTTCAAGTGAATATTTGGGGGATGGGATTTTGGAGGATTGTATAGGGGTTAATTGAGGGGTTAGTTTTTGCGGCCTGCATCTTTACATGTGCTAATCCCTTCCATGTCCTATCCATTTCTGGAATGTGGCATAAGATGAGGCCATGTCAAAAGTGATCGAAAAGATGTCCAACAAAAAAGACAACAAACTGGATTGAATAGACACATGTTGACTGAGGTTACGATCTAGTTTGCAGACCAAGCAGAAGCAGCAATTTGAGCAGGCAACGCGGCCGGGACAGGCTGACAGCAAACATACCAGGAAACATTGGGATTAACCAAGCGTGTATATATTTTGAAATATGGGAGAAATGACCTGCCAAATGACTTAATATTGACTTTCAACCCATCAAAAATTGTGTGTGTGTGACAAGCAAAGGTGGTCATTAGAAACCGTAGAGCATAGTACATATTTCTGGAACCGGGTAGCGGCACCTATTTTGCATGTTTGATCTTCAATTTTCTGAGTCGACAAAGAACAGAATAGGTGCATGTGTGCAAACCCCCCGGCCTATAGAATGGTCGGGGTTGGTTCCCTTCAAGTTTGGGCGTGCACCATGGGTGAAGACTTCGGCTTTCATTTTGAGATACTTGTTTTTGTCAGTTGAATCTTCGTAAGTCGGAACTGTTGTTTATGATGCTGGATATGGTGAGCAAATGGACAATACAGCTGGCTGGAATTAAATTGCTCCTCATCAAAATTGGTCTTGTCATCTAGTCGCCGCACTTTCACCATGAAGCATGTTTCAACCACCACTTCCACTGCCCGGTTCCCCAGATACTTGGTGGTTCAATCAACTAAGCAGGGGCAGTCCATGTTTGCTAAACATCAAATCAGTCGACCTTCAGGTGCCTTTACATCCCTTTACAGTCCCTTTACACACCATGGTGATATTCCAGTCCTGGCCACAGCACCGCACGTCGATGGCACGGCGATCGCACGGCGCCAAGGCGGACAAGTTGGTCCAGGAGCGTTACGAGAAGTTGGTCCTGGGCCTTCGGGGCCTTCGCGCCTTGGAGGCGGCCCATGAAAAGCAGGACGGCCCTGGAAGAACTGGATGGAACTAGGGAATACTAGGGAACTTGGAGGATGGAAATCGATGGAAATCGATGGAAATCGATGGAAATTGGAAGTACAGGAAGTCATGGGGAGATGTGTGAGCAACATTGCAGTCATGCACGATGACCTAAATTCCTGCCCTGTCGCTGGGAACGCGGGCTTTGCTGTGAGGAGTCTCCGTTGTATCAGTGGCTCGGACATTTGAGGAGCCGGCAACACGTGGTCGTAGTTGGATTGATTCGTTTGTAAACTGACTAGCGCCCTAACCTCCTGAACCAGGTAGCTGATTGTTGAGGTTTGTACCTACGGCTATCAGGAGCCGAACGATTGGTTACTCATCCCATGTCAATGATACATGGTATGTTGTATGTGTTTCATTATGATATCAAAAATCTCAATATGGAGAACATTACTTCGCATGAATTATCATGATATCAAGGAACCACATGTGCTCTCTTTATCAACATCATGATTATTCTTGGTTCTTCATCCCATATGAGTGAGAACATTGTTTTGTGATACATAAAATATCATAAAATCATCATTTAATAGATGTTGTATGATTATTATATTATGATATCATTTTCTAGATGTTCATTTGTTCATCTATTTTCCGGATATTTCCCATGGATTTTTCAGATGGCCACGAGGCACTTGCTGCGGGAGGTCGTCCTGGAGCCACTGCATGCGTTGATTGCGCTGCGCTTGGAGGAGGCCAAATGATTTTTGGGGGACTGAGAACTGTTGGCTAAAAAGCTATAGTACCATAATAATATATAATATATGGATATAATTCTTATGTAACATTAGACCAAAAACGATACCATATGATGATGTGAGGTGTGAGCAGTAAAAAGGGCCTTAAGCAACACATGTACGTATATAATGTGTGTACATGTATATACATATATGTGCACACATATGCATAAGGGCTGAAACATGGTTTGACCAACGGACATGGGGATATGCTCTCCAGTAAAGGCACAACAGCGATGGAACAACAACAACAACAACAACAACAACAACAACAACAACAACACATTGTTCAAGAGGAATAATTTGTTCAAGGAACAACAGCTCATTCCGAGTCAATCACTCATTTGTTTATTACACTCAATTGTTTGTTCATGCACTCGTTTTTGCATTCAGTTAGAAATTCATTGCTTCCTCAATGTAAGATGGTTTGGCATTCGTTTGGCATTCCTTGGCATCTCCTGCTGTAGCAGGGTGGCATGAAAATCCAACGCGCTGTTGGGTACCCCTCTGGTGAGATTTCGCCGACGGATGAGGCGACTGGACAAAGTGTGGAAGTTACGGCTGCCAACAGGAAGCAGCTTGGATTTAGGACAGTTGTGCACATCTAGCAGTCTCTGCTGAAAATTAAACATGATCAAATTCCGGATGATTCTCCATTGCCAGCTTGGATTACAGGATGACCAATGGGATAACAGTTGGATATAGTTGGATAACATGCCATGGTTTGTCCAAGAGGTGGCTCCTGAGTCGATCCCGGGGCCTGAAACTTTAATCCATGTTAAACCCCAATGTTACATTGGTGCCGCGAAACTATTGGTAAGGACGATATCCCATTTTTCCATCATTTCCCATTCCTATAATATCCTGTAATAATATTCTGTATTGATGTATGGCTGAAACATCTTCTTTGTAGCGTCAACATGCCCACATCCTGAACGTCATTGACTATCCGCATTAATACGGAATTTCGTTGGCGAAAACCAGTTTAACTGTGTTTCTGGTGTAGACAACACTGAGGAAAACTGCTAGAATCTTAATACCCACACCCAAGAAACCTTCGGGAACCTTAGGCAATGTCTGGAGAAGTTGGCCACGGCCGAGAAGAATCCGCCGGAAGTTCTGCAGAGGCGCCAGCAGCGCATGGAGTGCTCTGGGGAGTGCCGCTGGGGTGCTAGGTATTTGGGTATGGACATGGTATAAACAAATGAGCAGAAAGGTATATGATTAAGAACACATCAAGATAAAAAGTGATAACGTTTGATTTAAAAGAGCAATAGAAGTCGGGATGTAACCAGGCAATATGGGGAGCAAAGTGGCCATTTGACGCGTAAAAAAATGAGGGTAAAACAACGGGAGTTGATTGGAAACATTTGGCGACAGGGGGAATTGAAACTGTCAAAATTCAGGGCTTTGCTCGTTAATATCTAAACAATGTCTGCACTTCCAGAATCCAGACCTACTGGGACATGCAGATGGATTGTTGTTTAACTAGTCATGAAATAGTGGGTGGCTTTGACAAGGGGTTACTTGGTATGCACAGTAGGCTTTGTAAGAAAGGGGGTGCAACTAGAGGGAGCTGCGTGCATCTCAAGGTCGGTCTAAGAGACATGATATGAGTATGGCCTGAATATGGGAGTCAAGACTGGGAACCCTAAAATGGAATGGTTTACCAATCGCTGAAAATGAGCCAAAATCTGTGGTTGCCTGCGACTGAAATTTTGGCCCATATTCAATATTATTCTCACATGGGCCTTGTTACATGTGGTAGATACCTTCAATTTGGGTACCTCAAGTGTTCTCTTGTGCAGGCTAGTGGCTGCGATGGCCAAGAAAGACACCAAAGAGACGAAGGACCGACACATCCTATGAAGATCGGGCATCCTATCAAGATTCCAAAAGTTCTACCACAAATTCACCAAATGCGCAGAATCAATGGTTCGGTATCTCCAACTCACCTGAAAGTTCGCGTTCCAAAATTCCTTAAGGACAAAGACCCCATTACATGATCCTCACAAAGCAAAAACAACAACAACAACAACAACAACAACAACCACAACCACAACCACAACCACAACCACAACCACAACCACAACCACCACCACCACCACCACCACCACCAACAACAACAACAACCACCACCACCAACAACAACAACAACAACAGTTAATGAATTAATGACATGTCACGTTGTTTTCCATGAATTTTCTGTCCTTGGTCAGTGTTCCTTTTGCATGTTCGATGGGTTCCGCATTCCAGCCAGCTGTTTTCCTGAAGAGCAAAGGCCATTTTGGGACTGGATGTACAATTTTTGGTACCTCCGATGGATTGTTTCTTTGATTCTCCTATAGTTGAGTACCTTAAGATGTCTCACTTTCCAAAGTCTGATGTGCCATTTTGCTGTGTTTTGGATCTTGATGCGCCGTCCCAACTACGGAGGGATCCCTTTCGCCACTGACCTACAGGATTCAAAGGAAAGCAAAGATTCAAAGGACTGCGGCCAGCTTTTTTTTCTGCTGTTAGGAAATTTGTACGGCTGGACAGCAAAAGTCGAACATCACCTTCACTGGCACGATTTGTTGATTGTCCCTGTATGTCCCTGTGTTCACTGCGTATATCCCTTTGTTTTCTTGCTTGATATCCTCTATTTTTTTCTAGATGTGTTCCATGTCAGCCATCAGGGGCCTACAAACTGTCTGGTTAGATGCCCTTGGCCACGAGGAAGGCAAAGAGGGGAAGGAGAAGGGAAAGTCCAAGAAAGGTCCGAGGGCGTTTGGGAGCCATTCCGTGGAAAATCATTCCATGGTAACTAGAATTTAACAATGAGGGCATCAATCACAGTTCTTAACCAGCAAGGACGGTAACTTAATGTGGTCGGCAGTTGTTTGGTACCCTTGAGGAAGGAGGGCATGGTCTGCATGGTATGATTTTCCTTGGTGTGGGATTGCCGGTTGCACGCTATCGCCAAAGAGATGAAAGAAACGACATCTTGGTGGTCAACATCTTGTACCAGAAACTTGGATGGTACAATCACAGAATCACAGAAAACGACATAAAACGACTATATGTTCATTCTGTATAGATTTATTCTTGTGATCTCAAACAGCAACTACCTCACCACAAATCAAATGGTCATTAGACATACAAACATATATGAACAGTGTACAACCGTGGGGTCTATGCCTTTAAGTCAGGCTTGGGATCTATGAAAACCTACCGGATTCACTGACAGGCGATGCCAAAGATGCAGATGACCCCGACATCTCTGAGCTGTACCATGCAGCCGTGGCACGGTGGCGATATGTGGCGATGGTGGCCAAGCAAATCGGGCAATACCGTAGGCAGTACCTGTGTTTAAAAAGGAGCATGATATATAAACCAATACCATGGGAGTGAAATCCCCAATGGACACACGTTCTACCTATCCTTTTTCGGCTAATCACTCTGAGGATCTGAGTTTGAATCCATTCGATTTTTTTGGGGCTCACAGTTGTAAAAGTTTCAGCCTCGAAAACCAGCCGCGCGATTTCTATAGCAGAATGCACGTCTCATCTTGGTACGCTTTGGTAAACTTATGATTGAATCCAAAGAGGAAAATCTCCGATGGCTGGTTTTCCGAAATCCAAATCCTTATTCTCTATTGCCAAATACTATATACTATATTACAATATTGAAAGTATATCAGTGGAGGCTCCCTATTCTTATCATGGGGGGTCCCAAATGGTACCCCAATCCAAACACCCTGTACCGAGCCTGCGCCAAGGCAGATGACAGCCATATTTTCTGCCGCAAGGTCGACAAGAAGCGCGAAAAGGCGCAGAGCAGCTGAATTCTCCACGGCCATCAGGGAACGCTGAGATTGGTTCGCAATATACACGTCAGTTTTTTTTGTTGCTAACCCAAATGGAACCAGTTATATTGTAACCCATTAGCCAGTACCGCTAGCAATAGATAGTAATAGTATATCCAACATAGAGCTAGCAAACCCTATGATCCAGCAAAGAGAAAGTTGGTGAGTGGATAGAAGCCAAAGTTGAGCCAGTCGGGTAGCCCCGCCCATCAAAAAATCATTCAAAATTAGTAGTTACTCACCAGCGTTCCCATGACTAGCAGTTGTGTCAACCTTATCATCCCTTGTTAGTATCATCAAAACCACGATTCTTGTTTGGCTTCTATATTATATACTGTACATACATACACACATACATACAATACAATACAATACACTACAATACTCTCCAATACAAATACCAATACAAATACCAATAACCAATACAATACAATACATACCATACATACCATACATACCATACATTACATTACGTTACATTACATTGCATTGCATTACATTGCATTGCATTGCATTACATTACATTACATTACTTACATACATTACTTACATACATTACTTACATACATAACTTACATACATACTTACTTACATACATACATAAACACACCTACCATATTATGTCCATTAAAAATAGTGTTGTTTGCATGTCCATCAACTGAAGCCCTACCTTCGAAGTTTGTGGCACAAGCACATTGCATCGGCTCCCCAGGCTGCAGCACAAGAGCAACAGCGGGCCTTGAAAGAACGGCTCAAGGAGCCGACTGTATAGCGAATTACTGTGAATGACTTCTGTCACTGGAGATACAGTATTGCCAAGTATTGCCATGTATTGCCTATCGATGGGTCCCTTGAACTTGGGATGGTGCGAGATGATTCTTGGAAGCTGCCTACAGCGTATCGGACAAATTCGTATTTCCAGTGTTCAGGGCAATCGATATTGTGATTCCTGGTGTTTGGTATTCTGCAACCTTCAAGAATCGGTATCGTCATATGTCTAATCATGATGGTTGCATGGCAATCAGTTAGGGATAGTTTGGGTATGTTTAGCAGAATACGTATATGCAAGCAGCTATGACAGGACTGGGAACTATAAATCAGGATGGGTAGCTTGTGTCCGCGTGGAGTTCCTGCGGCTAAGTGTCAAGGCAGCTTGCTGATACGTAGATGTGTCCAGCAAGCATGGATTAGGGGACCCAGGAGGATGTTCTTAATCCTAAACTTCAACTTCGCTACAGCATGGTTGATACTGAGGCCGCAAATTTGGAGAACACCATGACACCAAATTTATTGGCCTGCACTGCAATCAGCATTTGGATTCTCTGCAGTTTCCAGCAAATGAATTTAACACCTTAACGGCCTCTCACTAATGAAATACCTGATATGTCCAAAAATAGCGAAGAAAGCATCTCAACCATTGGTCCACCTCCGAATGGACCCTCCAGCTGTGTACTTTTATAGGGTCACTGGTATGTCCAAATATTGAGGATACATCAAACTTGTTGAGATTCTGCAGAGAGAATCCATGCTTGGTGTTGTTTAGCATTGTTAGAGTTATAATATATATATATAAATACAAAATTATATACACATGCGTGTTTCTCCAATATTTTGGTATCTGGGTTCCGTCCCAAGCTGCTGGGGTCCGATGGTTGCAACCAGGAAGCTACGCCCTCTGTGCAGACCTCAGTTGCGAGAAGTACCAGTACGTCATTGGAATAACAACCAGCAGGTCACTGCCAATAAATTGAGATGGAAAAAAGCAAACATGATTCACGATGGGTGTACATTACATATATTCTATATGCTATTTGCAGACATATGCACACACGTACACATACACAAAGAGATTATCGATTGGCCGAGCTTCTTGGATGATAATTGCCCGGAGTGATTCGATTGAGTGGTGAGTTTGAAACTCACATTTTACACACAATGGGTTCCCCCCTTGCGCCGAGGATGCGCTGGCCGTGTGCCACTTGGGGCTGCAACTCGCATTGGCCGCGGAAGGACACAGGGTCTGCCCGGTCGTGGTGGCAAGATTATAAGATGCTGGAAGGGTCAGGGTGGGCTATCCTTGAGTAAACCTGAGCAATGAAAGAATGGAATGGTGATTTTCCAAACTCACATGGGAATGTTCACGAGCAAACATGAGGCTATAAGCCTGGTTGAACCACGAAAACTACAGGATACACAGACATATCGCTTATTTATATGGAAACCAAAAAATTACCTGCCTCGCTCTTATTCACGTTTGTTGACCAAGGATCGAGGCAAACGTGGCCAAAATCTACAAGGGATGCACGTTGCCCCCTTGTTTTCTTGAAGATGTTGGAGCATGACCCCTATTCCAAAAGCAACTGTTCATTGATGCATGCAAATTGTGTTGGGCGGGAAATGCATGATTTAGGCATGATTTTCTGAAATTGAGATTGAACTAAATGGTGGACACGCCTCTTTTCAAGACCCAACCCAGGTGTGACTTAGGCATGAGTTTGGCGCATTCTGTAGGACCGTATTTTGACGCAGTCACATAGCGGTTGTAGACTCCTGACATTCGGGATCCACACACGCCATATATCGCTATTGTCAGGAGCCAAATAATTTGGACCAGAGACCCAATTACTTAAGATTTGTTTTGTTGATTTGCTTCCGGGATGAGCGAATTGTGCCACGGAATTTTGCAAGGATTGCCCACCGAAAAAATTGTTTCAAAGTGTCAACTGCCAGGAGTATCCTGCTTGGTTCTGCCCTGTGAGTTGTGGGCACTTCGACTTGCAGCGAGTTTTTTTCATTCAGAGGCAGGGTCCCAGGGCCAAACTTCCAACAAGGCCGCATTGACTCACTAGACCACTCAACCTAATCTAGGGAAACTGTTGAACCAGCCAGTGTCAACTTTGTTTTTTGTTGGTCAGATTCCTTGCGTGAATGGGCATGGAGGATCATGGGCCCACTTAGCTGTGACCAAAACTAATCGACACCAAGTGGACGGAGGCCATCGGAGGCACAGAAATTTCAAGATAATTTCAGGACGGATTCCAGCATATTGCAGCGTCAAATCAAGAGTTTGCCATATTCTAAGTCGACATCCCTTGCATTCTTGAAATGACCAGCCACATTTTTGAAGTCATCATTTCACCCTGTATCAATCAGAAAGGAATAACATGGAACATCCGCTAATTAATCTTGCAAATCTCAAGATTTCCCGGAACCTGCAAAGGTTTTTTTCTGGAAATGGCACATACCCAGCAATATTGGTCATCGAATGGAGAACAACATGAAAGCACCCCCTGTTCAGACAACCCAAACTCTCCACTGGTTTTGATATGCCTTGAGAATCTTTGAGATCATGATTCCATCTTGGCTCGGCCTGCTACAGCAGGTCTCAAAAAGCCCCGAGGCCCGGGATGTCGATTGGTGCGTCCCACACCATGGGTTTTTGTTGGTGGCTTTAACATTTGTGTTTGTTGGAACTAGTTGGAACTATATGGGATGATTCCCAATACAAAGCAGGCTATGTTCAGGTCTTGTCGGTCATATTGCCCATTTCTGAATGACTTCAATTCTATCCCACATACTTTTACACAGAAGGTCTTACTAGCACCCACCACAGCCGCATGTTACAGATACAGGTCGGAGAACAATGTTTGCGTTTGTGCGATCTTTGTGATGAGAAAGGCGCCCCCGAAGTCCTCGTGAAGGGGTACCCCGGGTACCTTGCAATCACAGATGGAAGTGAAGTTCAGTGAGAATCACACATGGCACAATGGCAGCAGTCACATTATGTCACATTAGTAGATTGTGTTTCTTTTGTTTTTCAGCATGAGTTGGTTGGAGGGAGCATCTACAGGAAACCATGTTGTTTTGCAGACAAAGATGGCGCTAAAACCAGTCGACGGCTTCCCTCTAAACCAAGTCTTGAGACATGGGTCTGCCCCAAAAAAGAGGTGCCCAAAAAGCCATGGTTTAGCATATTTTCCCACTTGAATTGCCATACATTGCAGTATATTCCCATATATATATATATAGACGTATAATTTATCCGGATATCCGCATGTTGTGTTCACTATAAATAGTCCCGTGTTGGTGTAAGTTTCCAATGTTTGGACAGCCTCAGATCCAATCACTATGGTTCGTTTTTAGCCCCTCAATTGATCATATCCTCAGTAATAAATGATCTTCCATTACATCCGACAAATCATGATTCAACAATTAATTGTTTATATCTCCCACCCACCATAATTATCATGGGTATTTAAACCCCATGTTCTGGGTAAATTCCCTGATGGCCTGCCAACATCTTATGGCCATCATGGCCTGTTTCGGATGTCAGGCGATGCAGTGGAGAGAGAAGCTGCTGCCGCGGCGTGGCGTGAGCGTTTTCTGTAAAAGATTGCTGGTCCATGGGGGTTTCGTGTGGTTGATCCAAGCACCTATAGGCACACAGGCATGAGTGGGGAGTGTAATCTGCACAAATTGCGTTTCGTTTTTAGGCAGCAACAACAGGGAACATGCAGCGATCAAAGTGGGTACTAGGTTACTATGTATCGATAGCGGCGCGAAGCAACTACCAAATAATTCAATGGGGACTTGCAGCAACGAAAATGGTGACGTGGAGGTGTGAACATATCTGGATAAACCCTGGTGAATGATTAGTTCATGCTGTCTTTTGGTAGCCATTCGTCCTTTTTGACGTGTTTCTCGGGCTAGCAAGGAAGCGGGCACACATCGTCTAGGATACCTCACCACAGCAATTCCTCGATGACTGGGAGATGGTGGAGAGAGTATGGTATAGTATGGTTTCTGTCATGCAGTATGGTCACTCTGACTCGAGGTTTGAAGTCACCAATCATGCCTAGACTGGTCTGTTTTGAAGCACTTTCCAAATGTGTTGAAGGTTTGATGTTTCCAGGTGAAATCACCCACATGTTTCTGGGGATGTTAAGGCTTGAAGAATCCGCCAGGTCGGTGTGCGCTTTGAAACCCCACATCCCCTCCCAACACGACAGAAGGTCCTAACATATTTTTGGCCATTGGATCTTCAAATTCTAAGCTCTGGCTGCCCATGTTTATTTTATTATTCACAGTGGATCGTGAAACTGCATATGTAACCAACCATGTTTTTGTGAAGTATCGGTTGCGTCCAAGGGACACTACTCAAAGGCTGAATATGTGTGTGTGTGTGCAACAGTGTGTGTGTGTGTATGTGTGTATGTACTGGATTACTCGTATATGACATATGAATACTATTGTACGTGTATATGTGTATATGTATGTTTAAATCCCATCCCCTAATGTTAAGCATCCGGTCAATGATCCCAAATATGTGGTTTCACATCTACCAGACAATGTTTTCAGTGGGATGTTTAACATTAGTGAGATGGGATTGCAACCACGATAGCATCAATGTTTCTTGGTTGCACCATCGCAGCACCTTTGGTCCCTGGGTGAAACTGTGCCCTGGGGGAAAGAGTGGCTGAAGATCCCAGGTACCTGGGACGCAGATGGGGATGGTTACCCTATGTGTTGGTGTCATACCCCATAGATACCCCTATTGATTGCAATGATTAGTGGTGATGAATGGTGATTGATGGCCTGAATCATGGAAAATCAGTGCACCAATGATCATTGGTGAATATTGGTGATATCCTCATGTTTCAAACAAGTTCTTCCTGGTTGTTGTTGAATAGCAGCTATAGTGCTTATTGTAATGCCCCAGAATCAACAGATGGAGCAGTCGTTTTTTGAATTTCAACCATCGAAGCTTATTTTGATACATGTATTCACGTGTACGATCCTTCATGAATACATGGTGATGTGTAGATAGACCTGAGAAATTTACAGAAAAGACGCCACCGGAGCCTTACACCTTTCTGGAAATGCAGTGTTTGTTTCTACCATATCAGGTTTGATCCTCACAGGTAATGGGGACGTGACCAAGAAGTAGGGGGACAACTGGGCAGTGACGGGTAGTGCCAGTTGTTACAACTATATAATCTGAATCAGAGAACCCAGTTACTGGCTTGCTGACTGACATCATCCTCAAAGTACATGTAGGTATGTGTGAACTGCAGGGCTGGGTAATAAAAAGGGCTGACGGACCCATAGATGCTGTTTGGTGGCAGACTGTCCAATTCAGGACGTTGCCGTAAGTCACTTTTTCCCGGGCATGGGATGGCAGGTCATCGACCTTGATCATCTGCTGGCAGGTCATGGGGCAATCCCCATGCAGTCGCTATTGCGAGACAGAGGATGATGGTGACTCCACCAATCGCGAGCAGCCCATGTCGCCCGGGAGCCTGGCAGGAAATGAATCCAGTACTTAGATATATCATATTACAGTTTATTTGATTCTATGTTTATTGTATTGTATTGTATTGTATTGCATTATATTGTGTTCTATTACATTCTATTGTATTATGTTATATCATACTATGTTATATTATATATGTTTAGGTTGGGGCAAGTGGGGATGAGAGTAGTTTCAGTTATGGGCTTTTGTGATGAGCATGATGATGGAAGACCCCCAATCACGAACTACCAGAAGGAACTTCCACAAAGCTCTTGGTCGCTAATGTGATTAGATCCACTACGAAACTCAAGCATGGGAGGGTATCCAAAACGCACCAAGTGGCAAATACTGTCTATCTTATTAGGGAAACCTGTATGAAATAGCAATGAGCCAACTATTCAGCGGAAAGCCCAGGACTTCAGAACGGCAGCGATATGAGGAGGAGTTTGAGAGGAGCCCTGGCGGGAGATCTGTGGTTGTTGAGGTAAACTGCGTAAAAAGTGTTTGGCGAAAATGGAAGTCGCTTCAACCCCCAAGTAGAACCATATGAGAACAGCGGTATCACCTATAGTACCTATAGCATGTAGAGATGAAATTCATCGGAATGTGTGTGTGTGTATTCACATGTCCATGATAAAAGATGATAGACTGGTTTGTGATGAAGCCTGGGCAGATTCAGCACACATGTCATGATCTATTCATGCAGGGCATTGGAACGCCCCGTGCTGGTTGGTCCGAACAATTTCGGAATGCAGCCAAACTTGAATCCCTTTCTTTGTGAAATCAATTCCAATAGTTTTGAGTTCATTTAGGATCCAATAGCAAGTTAGATGTGGGATAAAGGAAAGCGAATAGCCTGGGTTCTCTTGTTTTTTCTGTCATGTTTCAAGTGAGTTTGCCAATCTCCAGTAGCAATGTAAAGGTTTGGGTTCAAGCTAGCACCCTTGTCAACATTCCAACATTCAAAAAAATAATTCTGTTGATATATTGATATACAATTTGTGTTGAGTGTTCGTTCCTTTCTTTTAGGAACCACGGCCATATCGCTACTTCGTTGGATGATTGCTCCACCTGATTGGACACGGTCATGTGCTTTAAAAAGAGACTACAGCAACCTCCAGTTGGTCTCCCAGACCTGACAGACTCGGATACCTGGCAGTTTCATTTCTGCATTTCACAAATCTGCGTGCAACATTATTTGGCTAAGGGTCAAGATAGCAGTTCCATGCATCTCAGAAATTGGTCATTGTTCCTAAGAAACTATTCAATATTCCGGTACCAAACTGTTGATTTTTTGACCTATAGTTACCTGTACAAATCAGGGGTCGAAACGACTTACAAGCAGAATTAACGATTCCAAAACAGCATTTAACCATGGAATTAATCAATGATTCCAATGATTCCCATAGGTCCCCAAGCATCATGCTATCACCGTTTGGAAAGGCACGTGCAGAAGGTCCTGCGGCAAGGTGCTAAGGAGGCAAGGGCTCTGCCGGTTGACTTGGCATTTGGTTTGTGATTAACAGGCGGCGGTAAAAAGCCACATATAATTGAGAT